GTGGGCAAAGGAGGCCTTTGATAATAATAATACATCACATTTTATATAGCGCTTTATCAGAGACCCTCAAGGCGCTTTACATTGGATACATCATTCATTCGCTCACAAAGTCACACATTGGTGGTGGTAAAATAGTCACAGCTGCCCTTGAGCAGACTTGCAGAAACGTTGCTGCCATTTCACGTGTACGGCCTCTTCGACCACCACCACACATCACTCACAATCATACGCCAGTGGAGGTCACACACTGGGAGGAAGGTGGGTTAAGTGTCTTGCCAAGGGCTCAATGGACAGATTAGGGCTAGGGCGGGATTAAACCATCTACCCTCCAGTTATTGGACAACTGATCTACCTCCTGAGCTACTGCCGCCTACTTTTGAGTCTCAGTTCAAAATAGATAGTGACTTAAACAGGTTTCACTTTTGCTAACTTTAGCGGTATGAAACCAATGAACCAATCTTCTCTGATTTACTCAGAGATGTTGAGTAAATAACATCTTGTTGCAGATTTGTAAAATGTACAAATGCAAACATGTCTCCAAAGTGATAATTTTATCTAGGACGGAGTGTAGCTGGTCTTCAGATATCTCTTTTTGGAGATGAATAAATAGTCTTTGGATTACCACAGATGGGAGCTGGAATGTCATAACAATGATGTGCTTACCAGCTGCTTTTGCTCCGCACACAGACTCGTTTTTCCTGCATATACTAAACCCAGCTGATATATGAACAGTCAGGATTTGACTACAAAGAGATGACTGAAGAGTGTTTATGGTAATAATCCACATCCCTAAGCACAGGTTTTTATATTTATGTTGAGAATCTACAGCGATTTCTTCCTCATCAACAGTGTGTCAAAGTTTTGGTCAAATCTGTAAATGGTTTCACCTCCTTTAATTTTTCACCTGCAAAAACTATTTTGCACCTTAAAATTGCAAGAATTACACGAGTTTCACAGTTTTGCACCTGAGAGAATGACAGTTCTCGAGGGTAAACATCCAGCTGTAGCAGTGAACTCCCCAAAGCGCAAAAGGGGAGGGAATGTTAAACCACTTGTAAATGAGACTTGGCTAAAAATCATGTTCAGGTCTACCTTAAAGGGATATTTGGTGATTATTACTTTAAGGAAATTAAAAAGGAGAGATCATAAATGTTCTTCCTTGAGCTGTGGCACCCCGCTGTAGTCTGTAATGGACTGGCCCAACGTTTCGCTACAAACAAGCGGCTGCTGGAAGAGAGTAGGTGAGTTGTGTTTAGTCTCCTTGCTTAAGAAATTAGGCAAAGCTAAAAAAATGTTTTGTGGCTAGTACTATGGCTAGGAGCCTATATGTTCTGTTAATGAAGTTAGGTGCTGTTCTGAGTATTATTTGTGGCTATAGAATGGCTTTTTGGTTGGGACTTGTGTGTGGCTCCTTACACTGCTGTGTATTGCCATCCTGGGGTTGTTACTAATGTTGGTACATTCAACATTCATCTCTGGACAGGGTGTCTAACTCAGTGTTACGGTGTGTTTGACCCTATATTAATTTTACGCCAGAATATCCCTTTAAGATCTTGGTCATATGATCCAACACTCTCTTCTGTTGCGTTTTTTCTGTCATTCAGCTCAAACTGTGAACCAAGAGAAAGAAAAGTACAGCAACCGTTGTGTGGCACACAGGAGACTTAAGTTCTCATGGAGAGAAATGTAGATTCTACTTAGTCACAGTTTTTCATTCAGCCACCCAGGAAGCAGCCAGACAGTAGTAATGGCACACTGAGCAAACACCAAAGAATTCACCCAAGCATGGAGGAAGTCACTTAATTCAGCTCAACCTCTGTAGAAGAGAACTGCAGCTTTCAAAACACAATTTTCTTCTGCAAATATTTGTGCTGGCATGCAAATGCGTCTCTGTGGACATGTTGGCTCTGTGTGTGTACGCATGCCCTACTTTCTGTGTCGGCATGCATCTCAGAATGAGGGGAGATAACCATACGTGTGTACCTATAGTACTCATATGTTGTACTTTTGCAAGATACAGAGTTTCCAAGGCTTTGCACTGAAGGCTAAATAAATCAAAGCTGGCCTTTATTGACCGTCCAATCAAACGCTCATGCTACGCCCTTGCGGTAAATATCCTGACCAATTAAAATGAAACGTTTTGTGTGCTGTTCAAGGCTTGAATTTAATATGCAGCAAAGAGAGAGATATTCATTTCAAACATGCTGTTATTTCACACTCGGTCCCACCAAGGACATTGTGACAAAAGTTTTTGTACTCTTTGTATCTCTTTTAAATACACTCAAATTTGGGTGAGTGGGTATGTGTGCAGAATTATTTTTCTATTTAATTCTTTTTTTTTATGAACTCTTACTCCAAAGTGATGCATGAAAGGAATTTAATTGTTGCAAGAACATTTCCCCTTATAGAAGATGGTCTGATAAAATTTGTAGGACCTTGCAGCATAGATTTCCATATAAATGAGCGGAAAGTTACTCTCCACAAACTACTATAACTTCCAAATTGTGATCAAAAAAGTCCCTGTTAATACAATTCAAAGTGTATTGATATATAAATATTCAAACATCAATGTATTCAGAAGCATAACTGATTATTTTCATTACAATATCAAGGTGATTATGATCACGGTGGGATTCAGTCAACTCAAGTACCTTCTGTTTTATTCATACCCTTGAAAACTTTTCAAGCAAAGGTGACCCTTTAATAATTCATTCATAAAGATAATAACCACTCATCAGAATGTTTTTGTCTTTGTTTTCTACTCTGCTGAGTTTATTTCTCATTATAATCACAGTCTCCGCTTGCTGCAGAGCTCAAAGATTGAAACATGAATCAAATCTTAATATTTGAATCTTTCTCAAAATGAGACCCCAGGTGCCGTGTTTTCTACGCCTGCTAATAGCTCTTGGGAAGACAGTCTGTTCTTCCGCCTTGATCCTTTTTAAAACCTTTTTCTGTCTGCTGCGGTGTGTCAGGATTTTTCCTTCTTCGCCCTCTTTGAGGGGAGATAAACTTTACTTTTCCTTTCATTATATCCCATCAATTTCACTTTTTCCTGCCCGATGTGAAAGAAGAGAGAAGAAAATAGAAAGAGAGAGGGAATAGAGTTAACAGGTGGAAAGGAAAGACATAGTGGGGAGCAGCTCTGGCACTGGCATCCTGCCAAGAACTGAGGAGCAGAGAACTGAGGGAGCAGAGTCGATCAAGGAAGCAGGATGGAGTTGTGTAGAGCAGATTGAGCGCTGGAGTCGAGAAGAAAAAAAAACAGAGCTGGAGAGAGTTTTAGAGATGAGGGGATTGGAGGTTAGCAGAGGAGAGACTGTAGGGTGAAAAGCAAAGCGGGGCAGAGGGGACGAGGATAGGAAGGAAGCAGACAGATTTAGGTTACGTTCACAGGAAGCATTCACAACTGGGAATACAGAACAAGAGGTGTACACATGTTTTTGGAAGCTAAGAAGACCTAGAAAAAAGTAAAAAGACTGCAAAGCTTGTGTCTCTAAACTGATTTCAGTGAATAATTCTGGATAGATGTGGAAGTTATGCTTATTTCCAGGACAGCTGTGCTCATTTTCCAGTCTGAGAGTCACCGTCAAAGACCAGTGAAGGCCCAGCGAGCGAAGCATTCATCCAGTCATGTGCATGGAAGCTTTAAGATGATGTGCCAGCAGAGCAAAAGCAAAAGGAACATGCGTCAGTAGTGAGAATCAGTTAAAGGCTGATCAGTCGAGTCCAGGTGTGTGGTGGTTTTACCAAACCTTTTTTAATGAGAACATCTGCCTGCTCTGGCAAACAAAACCCCCCATGAGCTGTGACACTGAATAAGAGCAGACAAGTTCTGAGCTGTTATACTGTCAGACTGTTTTCAAAAGCAAAAATATCTGACTAAAAGAGTGGAAAATAAGCAACACGGCAGCTTCAGAGATCTGGTAATGTCATGTAGTTTTTGTTAACGTTTTTTTTAGGGCTGAAGAAAAAAACTGTCCAACTATCCTGCTGAGGCTCCACTACCTGATTCATTGACATACAGTGCTGCTGCCAGAGGTTTTGGAAGCTATTTTTATTGCAGTCATGGCACAGCTCCATTCTTGGGTGAGGAAGTTGTAGCAGGAATCAGTAGAAAGAAACCCTGTGCGCTGGAGCTCACTCATTTTGTATTTGGCTGAAATTCTGTTTTGTGGTTTGTTCCACACATCTTTGTCGACCATGGACAGAGCCGGGGCTGCAAACTAATGCTAGTTTTTGTTTGTTTGTTGACCACATACAAAGACCAGACTGCAAAAAAAGAAGTTCTCTGAGGTGAACTGGGAAGCCCTGATCTGAATTGCATATTCCTCAATCAGTCAAAATTAGAGTGTTTAGGTGTTCAAGTGTGCAGGATAACTTTATATGACCATCAGAAAGTCCATTTGTTTTTTCACTATGATGCAAACACAACATATGTAAATGTTCCTTAGCCTGCAGCATTATCAGCTAATTGTGTCTATGATAGCGGTGTCCAGATACAACTTTTTTACCTCCATCATGATATCGATATTGTGGCCTTCAATATTGGCTGATACCGATAGTGATCCAATATCAGCACAAACTTGTGCATAACAAGTTAAAAATGCTGCCACAGCGCAGACATCACTCCTACTCCTTGGTACTTTGTTACCTTCCTCCTGTGTTAGGTTTTACAACGCACCCAGCATGTTAAGGGTCGGTTTTGACCCGTGTCTTAAATCAGCTGTAAATTACACCAAAAACAATCCTCTATCATCCATGTTGGTTCTCATCTCTAGGATACATTGTTAGGCTTCATTATCCATGAAAATATTGCCTATAATATTTTTTGTTGTCCTCTGGGCCTTTTTGTTAGTATACCCCTCATACACACATCTATACTTAGTTGATCTCACATGTCTGGACATGTCCGACGTTGTTTTTTGTGCAGAGAAAAACGTGGCAAAATGAGAATTTCCTAAATCTGCCATGATTGGAGGAGGATCTGACTGTTAGTGTGGTGCCTGATAGTGCACTTATGATTTCAGTTATATCTCTAATTATTAGATATTGATCTAACCGGGTCAACAGCGACCCTAACACAAGAAGTGCCATAATTTTAATAAGAGCATTTTATAATTTAGTCAATTTGATTTTTATTATTTTTATTTTATTCTTTTAAACATTTCAAATCAATAGACCCTAACACCAGAGAGGGGCTAATAGTACCTTAGTACACACTGTTGTTGTGATCACGTGGGCTCTGCCTTCTGGATCCGGGCACTGCTCGATAGAGGTGTTGGAGTGGAGTCTGGAATGGACTCCTTGTATCGGAGTGCTAATATCAGAGATTTTAGATGCAGGCCGATATAATCCCACATTAATTTTTTTTTTTGCCGATATCAATATCGTATTGGGACGCTCCGAGTCTATGATGTAGGAGTCCCTTCTTTATTGTGAATTTGGATATTTTTCAATCTCAGTTTTTGCTTACATATTATAAATACATACTGTTATCTAGGAGACATAGTATGGTGTGTATGGAGTGTACCCAGAGGTACTGTTATTGTTGTGTCTCGCTCAAGGCAGCAATTAGTTTTCTCAGCTTGGGGTCTTCACAGTAGGACCCAAGGTGAATTGGGATCTCTCCTGTTGTCCAGTTTGCAAAGAAGTTTCTCCGCTTTTCCCCTCAGTGCACAGAGCTGCTTTTTCCCTGCGTAAACCCATGTTCAAAGGTTTCCACGTGTGTCCAGCAAACGGCTTGTTATCGGCACTGGCAGAATCACTCATTATTTAGTTTAGTCATATTTTGGTCTCTTTGAAGCCTGCAGAGCAAATAGCTTATCAGTGCACAGCAGACGGAAGAGCACTATATGTGTTATGTCCTCAAAAAGTGTAAGAACATAGATTTCTGATGTTAAAGTGTTGAAAAATGTCCCAGTGGAGCGCACACTAACATTAAGATGACTGCTTGAGTTGGGTGTCTAAAAATTTGCTAGACTAGAACTTTCATTGTGGCTAATAAACTTTCAGGTGACATGTAGCTCATGTTGCTCGACCCAAAATGTCCCATATGTAGTTTTGAGGTGTATCAATATATTACTGCATCAAAGTATTACATTTTCCTTCTTAACCCTGGTCTCCTTTAGGCATATTTAATGAATTGTAAGATCTTTTCTCCTCACAGAGCAGAAACAATTTCTGGATCAGCAGAAGAGACAGGACCCAAGGATGCAGAAATTAATAAAATGAGAAGCAGCCATTTTTTTTTTAACAATTCAGAGGAGGGTAATACAGTCTGCAATACATGCACTGCGACTTTTCTGCTGTGTAGATCTGACAGCTGCAGAGTTCAACCCAAAGCCAAAGTAATTTATGATGAAATAAGAGCAACTCATGCCCACCTTGTTCTGAAAAGGCAACAGATTTGTCAGGGTAATAATGTCTGTGCTACTTTACAAAATCAGCCTTGTATGGTGATCTCTTCTTACTCCAGGCATAAACTGCTGTTGTTAGTCCAGTGAGTGTGAAGTTTGTCAGCCCTGTGGCTGGATAAAAAAAACGTAACCATGAAAATGACATTATTGCATGAACAGGAGTGGGCCGTTTCCCAGAAAAAGAGAAAATTAGAAAAACAATTCGGTAACACTTTTTTGATGCCTATCTTTATTATGCATTATGAATATATGTATAATGCGTTATAATCATGTCATAGCACTGTATAAATATAGTTATAAACAGTTATAAATGATCATAATACTTTATAAAGCATTTTATCATGACTCAAAACAAGTCGAAAATAATGTTGTGTGTTGTTGCGCTCGCACAGTGTGAGTAGAAATCGTTAATGGCGCATTGATATTAATGATCATGTGAAATTTCAGTAGTGGCGCACGTCATTAAGAATGAATGAATGTAGGGGGAACACTGTAATGTGTTATAACTGTTAACAACTCACTGACAATGCCCACATAGATAATGCAATGCAACTGTTGTTAACAGTTATAACACATTATAATAGCTGACCTTGTAAGTCATGATAAAATGCTTTATAATGTGTTGTGATTATTGCTATAAAGCATTATGATCATTTATGAGTGTTTATAACTATAGTTATACAGTGCTATAACATGATTATAGTGCATTGTAAATATATTTGTAATGCGTTATAGAGATAGATGTCAGATAAAGTGTTACCACCTGCTCTTATTATTTTGGAGTGATTTCAGTCTTAATGTTCAGAATAGGATATTAATATACACTCACCGGCCACTTTATTAGGTACACCTGTCCAACTGCTCGTTAACACTTAATTTCTAATCAGCCAATCACATGGCGGCAACTTAGTGCATTTAGGCATGTAGACATGGTCAAGACAATCTCCTGCAGTTCAAACCGAGCATCAGTATGGGGAAGAAAGGTGATTTGAGTGACTTTGAACGTGGCATGGTTGTTGGTGCCAGAAGGGCTGGTCTGAGTATTTCAGAAACTGCTGATCTACTGGGATTTTCACGCACAACCATCTCTAGGGTTTACAGAGAATGGTCCGAAAAAGAAAAAATATCCAGTGAGCGGCAGTTCTGTGGGCGGAAATGCCTTGTTGATGCCAGAGGTCAGAGGAGAATGGCCAGACTGGTTCGAGCTGATAGAAAGGCAACAGTGACTCAAATAACCACCCGTTACAACCAAGGTAGGCAGAAGAGCATCTCTGAACGCACAGTACGTCGAACTTTGAGGCAGATGGGCTACAGCAGCAGAAGACCACGCCGGGTGCCACTCCTTTCAGCTAAGAACAGGAAACTGAGGCTACAATTTGCACAAGCTCATTGAAATTGGACAATAGAAGATTGGAAAAACGTTGCCTGGTCTGATGAGTCTCGATTTCTGCTGCGACATTCGGATGGTAGGGTCAGAATTTGGCGTCAACAACATGAAAGCATGGATCCATCCTGCCTTGTATCAACGGTTCAGGCTGGTGGTGGTGGTGTCATGGTGTGGGGAATATTTTCTTGGCACTCTTTGGGCCCCTTGGTACCAATTGAGCATCGTTGCAATGCCACAGCCTACCTGAGTATTGTTGCTGACCATGTCCATGCCTTTATGACCACAATGTACCCAACTTCTGATGGCTACTTTCAGCAGGATAATGCGCCATGTCATAAAACTGGAATCATCTCAGACTGGTTTCTTGAACATGACAATGAGTTCACTGTACTCAAATGGCCTCCACAGTCACCAGATCTCAATCCAATAGAGCATCTTTGGGATGTGGTGGAACGGGAGATTCGCATCATGGATGTGCAGCCGACAAATCTGCGGCAACTGTGTGATGCCATCATGTCAATATGGACCAAGCTCTCTGAGGAATGCTTCCAGCACCTTGTTGAATCTATGCCACGAAGAATTGAGGCAGTTCTGAAGGCAAAAGGGGGTCCAACCCGTTACTAGCATGGTGTACCTAATAAAGTGGCCGGTGAGTGTATGTGTTATTGCTGATCAAATCTAGTTTTTATTAACCCTCAGGTGTGCATAAGCAACACATTTAAAACAGACAGCTGTTTGTGTACATATTGGCCATCAAGAGCAGATTATTATCAGCTTCATCCTAAATCCACAGAGAGTTAAGTGCAATATTGGACATGAATAAGACAGAGAATTCCATTTTTATTTTGTTTTATTAGAAAAATTCCACACACCATAAAAATTACATGTACAAAACTATAAGATTTGAAATTGCTTTATGTACACATACAAAAGATAAAGCCCAAAGAAAAAGTAAGGGGAACACAGAGAGGGGTAAAGGTGACAAAGCATTTGTGAGTCATCTTTCTTTTTTTTTTCTTCTTTCCTTTTTTTTTTTTGGGGGGGGGGGGGGGTTGTGTTTGTTTCTTCTTGGACTGGTCAGAGGTTTGATGTTTCCTGGCTCTTCTGTCACTTCCTGGTTGTTCTCTGCAGGTACAGGCTACAGCCGTGATGGTGATGGTAATGATGGCACGAGTGAACAGTGGAGAGTGCAATTACATGTGCACACTTGTAAACACATGAAACGAAACTAAAATGGTACTTGTGATCCTTTTAAACCCTGAATTTAATTCCTAGCAGGGAGCCCGAAGTATAAGAATACCGAGGAAGATGCAAATTGTGAGCACCTGTGTCGTTCTGATGTGATGTTGATGTGCTTTATGTCAGACACCTGTGAAGATGCATCTTCAAAAATAGAGCAAGTGAGATTATAGCTGCTATAAACCATGCTGTGTGCATATAAACACTCCATGGTGGTAATGGAGATATGAAAAGCTCCTGCATGACTGCAACCAAGATCATATGCATATAGAGTCATTCTCTATGTTTCTTCTTTTAAGAGTGTTTGGACTTCTGATGTAGACTTATCCTGTAAACTTATCTGTGCTGACAGAAATGAGGATTTTAATGAAAATGTTTGGTGATAGCGGTGAGGATGAAGAGTGAATTGATGTGATTTGGCTAACTGATACCCTGCTTCTTTCTTTTTCCTTCATCTGTCCGTCTTGACCTTTGTCGCATAGTTTCCATCTTGATCACGGGGTCTGGAAGACAAAAAAGAAAAATGACAAGAAATGAGACGTTGGTTAGGTTTTATTTTTTCAGTTTTTCCATTTATTTGAACATAAAAACACTTTGAAAAAAATACTATCTGCACTTATGTAAGTCTGGGCAAATGATGAAAGCAGTTCTGGGTGTGGATCCAAATTAATTTGGAATATGAGTCATGTAGCTCCAAAATTTGAACAGCTAAAAACGCACTTTCCTGGTTCAAAATAGTTATATCCCAACAATTCTAATCACAAAGCAGCGTTTACTAACACCCGTGAGCTACTGCTGCTCCATATTTTCCGCCTTGGGCCAAAAGCTGCATTCAGCTGGAAGAATCCTGCTCTGACATTTGTGCTTTGGTTGTTACGGGCATTACTCTCTGTGTGTTTGTGTGTAAGTATTTGTGTGATATTTTTTTCTCCTCATTTGAAGGCCACTAAGGCAGACTCAATTTCTACCTCTGCAGATTAGATTGAGTCCAGTCAGCGGCTGATTATACTTCAAATAATGAAGGGCACTTCACCCACCTCCATTTATAAAAAAAAAAAAAGATGGCCATGACAGATACTTCGTGAACAACTCTGATTAGATAACAATCCATTCTGTTTGTTCTGTGTGTCCTAATGTGAATATCTTTCCTTTTCTATGTGGAAAAAAAAAGTCAAGAGCTACACAAGAAGGCGATCAATCTTCAGGCAGAGAATGCAAGCTTTTGCTTTATCACCACTCTTCTGCAATTCCTAAAGCTAGCACCGAGAAAACTCAGTCTTTGACAAGCAAACAAACAAAAAGTCATTGGTTTTAAAAACATAGTGTCACTAATGGAAAACTCTGAATCTAGTTTTGTCAGCAAGTCAACATGCATTCATCGATTCCCCGGTTAAAGCAAATTATTAACTGCTGTCTGCTAAGTGACTATGGATTTATAGGAAAAATGTGATGGGATGGACTGTGCAGTCCAACATCCTCCTTGTTAAACTCAACTAATTCCCCCGCCCAGGCCTCATTAGTGGCATAATGTGAGCATGCTAAATGATTAGCTGTCACACTGTAAGTGGGAGAAAAAAACCTGGTGCTCAGATTGCTCATTGACTGGTTGGCAGAAACACGACAAGTCAGACATTATTGGTTAAAAAATGTAATAGATGGACTATATGAATGCCTCTAGCAGTCACCTGATTCAGCCCAAAATAGCAAAAACAAATCAATTCAGTACAATATTTACAATAGAGCGGTTATGTCCCTAATGGGAAGAAGTTGGCAGATAGTAGCATAGGTGAAGAGTTGGATAGGGATTACTACCATGAAAAAAAACAGAAAGGAAAATGTCATTGACTAGACGAAAATCTTTGAAACAGAAGTGGGCTGCAGCTTCTGCTTTGTTGGTTGATTTGTTGATCAATCTGCTTCTTTGTATCAATTTTTAGTTAAATAGAAAAATTAAGGTGTCATTCTCAACCTAATATCAACCTTTAAGTGCAGCAGTGTGATGGAGATACACCATGTATGGAGAGTTTGGTGCTATTGGGCCATATCTGGGATTTTATGCTATCTAATAACTTACAAATAAAAATAGTGCTGTAACATTTTACAGTAAGGGCTCCTAAGTGGTGAGTCAGTGCACTGTGGTCGACCAGGTAAATCTGCATATCAAATTGATCCCTTTAGGAGTAAGTAGAATTAAATTTGACTGGGATTCACATTGATCTGTTTCAGCTTCATTAAACCTTTGAAACAGCTGATAGCAGTGTGGATATGAAGCTGAATGACAATATCAGCAAATCAAACAGTATTCAGAATATGCAGGCCGAGTTACGGCCTTTAAATTTGGTCAGTCAAATCTGCCTCTGCAATGTATAATAATTACTATCTTCAGACTGTTGTACCCTTAATGACGTGGTTGGATTGAAAACCTTTTGAAGAAACATTTCTTTGGATTTTAAACAGTAATTGACCCTATTTGACATAAAATTCAAATGATGTGTAGTGAACAGTAGAATAATATTGGATTAGGTGAATGCAACCATATCCTCAATCTCCAGCAGTAATTGTGTGGCTATAATAAACTGTATTTTGAAGCTTGAATAAGTTAGACAGGATTAAGGGATGCTGTTTTTAAATAATGAGGGCCTAGTTTTGAAACTTTAGGCTAGCATGTGGTCAAAGTTGAAAATCAAACTTTTTTTTTTTTGTGATGGTTCCGTTTTGAATACAGTTTTTTTCTGACACATATAAAACTGATATTTTCAAAGCACTCTACCTTATTTTGTGTCTAAAATGTCATAACTCATTGCAATCTTCAGCCAAAAATATTCTCTACAAACCCACAAATCAGTAAAAATTAGAGGGCTCTTTTTCTGTCACAGCAGTAGTATTTTCCATATCAGTTACAGGACATAGCAAAACAAAGTGTTTGACTCTGCCCTCAAATTAGACTCTGAAAACTGTTTTAGGAATCAGAAATGATACAAAAGTGTTCCCATTTTATCTCTCCTGTTCCTCAGTGGTATTTATAAGATTCTGTTTTTTTATATTGATATTTTTAAATCTCTTAACCATGTCTTGAATATGCTGTTATCCCTGTATATTTTTAATAGTATGTTAACTATTGAACTATAACTCAACTGTAATGTACTTTTTAGAAGAGACACAGACAGGAAGGTTGCTATCATCGTTTCCATAAACACAAAGAAGCTGTATAAATCAATTTTTCCAAATGGAGGACAGATCATCTTTTTCCTCAGTGGTTGCAGTGAAGTAATTCACTGAGGGGTAAACACTGAGCCTTTGTATCTCTTAAAACAATACAATAAAATATAATTAAAGATTTACTTATTGGATTGTTTTCCATTGATCCTTGAGTCTTTGCTTTTACCCTAAGAGAAAATGACGTTTCTTTTAGGACCAGAAAATCCTACAGCACCCAAAATGTTTCTCTGAGGGTCCTTTTTGAGGGTTAGGGTTGAGTGTCAGCTCAAGTCCTCTGTGCACACAGAAACAATGAGAATATTTTTTTATAACCTTCTTTTATCAGTAGATTGAGAGAGTACTAAGTATGTGCTCTGGATCATATACTCCATATATTTCCAGTCTGTTCTTTCTGTGGAGACACTACTCTTGCTTTGACTCGATGCCTTTATTCAGAGGCTTTCAGCACAATCATGTGGTAAAAGAGGTGACTTGCAAAGGATAAAAAGTTGGCATAAATCAGTAGGGTTGGGAATCACTAGTGGCCTCATGATACAATATTATTGCAATATTTAACATTTTGTAATACATTGAGTATTGCTATACAATATATTGCGATTTATACAATTTGTAGGGTGACTTTACTCCCAGGAAACCATTTTTTAACAGTAGGCAGTTTTGGGTTGTCTTTTGAGTTTGACATCTGGGAGATACGAGGTTGATGAAAGCAGTTCTCGCAGCCGCAATACATGTGAAGCCTGAGTTATAGGTCCAAAGCAACATTTACACCATGTTAAAGAAAATGTACCCCACACTTATTATTGATGTTGTATAAGTTTGGTCATGTGCACACTGGGAGAATGAATTTTTGCTACAATGTTACTCAATGCTGGCTGGAATTGCAGGGGAAAAAAACCACCATCATTCATAGACTATATTACTTTATTAATAGTGCATTTCCATTGATGTTCTGCCCTCAGGCTCCTGACTAAGGTTGTGCCATGATGGTCAGCAACTCTGAGAAAAGCTTTGGGCCATGTGTAATACCTGGAAAAGTCAATAAAGGAAACTATAAAAATGCAGCAGCATGTTTGCCCAGCTTGTTACACAACAACCCCAGTCGTAGGGGTTTGAATCCACTCAAGTAATGTTGGAAAAGTCTTTCAACCACTGCCAACCTGTCTCACTGCGGCAAAACATGTATTAATTGTCCTCTATGATCTTGGGTATATGACACGACTACTGTGCAATGGTCAGTTGGAATAAACATCTATTTCTTGATCTACATCTCCAAGGGGGGATGGCAAACACAAAGCTGAATTAAGCGTAGCATGGATTCTCCAGTGCGTGTTTTTTATTCGAAGCAGAGGCATGCATTATTTAAAATGCTAAGCAGTGATGTATAAAGTGTTTGGACCAAACTGCACCTACAAAGACCAGGCGATTCTGGGTTGTAAGACAAATAAAGCAGATTACCACAAACTAATCCCCTGAAATCCTTTTAAAAAGGTGTCACATTTGACATCTAACACAAAATGAACCTCCAAAAGGATAAAACGATCCCTTAAAAAAAAAACTCTACCCATAAACCCGTCTGAACAAGACACAAAGCTTGACCTTTACAGCAGCATAATCCTATAATAAACTACAGTCTATGTCTAACAGCAACAAACACATAAACACACCAACTCCATCGCTTTGTTCAGCCTGGCATTATAAAACAAAACCTCACCTCTCTATATTTGACTTTTCAGCGCTAGTTCTGACACCATAATGAAGCTTTAAAATCGCCAATGAACTACAAACACACCACAGAGCACGTAACGCACTGAAAGCCCAGAAGACTCCTAAGGTCAGCACTCTCAGATCTCACCACCATCTCTCGCAAACGCAAACAAACTGCATCAGCATTTTGAGTGTGAAGCTGCCAAAGGAAAAAAGACCAAAGAGCGCAGTCTGAAGCTGGAATCTTAAACCTGCAGAAATTCTTATCCAACGACAGTCCCATTTTCACTCTTGCCTGCAGGAGGAAATGGGTTTCTGCCCAGAGAATTGAATGGAGGTGTGCTCACTCCAAGTCTCTGCAGTCAGTATAGATGTGAATACTTGTGTTTCCTTTAATAGACTTTAATAGACTGATTGATTGGCATAAAGGGCAGAATATGACTAGGATGCAATTATGTACTAAAAACAAGTGATAAACAGTAACGTACGCCACGCATTTTCACCTATTTGAAATACTGCTTGGGGAGATGCGTGAAATGGTACTTTAACAGGTTTCGCTCTCATCACATTGCATTTAAATGTGACACTTCCTACTTTTAGAGTAAGTGTAAATCAGTGCAACATGCCAGGAAAAAAATCAAATGCACTGCAGTAACACAGACATCGGCACTAAACTCTATATGCCGACACTTTCTGTACAAAGAAGGGAAAAAAGAAAAAACCTTGAACATTTTTATCCCTGAAATACATTTTACAGTTAGTATGGAGAAAACACAGCTGCAGTCATTTATATGTTAATAGCTGAGGGTATTTTATGTATCATTTTGTTACCTGCTGAATGAGACTATCTCATTTCTTTTTGCTCTTTTTTCATACTTTTGCATCTGTATCCTGAAGGCGTGCATGCATCAAATAGTTTTATCTCCCCCCGAAACAAGTAGAAGTTTTTACTGCAGAAAAAGAGAGAAAGCGAGGGGTTGTATATTTTTTAATGTTATATACTATATCCTTTTATGCTTTGTGGAAAATCTACAGCTTATGTCTGCATCCACTGCTGCTATATCACCTTTCTTACACGCACATATTTTCTTTAAGTTGCATCACAACTGATTTTTACAGGTCTATGCATCACTTTAAATGTTAGCCAGCTTATGTTTAATTTTTAAAATGGTCATAAACATAAGCCCCGCCCCCTTCATTTGTGCCAAAGGCTTTCAGTGCAAATTAATGATTATTCTGCAGTCCTGAACCAGACATTTAAACCACCTCCAGCTGCGGTACACATGGAGCTGACTAATGTGCTGCAATGGAGGAATAATTATTTGCATGTACTTAAACTATAGCGCAGATTCAGCAGCGTTTCATCATTCATGTGTTGTTTTCATTACTAAGAAATGATGCAAATATACTGAGAGGAGTGGGAAAGCATCGGAGTGGGAGAAGTTCATGTGTTTGCCTTTAAAATTAATGCTCTGAAACCACTTTATTTGATGCGATAAGGGTGGTGGGATGTAGACTTTAGTTGAATACACAAGTCGACAGCAGTGCTTTTATACAGATGAATATGCTGTGCTACTGACCTTCACAAGTAAATGCTGAAACACTGAGAGTGAGATCTTTTGCAGAGCAAATCCCAGTGGCGCTCACATTTTAGAGCTGCCCAGAAAAGCTTTTTTTTTTTTTTTTTCAAGGCTACTTCAGCATAGTTTAGTATTAACAGGCTCCAGATGCTTTTCCAGGGTGGCACCAATGTCAACCTTTTAGTGCTACAGACGCATGAATTCATCCACTGAATAACTCACAAATTCCAGGAGGGCGCGCTCATTCATGCTGGAGTACTATATTGTCACAACAAACACACACACATCAATCAGAGGTCTCATGCGCTTCATCCCATGAACTCTTTGATGTATTGATGCATTTTTTGCTCCCAAGGACGTCATTCTCTTCATTGTCCGTATCTTTTAAAAGCGGAGAGAGAGTCACACACTTCACACAGAAATAAACATCCATTGTGTGTGTTGGTATATGTTGTGTCATCTATTATTCATACAACTGTGTTTGCTTTCTTTGGGACCAAAGACACCTCATAGCACAATACAGCTGGAGCTCATGCTCACTGAGTAATCCTCCACACATCCCACTTGCTGTTCTCCTCATCTACTTTTTTCATCCTCTCACCCTCCTCCTTTTTCACTTATGCCCGTCATCTTTGCTCTCCTCCTCCCCCTCCTCCTCCTCTTCCTCCTTTTCTTTAAATCCCTTTCTTCCCCCTTATCCTTTACCTCCTTCTCTTATAAAGCTGCTTATCTTGTGCGGCCCCTCTACCCCTGTTTCACTCATCTCCCCCAATGGTTCAATACACGATGCAATATTGGCACAATGGGATCATCCCCGGAGCATGTGTTCATACAATAAGCTTATGTTTACCTACAAAAACCTGAGTGCACATTTTGAGTTACGGTAGCAAGCCTTTTTGCTCTTACTTACTTTGCTCTCTATGGCCTGTTTCTAAAGTTCATTTCCAGTCTACGGTAAGATATGTATACAATCCAATTCATAAGTGATATGACATGATAGGATACAATACAGTACAGCTTATTGATTGAATATAATAAGATGCTATGTGGAGACCTTCTGAAATCCTAGTCCTTTGAATTATAGACAGAAAACATCTTCGCTTCTGCTATGCTACATGGCTACATGCCCCCCATTCAGCGTCTCACTATCGAGTCATCTCCTGTTTAACATATTGTGCATCAAAACAAAATACTTAAAGGTGGGGTAGGCAGGATCTGAGGAAGTGCCAGTTTTTGGGAGAAATCTTGAATGTAAACACTACCCCTCCCAACTAGTTTTCCTCTCAGCTCCTCCTCTCCCCTCCCTCTCTGCTCCAACAAGCCCCGCCCACAAACAGACGCTCCTGCTCGCTCGTATCGTTTCAATAAAATTCTGATATAATGCAGATAAATACTTCAGATAATTACAAACGGGGCCCAGTCAACGTGAAAGTAAACAGCATTGGTGCTACTGTAGATGCCAACAGACTACCAGCAAACACAATGTTTGCAGGACTTCTACAACTAGGATAAAGTGACATAGTCCAGGATGCAAGGTTAATAGTTTAGCTGCGCCACAACATGCAGTAGGTCCCGTTTAACAAGACACACTTCTGTTACAGACACTTGGCTTACTTTGTTAGAGCGGTTTACCTGTCCAGCAGAAAGGTTACAGGGTCCGCAAGATCCTGAAGCCTCCCCTATTTTCTTATGTTGACCCAGCTTTTTCTAGCTCTTGGTCTACCTCCTTTTTAAGCAACCATTATTCCACCAGAGTCTCCGATATTTACTTTGTTTTATTGTTTGTGTTGGCAGTCGTGGCCAAAGGAGGATTCAGACAATTTTCCGTACTTTCTGGTTGGTTTCTACTGTCCGATATTGTAGCACACTAACTTTGTTTGGGCTCACAACGTGAGAAAGCAAGTTGACTACACAGACACAAGAAAACACAGCGATATCTTGATATTCCCAAATGTCATCAATAACTAATAGCTATTGACTGATGTTATAAGCTTTTTTGTATGTACACCACAAAAAAAGGTGCTTCTTTAATGGATTCCTGCCTACCCCACCTTTATTCAGAGGCTAACAGGATGTAAGTGGAACGATGAAAACACCACCATTTTTACAGCTCTGTGCTGTTTGTTTGGAAAGTTTCATCTTCTTTTACGTCCTTTCTTCATTTGTCAAGGTTTTGTTTACTACCTGGCTTCCTAGCAAGACATTCATGCCATTTGACTTCCAGCTACTGTTTTTCATTGTCTGTCCTTTGCTTCTAGTATCCGACAACTCTGTAGTTCCTACTATCTTCCAGGTACATGATTTATTCAGAAGATCTACGCAGGCATCTCTATTCCACAAAGGGCCGGTGTGGCTGCAAGTTTTTCTTCCAACCAATCAAGAGCATGCAGTCTGACCAATCAGCTGTCTGAAGACTAAGATCGATCAGCTAATAAAATGAATCAAGTCTGGTGTGCTGCTGCTGCTTGGTTGGAAGAAAAACCTGCAGCCAAACCAGCCCTTTGTAGAATAGTTTGGAGATGCCTGATACGGTTTCCTACCATCACAGGTCCTCATGTCTTGAGACTTGTGAGTCCCTAACACTTCCAAAATTACCATTCCATCCCTGATACAAAGCAATACTATGAGATACACTTTATTCTCCCCTTGGCGAAATTTGTATGGGACTCAAGTGCTGCACACGCTCAACTGCCTCCACAATTTCTTTTGCTTTTATTTTCCTTCTCATTCTTGTCTTTTTTTCTCCACCTCCTCATCTCAAGCATTGTTCACCTTGTCCTGCTCTTGTAGGACGCTCATCTTTACACCACCACAGGTTGAACTACACTGAGATTCACACACATTTATACCGTAGTGAGGCAAAATCCTTTCTGCTTTTTGAACCCTGTATGGTTTCTTTCATTTTCTCCTTTTTTGTTTGACATATTCTCACTCACACAGTTGGAAGCTCGTGTCAAATGAGTGCAGGATCCAGCAGAGATGTGTCGGAGAAACCCACACGTGTGTTTGCGATAAGACCTGAGACTATTTGATTCAAGCACAGTAATGTATGCATGGTCACATCTACTTACATCACTCCACCTCAGCTAACAGATGTGACATGCTGCTTAGATTGAAGTCAAAGCATGGCCCATCAGCCCACATGCAGGGAGCACATGCCGCATCTTCCCTACATTAAGGTCATAAAAACAAATACAGCCCCTGAGTGTCTTGCCGTGCCCTTTAAAGCCCACGTAAATGAATCAAATTGAGTAGCTGCCGACAAGATCTCTAAAACGTGAATTGACCCCATATGGAAGCTCTCACATTAAGTAAGAGAAGACCGTGCCATTTGACATGCAATGTTTAAGTAAAGAGACAGACAGTACAAAACACATACGCCATATGTTCACAGCATCAGTGAAGTCTTCAGCACATTAGTCTGTGGGGATCGAGGACACTAACAGATGTCAAAACGCTCCATTTCAGCAGGTGTGTACTGCCACACAGAGCAGCTATGGGCTAAGCTAGCATAATGACTACAAGCAGGTTAATGGGTTAGCACAGCACCATCAACTGAGTCACATAGAAACCTCCGTGGAACATCTTCTGAAATGCTTTTTTATTTGTATAGTTTAGTTTTGTGTTTTTCGACAACATGTAACACAGAAGTTACTGAGCCAGAAGAAGAGTTGTCTTTGGGCGTGACATGGAGCACAGCTTCCTTCTGATTTTTGCCACATGATAAGCTAAGCTAACAAGCTGCTGGCTGAAAATTCATTTATTTAAGGTACACCATTATTATTCAAAATCTTGACAAAAAACATAAAATCCCAAAGGTTATAAGTTATTAAAACTACAATCTGTACATTTACATTCACAGTGAAGACCAGCAATGGTAACAGCTCAGTAAGGTGATTTAACTGGACTACTGTCCTTGTCCCAGTTTGCAAGTTTGCTACGGTAAACTGACATGCCCCCTTTTAGCTCGTTACTACCAGGTCATCTCCCAGTTGACATGTTACGTAGCAAAACAGCAGGCGAAACACGTTATTCAGCCATCAGGCACAGAGCGTGGTGTGCTCACACTGAAGCATTCGCAGGACGCTTAGGCCACTTTCACTTTGATTGAGCTGCATACATAGAGGAGAGAATCTGTCTCCACCTGCTTCATCTGGGTATGTTAGTCCAGCTAAGAAGTTCAATTTAGTCCAACTGAAGTCAGACTAACGTGTTGACATACATTTTAAAAGCCCTGTTTCAGTCAGACTATTGCAGTAATGCATGTTTTTTATGTGCACATAAATGTACTGAAGGTCAAACATTTTAACCAACTAAAGAAACAAAAAAGATGACTTCAGTTTTGCCATATACAAGTATCCCGTATTACAGAAAGTTTAAACAATTAATCGAAATTAAACAAAAACTCAGCCTTTTCAGAAAATATAAACTAGACTTCAAATCTAGCCTAAAAACTTACCCAAACTGAACTGGAGTTAAACAGAAAAAGCCGACACTAAATACAACTAAAAACCAATAAAAACTTCAAAACTATTATCCACTCACTCCCCACTCTTCCCCTCATGCCATCACTGTAAAATAGGTTCACGCTCCTTGAAAACTGCACATACATCCTCCAAGTACTCCCTATACCAGTGTTAAGGTACATATATCAGTCAAGACAATCAGCTTATAATGTGCCTCCATGACTGTGACACTTGACTGAGATAGGGAGGAGGAAAGAGCAATGAGCAGAGGCTTGAAGGAGGCAACGGCGTGTTCAAGCCGTTAATCATCATCATCATTATTATCAAGGTGTCTGCAGAGCATCTAGCAAGCGTCATTCACTTTTACAACCCAGGGAAAGAAAGAGAAATAAAACCAGGATTTATCTCTAGATGTGACAGTTTTTCACCAGCAATGTTAAAACTTATTATGTGGTCTCCCATGACTTCAACCCAATTACTGGAATTAAAAAAGAATCAAAAGCCTTTTGTAACCAGCAACTAATTAAAAACCTTGTTAAAGTCACAATTAAGCCTTTATCCAGAATTTCCAGACCAAAGGCATTAAACGGGCTAATCTTGGCAGTACTGAACTAATACCGTGCAGTCTGGGAGGCCATAGCAAAATCCACCATCATATGTTCAATAAGGACATGCCAATGATAATAAGCACACAAGACACAGAGCTACGAGGATGCCAGGATAAGACTTTCATCACACAGATGGATTCAAACATATTGATTCTAGGATGATCATAGCGATACATTAGGACCAGTGCTGAGAAGTATACTCTAGGAACAGTCTAAAGGCTGAAACACAGTAAAAAAAAGACAGGCACAGTGGTCTTTGGAGTACAGTTGAGGACACTCCATGGCATTTTGTTTTTTTTTTCATAAGGGAACTATTTTCATCCTGTGCTTCTTGTTTGTGTGTCTTTCCATCTTTGGTCTGTGTGTCCATGCGTGTGCTTAAGAAACGGACAGCATCATTTAAGCAATCACAGGGACTAACTCTGTGTGGAAATGTCTGTTTGTGTAAAAGCTCCTGAAATGTGACTATTGCAATCACGCTCATGCTGTCTGAGCTGTCATAAGAGAAAAAAAAAACTCGCACATGCAAACATACACTCTTTATTCATAGGTATACAGGAGATAACGTTGATTGAGGTGCCCTTAGTCCCTGCTGTAACTCGCCTCGTGTTTGTGTATGGGACCAGGAAGACTGGCTGCTTGATTCATCGCTATTATTACTGAATGAGCACTGAAGTGCTTTGAACTGGAAGCGGTTTGGCTTGCCAGGCCTCCCCGAAACATCTTGTAAACATCACTTACAAGAGACATAATGTGCTTGGCTCAAACTACTGTGCTATTGCTGCTTTAGGTCCTTTCAGTGTTTTATTTAGACGCCTCACATGTGTCTGCCGATGACAGAAATTGACAAGAAAATTGCCACAATCAAAAAACAGAAACAAAAGATTAGGGTGTGTAGGACTGTGAAGCAGCAAACCAGATTTTTAACTCTGTAATGTTTTCGCCTCCTTTTCCTTTCTCCTTTTCATTACCGATTCAGCAAAAACATCCTCCCAACCGCTTGTTTATGTGGGCGTGTATTTATGGTTGTCAGGCTGAATAAACCGTCTTTAGCTCAACTGGAATCTGTTGGAAATTGTTTAGTCGAGTCGAGTAATTATGAGAACAGAAAATCGATTTGGTGCACTTAGTTACACAACACCACCGCACAAACAGTCGGGCGGATTTTGTGTTAAAGAGAACAGCCTGATCATTGAATTAATAATCATTGTCTTTTAATGGAAACTACTGTAGAGAAGGCTGGATGATCTTTGTGTATACTGGTGGTTTCATCAGTTGAAATAAGAGTGGATGAATTCAGGGCAGATTGTGGAAGTGGTAAAGATCTGCCATTTGTTCCCATTACAGTCCAGTATAGGAGACTTTAAGGATTATGTGATATATTACCTGTAAAAAAACAAACAAAGAAAGAAAGAGGGAGATGTACTAAAGGAAATGATAAAGCAAGGGATTAATTACAAAGATGAACCACCACCTGCAGTGTTTTCAAGCCTCTGTTGAACAATAGTTGTTAGTTGTTGAGATAATATTAGAAAATATAATACTCTAAGCAGCAATTTTCCTTCTTTTTTAATTTATCTTTTCTTTTTATTATATTGGTGGATAACACAGGAGATTCAGGAGCTGTGTTTCTAAAATTCTAATGTGAAAGTGAAAACAGGATTAATTATTAAGAATCTGTACATGAGTGAGTAGACTGGCAAGATTTGCAATTCCTTGGACCCATTGAGTTGCTTCTGTCCATGCCTAAAACAACGCTGAAGCCCTCATTTTGTACGTGAAAATCCTCCCTAAGGCTGTGGCGTCGGTTCAAAACCACATCCTCCCTCAGTATTATATATTTTTCACCAGTATTGATCATTTCCTCAGGCAGGAAGGAAAAAAAAACACACATGGATGAAAGGGAAAGACACGATATGAGATAACGGAGAACCCAGAAAGAAAGATGGGGGCATGGGGTTGCATTTCTTTTTGCCTGTTGTGATATTGTCAGCAGAGAATAGCAATGAAGCAGATCATTTGGCTAAGGTAGCTCTCTAATTGTCTCACTGACAGCAATTAGATGGTGCTCGTTAAAGCGCTGCCCTCATTAGGTTACAGAGCACTCCAGGCTGGAAAGTGCAAGCCTGTCTAAAACTATGGGGCAGGACCCAAAATTGGTCGACAGCCAAGGTGAATGCTGGCGGGTCACCATATGTCACACAATTTAATGAGACTCATTCTTTGGGTGAGAGAACTTCTCATTTGGCAGCCTGTTTGGTTGGGGTTCAGAGGCTAATCAGCAGATTACTCACCTTTTTAAGTGGACCAGGGTAAAGGTCCTAAAGGTTCTTGAGGTCCTCGGTGGTCTTGTTCAGTAGAAAGCAGTGGATATTAGAATACACAGACCAAACCAGCAGATAATGAGCCGTCTAGTTTCGTCCAGTTTAGTCCATCAAGTCTGGTAACTGCGCAGTCTTAATCCTTTACCAGCGTTCAACACAAGTTCAGGTCTGCCCGGGTCAAACCGCTTCAGTTCCATTACCGGACCTCTTAAAGAGAGAACAGGGTCTAGTTCAAGTTCAGATCCAGCTTTAGAGATTAGCTTAGCTCAGTTGGGTTTGGAGGGTTGCATGGTTTCACGTGGGTTAATAAGGTAGAGCCATTGTGAGCCAGCCATTGTACGAGTCCCTTACGTTTAGTTGCAGAGTGAGCAATTATAGGTTGAGTGTTTAGCATGTGTTCATATCCAAAACCAGACTCATTGAGATGCTTTTCGTGTGATTTTATTCACTTGAACATACTGTAGATCCAGGTTGACTGTGATTCTCTCTGCTTCCAGCTTTGACTGTCTTTTTATACAATCCATATGGTATCTGTCCATGCATGTTGATGCTGCCCCAGATGGTGTGCAGTACATATTATGTTGACATATCCATATGCTCTTTGTGTTGCTTTTCTGATGACCCACGGCCATTATTGTGCTCTCTTCCACATTGGTATAGTGTTTTTTTCTCTTTTTTTTAAATGCAGGAAATTCAGTGTGTACTGTTCCATCAAAAGCAATGATCATACCAACAGCTGGATCCTGCCGCAGCTGGCCAATCAACAGCAAAACAGACACTTAGCCTTTGCACTGTTGTCCAATCCAGACAGGAGAACCAAGATCGACAGTTATAAGTAAACCAGACAGTATAGGTCTCTAACTCCGTGGTGTTCATGGAAAACAAAGAAATGGGTACAGTAAACAGGAGATACAGGAGGGGGGCTATCGGGCTGTTTTTCTTCAGAGATTGCACCAGCTTCTTCCTGGTGGTGATGTTGCTTCTTTGAATTTGCCACCCAGGACAACAACATCAGGGTTCTGGAAAACAAAGAACAAGAAAAGGACATTTGAAAGTTGAACATGATGGCGCTGTATGAGATCAGAAGGACAGGGAAATCACAGGCAAGGGCAACTTCTGGAACAAAGGGTAGGAAAGACAGGGATTAGGATCAGAACATCAGGTCTTGAGAGAAAGATAGAGCACAGACTATAACAGGGGTCTCGGAGACACAATTTAGCACCTGTGAACTTTAGCATGCGTTAGATAGAACCATACTATATTTTTGGCACTGCCAGATAAAGTTTTATCAAATGTTATCTAATCTAAATCAGAAGTGGCATCTGGTGTTAAATATCTGAAAACTTTTCAAGTGGTCCCTGAAGGCTGTGAAATAAAAGGACACAGCTACTAGTTTGGTGATTTTTCTCTTGTCTTTCTTGGGTTGAAAAAGTGCCTTGTTGAAGGGCTTTATTGCATAAGACTGCAGGCAGCTTTTGTGCTCTTGCACTTAGCAGGTTTTTCTTTGATTGGACATTTCTGATGAGTTTTTCTGTGGAAAGTATCTTCTTTTAGAATTAAAGGGTAAAACAGAGAAGGTAAATTGTCTTTTGCACACACTACTTCATGTCCCATCCTCCAAAATCAGTCAGGCCTGTGAAAAAAAAACTATTGAACATGTCCTTGACTTGAAGCTTCCATGAGTTATATAAGAGAAATTAAAGGTGGGGTAGGCAGGATTCCATTAAAGTAGCATCTTTTTGTGTGGTGTATATACAAAAAAGCTTTTAGTTATTGATGACATTTAGTAATATAACAATATCGCTGTGTTTTGTCATGTCTGTGTAGTCAAAAATTTAAAACATTTTGAGCATCCCGCTAATTCTGATTGTAAATGAAGCCGTTCTCCACCTTCCTGACCTGATTGGTTGTGAGGCAGACGCTGCTTCCTCGTGTTGTGAGGCACGCTCCATGTCCTCGAATAACGTTCACGAGCCCAAACAAAGTTAGCGTGCTACAATATCGGACAGTAGAAACCAACTACTCTCTACTGCATGTTGTAGCACCGCTAAACTGCTTACCCCGGGTCCTGGAGTATGTCACTTTATCCTAGTTGTAGAAGTCCTGCAAACATTGTTTTTGCTGGTAGTCTGTTGGCATCTACAGCAGCACCAATGCTGTTTACTTTCACGTTGACTGGGCCCCATTTGTAATTATCTGAGGTATTTATCTGCATTATATCTAAATTCAATTGGAACGATACGAGCGAGCAGGAGTGTCTGTTTGTGGGCGGGGCTTGCTGGAGCAGAGAGGGAGGGGAGAGGAGGAGCTGAGGGGGAAACTGTTTGGGAGGGGTAGTGTTTACATTCAAGATTTCTCCCCAAAACTGGCACTTCCTCAGATCCTGCCTACCCCACCTTTAACAGAGGAATTAGCATGTCCTTTGTAAGGTCCTGACATGTATGTTTCTTTCTGCTTATGCTGTGTAAGAGTGACACAGCTGCAAAGTCGTGGGATTCAACAAATGCCTGCATAAGCGGTGCATACTGACAAGGGAGAGCAACCGAGTGTAATAGCTTGGAATGATGAAGCTGTGCTTGCTGTTGTAGTTTACTACCTCAGCTGCTATTTGTAATGCCTGCATTTGTCAGGAGAACATTTCTAAACTATATTTGTCAAGGGGAATATTTCTTTAACACGTTTATGTACAGCCAGCGCTTATTGTGTCAGTTTACGAATGAAGCAGAGTCTTCTTAATGCCTCAGTCTGTATTCATCAGTCACCACCTCTGCACATCTCCACTGTCTCCTCCTCCATCACCCTCCACTCTTACCCCTTTCTCTTTTCCTCCATCACTCTGTACACAGTGTAGATGGATGAAGCAGATGGGGCGACAGAGAGGCGGGAGGAGAAGGTAGTGTGCAAAGGCGATAATGCAGCTTGAGGGGTGAGGAGATGGATAGAAAGGACATAAGAAATGAGAAATAACTTCACAGAGGTGTTATAAATTGAAAAAAAAGAACAGGAGAAGAAGAAGAAGAAGGCCAGTACAGGTTAAACAGAGACGATAAAAACAAATCGAGTTTTAGGGATGAAGGATATGGGAGTAGTTTGAGAAGGGGATTGGCACTCAGGAATGAAAATCAATACAGTTTAGACAACTGAGAAATTTAAAAATGCTTAAAAATACGGTAACCCTTTCTTTTACGGTACACTTATTAACAGGTAATTACCAAGTAACAACATGAAATTATCTGGTAATTACATGATAACTACTAAGTCAGTACTGTTTAGATCTTCTTTTTTTCTGTTTTCTGTGCAGCTCCATTTTCAAAAGCTATTTGAGGTTCTTATTTTCTATGATTGACACTTGATACAGCCTATGGGCGTGCGAAGATTGCGTAGCGATACGCTGTTTGAGCCGAGCATTATCACAGCGACTCACCCGCCAAATGCGTACAGTGCTACTGCGCAAGTGGTGGTTCCAGGAAGCGGAGAAAATCGTGGAAATACTAGAGCAATGGTATTGATGATGGAAGGTTGCCTACCTGCTAGCACGACAGTATTGATTTAGTAGTTATCATGTAATTACCAGATAACTTCATGTTGTTACTAGGTAATTACCTGTTAATTACCTGGTAATAAGTGTACCGTAAAAGAAAGTGTTATCAAAAAAACTATGTAATTAAAAATAAATCATGGAAAAGACAAGAATAAAAAGCATAAATGACAAAGATAAGAATTACTAGTCTAAAACATTTAGTGATTTAAGTATTGGCAAAAGAGAGAGAGGAAGTAAATGATAATAAATGTAATAAAGGCTCAATACACTCAAATAATGACTAATAATTATAGACAAATTCCTCTTTTCCATGTGTACTGAGCCCTACGGATAGTCTTAGATTTTTAGAAATGTGTGCCTCAACAATAAAACATAGTTAGATTGAATGGTTTTTGTCATCCATAGAAAACTATATATAAGTTAATAACATCAGGGTAGATTCACAAAACCATTGTCTTATCAGTGTACTAACTCTGGTGTCAAATATTGCTGCTTAAATGATGCAATATATTTTTTTCAAGACTCCACAAACATAATCCTACTCTTATGTTTTGAAGTAGAAAGAAAGCGGGGAGCTCAAAGAGTGGTACCTCAAAATCTCTGAACAAGTTTTCAAAAAGAAATGAAAGCCAACAGAAATATGGGTAAATTCATCAAACATGAGCCAAGAAACTCCAGAAATGAACGGTCTGACAGCAGCATGCTATAGGAGGGTAAAGGCGTCAACAGGGCTGGAGAACGAGGAAAAGAGAAACTCTAAGAACACTTCACAACGAAGGAGGTTCTTAAGTTTTTAGTGTCAGTCATTACTCTTTTGTGTGGCGTTGGCGTGCTCTCTGTGTGAGGCCGCGGTCAGATGTTAAAGTCTCTCCATTCGACACTATGAGGGCGCCTGTCTGCTGCTGGAGGCATCCGAGAGACGGATACAGAGCGAGGGCAGAGGTGGAGAAAGAGAGGAAGGAAAAAAAAGAGGCAGAAAGAGTGAGAGAGAGACAATAAAAAATGGAGAAGATACACTGACACGTATGAAGAAAAACTGCATTGAAAATGTGAAAGGAAGAGTGTGAAGACGAGGAAGCAAAACTGTCTCAGCAGTCATGACGCTGGTGAAGAAGAAAGAGGAGTAAAAGTGACAGAAAGAGCTTGAGAACAAAAAGAAAGAAAGAAAGAAAAAGGTGAAATAGAGAGAGGGAGATTCCAAGAGATGAATTCAGAGTGACAGACAGCGGTGAAGAATGAGACCGGGCATATGGGATGACACTGAAAGGAGTGATGATAGATTAAAATCCACTGAGAACAGACAGGCTACAGGGTCGTAGAGGGGCCACTGAGAGAACACACGCGCTCTTTGCACCAACTCACACGCACATCCCTGAGTTGGCATCCTGTGCGCACATTACCTTGTGTCAGCTTAAAGACGACATGCCCGGACCTAACAGGGTTTTGGTACCCCACTTGAACACTTGTTTATACCTTGTTGAAGAGTTTTTAATCGATGTACATTCATTACCTGAAGGCTTGGCCCAAAATTAACCTCAGATCTACTCTCCCCCCATTAAAATTAATAGTTTACCTGCTGGAAACCCCCATAATGTGACTGCGTAGGGATACATGTCCCCACAACACTATTAATTCATCACACACTTACACTCTGTTTGCTTGACTGTTCTTGAACTAATAGCACTTTGCCTGACATAATCATAATATGTTTGTGTCAAGCATATAATTACTGCGAATCCTGATAGAAAATTTCCCACTTAGTATTCAGGTTAAAGAGCCACTTCTAGAGCCGAATCCACAGGCAGCATCCTGACACGTGCAAGCTAAATTTTAAGGAGATACTACGAATGCAAATAATAACGAATTCCCAACAATGTCTGGTCCTTTATTTATCTATAATCGGGATTAATGGATAGACTTAGAGATATCTTTTGAATGTCTAAGTGGAAATATCATTTTTTTTTTTAACCATTGCAGAGGTTTATACTTGATACTGCAATGTTAAAGAAGAGTCATACAAGGGTCGGCTACACACTGGACAACTTTTTCATCTGAACTGATTTTAAAACTCATGGGATTCTTTTCTGTAAGGTTAAAAAACGGGGTCAAACTTGTACAAATGAGAGTTTAAGAAACTTGAAGCTCCTTCAAAATGAGCCACACGTTTCATTGTTGGCTTTTCATCTTTTTCCAATCCAAGGATTTTACCTGAACAATATTTTCTACACATTCAAAAGCGATTTATCCGCCTTGTATGTATGAATGTAAAGAAAAACACAAAGAGCAAACAAACCAAAAAGAATGCCATCACCCACAGTGTGTCTATTTTTTCATGTCAGGTCACACTTTTGACAACCGTGGGCCTTTAATGGGGTCTCTCAGCGTATCTGTCAGATCCTCTGTTCCTCAGGCGCTCTGACTCATTGCGGCTCTTTTCTCTCTGATCAGATCAATGTTGCTTTTCTCTGCAATGCAGCAACCAGTGAAACACATCACACACGCAGCTACACCCTGTGAAAAACCACAACAGCCTTTGTACAAACACGAGTTTTATCCCCCCGTCGTAGGTTGTCCTCAAAAGTTGCAAGGAGCCTTGAACCAGAAAGGGGAAACGGAGAGCACAAAGGGCAGTGGAATCCATCACCTCAGTTTAAATAAAAACTACAATAATTGTCTTGTTTGTGTCCCTGTTGTCTGCGATGCTTTTTTTGAAAGTGACACACATCGTTCAGTTGAGGTTAGAGTGAGGGTAACACTCATAATTAGGTCTAAAGGGGACTATTTTTTTGAGCTTGTGCATATGGTGGCATCTCATCAGTAGAACAAAGTTAAAATCAAGCATATTCTTGATCTAAGTTGGGAAAAATTCACGCTGTTCCAGCTTTAATAAGCACTCCTTTTCCTCATCTACTGTATGACTCCAATTTGGCCATGAAGGTCTGAACATTTGCAGAACTACATGTGCCCAAACTTTTTCACACAGGCACAAAAAAAAGAGTTTTTTTTTTTTTTTTTTTTTCCACTTTGTCCTTAGCTAGTTAACATCCCGAGTTGCTTAGCAGCTCACAATTTGAGTCTATAAAAAAATCTGTACCTTTTTTTTTTTTTTTCATTTTATTCCGAGCCGAGTCCAGAAAACTTAATTGTGTTATAAATGTCAGACCAACTGCAGATCCAGCAGAGTTCAGGAGGTGAAAACTTTCCCTGAACCCGCTGGCTAAGCTGCTCAGTCTGCACAGATCCGTCATCTGCTCCCTTCTATCAACGTGCGGCTCAATGACACCTCATTTCAACCCATTCAGAGAGGCCAATTGAATGACATATCAGCCCCTGATAAAGTATTTCGACTCAGCTGTTTAAGCCACTCATGTGAAAGTGTGTCTCCATTTATTCCATCTAATGAAACCCCAATTTCCTGAGTGGATTAGTGTTAAGGGCGAAAGTGCACCAAAGTGGGCTTAGCGCAGCGAAACACTACCCGAAAAGAACATTCATATGCCCTTGTGGATCCATAATATTACTAGAGCACTCTTGGGTATTTCAAGTGATCTTTCTGAGCATGTTTAAGTCACTCCATCAAAGATGAGAATCGGGGTCTGATTACATAAAAAAGAGGATTTATCTAATAGTCTTTCTTGGCACAAACAGAGTTACATAAAACCAATTTCCCATGAGTTTGTTGCATGTCAAGGAAGGAGTGTATATTATATTAATGTGTTCCACTGTCCTTTTTCTATTTCTTCAATTGCGCTTGAAATGCACAACAACAATCCTGGATAATTATCTTTTTTGTGGTCGTGAGAATGTGTCTCTATCTCTCAATCCATTTTTTACCCAGTGTCCACAGGCTTCTGAAAACCTAGGAGCTAAAAATACTTCCTTACAAAAATACAAGTTGGCGCAAGATGTTATTACACAAGCGGACACGAGAGGCAAAAGATCAACAGAGACTGAGCAGAGGCCCAAAGCTTAAGTAGAGCTCATAGTTCTGATGCTGGGAATTCATCGTTTCCAGTGCAGCAAATTGGGTTGTGACTTTGCTCAACTTTAGCACAGTCATTTATACTCGCTGAAACATCTTCAGAAATTAGTTTTTTTGGTAACAGCGCTCTTTGACAGATTTTTTCATTTCTTGGTGCCAGAAGAGGAACATTTTAATCATGGATCTTTGATACACAGGCCAAGGTAATCCAAGGGTTTTATCGGTTTGAACTCTCTTTTAAAACTAGCATAAAACCCTCTTTTTTTTAGCCGTTTTGGGATGTTAAATCTTTTACCTTTTATTGTAGTATTTCAGCATTCATAATCTTTCTGAAGACTTTTTAATGCTTTGGATGAACAGCTTCTATTTTGTTCCTTTTTGCCCAAACAAACAGCTTCTTGTACTGATAATACTGATTTGTAGCTTTAGTACCGAGCCCTCTCTTTGTGCCGTTTCTTATACTGCAGTATATACATTAATAATAGTTGTGACTGCATCACTTGCTTTGTGCATTATGCATATTATGCTCCCACTAAATTATGTGGCTGCTGGTTTCTGCTTTGTTACCCCTGGAGGTGTTCATTTACACCTCAGCCGTACTCAGTGTAAGTTGCTGGGATTTATATTGAGAGCATCCTGGGGGGCAGAATCTGAGCTGTAAGCAAAGTGGTTTTTTGAAGCATTCATTCATAAACCGAAGTAAAAGGTTTTGCTTCATGCATTCAGTGGCCCCAGAATGTGTTACAAATGTTTGTTGCACATTACAAAATGACAATGTGTACATTTGAACTCCCCTGAGACATTTCACAAAATGTGAATCTTGGATTTCCTAAATGGTAGACTTTGATTTCAGCTGGCTGTAAATAGGCTTTCATTCGACTGAAGTGACTTTTTCACTCCTGAGTGCTCTGCTTGTGTCATTCCTAATGGCCAACAAACCTCCCCTGAGTGCTGAATACTTTGAAGCGCTTTAATGGAGAACACAAGGGATGCTAACCTGAATTATGTTAACTGCGGGGTGATGGGGGATCCCACCAGCAGTTTAAATGCCTCGCTCCTCCCACACAAATCAGCAAATATGTGTTTAATACTGTGAGTGTCATTTACTTAACAAACTTTGAACTTCACTTTGAAAGAAGCACACTCATAGTACTTTTTTAAGTAAAATAAACAGAAATTTCTCAAACTTAATGCTCCTCAAGATCTTATTTTCTTTTGCAAAGAAACTCAGTCTGGTTGTCGACAAGAAAAGACGATAAAAACAAATTAAATGGTTTGAGAGGTTGTAAGGTTAAAGTCAGTCCCAGGACTCTGCAAAGAGGTTAATTGGATAACTTTTTATATTATGTGAAAGAACGTAATGAACCAAAAATCACAGTGAGTTGGCAACATATTCAAACAAGACCTTACACTGCATTTCTTTCACTGTGGGTGGCATTTTAATCCACACTAACTAACTCACTTTATTACTGTTACCTTTTAATTTTTTATTCTGTTTCACACTCTAAACTGTCCACTGTCTATCTTTCAAACTGGCTGTATCTTTCTTTCTGTTTCTTTCTATGTCAAATCCTCTTTTTTTCTTTCTTTCCCTTGTCCTTGCTTTGCTTCCTGTGTCTTCTATCTTTATCTTCTCCTCTGTCTTTTTCTACTACCTGCCAGTTCCTTAGGGGAGGTGGGCTCTTTGGCGACAGATGGTGGTCTGCTTTTCATCTCAATGGCGACCCTGGAGGAGAAGCGGGCCTTGGTGGGCGAAAGCAACTCCTCATTGGCCAAGGAGTCAGTCCTTGTCATTGTGCTCCGTCCACTACTATCCTCCTCCACCAATGCCACAGTGTCTCTCAGTGTGTTGCTAGGCGACATGGCCCTGGACGGTGATAGCATTTGGTCCTCCTGACTGTCAGGCATTTTGGAGGCAGAGTGAGGGAGGACTTGAACCTGCGCGCCTCCTCCTTGTCCATTGCTCTGCGGTCTCGCCGCACTTGCCGCAATGGCGACTTTTCCATGGCCGGCCCCTTGGTGGCTGTAAACCTTGTATCGTATCATTAAGATGATGATAAACACTAGCACAGAGGCCACAATAATCCCTCCAATGATAATGATCATAGTGCCACCCAGGAAGTGGCTGTGCAGTGCTTGGCACTGGCTGAACTCTGTGTCTGTGGTGAAGGACAGGCAGCCCAAAGGACGCGTTGCAGTCAATGATGTGACGACGTCATCAAACACAGCCAGGACGCAAAGATCGTAGCTTCTTCCTGCTGCGAGGTCCCGAACCAGGAAGTCATTGCTGGTGGAGGGAATCATCCTGCCAATGCAAAGACAAAAGAAACACTATTGTGAGTTTTCAAGCAATTTTTAACTCCAACCAAATAAACAACTCTGCAAGCTTTTACAAAGTCCTCAGTATTTTCCAAGAATATTTAGAGAATTTCCTTTTGTATGAAAAATAAAAGCACTTATTCAAGTGGCACGCAATAAATCCACTTATCCAAACTGCTACTTTGACGTGAGCTGGAGGTTTTTCACTATCGTCATTACACAGCAGGTCGCCTGTACATTTCCACACTTGCAGAAAAAAATGGCTCATGTTAGAAGACTGAGCAATGAATTCAACTTTTCTTGGGTAAAGGTAGCTGCTGACCTTTTACAAACTGCACCAGATTACATGGTGCCATGTAGGAAGTATGGGAGGACATCATAAGGGAAATATCACAACCTCATCCGGCAAGTGTGTACAGTACAGTAGTTCGGATCAGGAAAAGTCAAATTTAAACACAAGTAACTTTAAGTATGACAAAAATATTAAGACACATTGACGACTGAAATGTTTGCATATAGATGCAAGTACATTTGCTTTTTTTAATATGATCCATCTGAATCACATATATGAGTAAAACTGACAGATAGATAAAGCACAGTACGTTCATCTCTACATGCAAATACTTTTCATTTTACTCCAATCTTGCTGCTGCTCTGATGCTGTAGTACTGTGTTATTCAGATGCAAACAACCACAGATAATAATGGCATCATAAGCATGGCAGACTTTGTGTAAATTGGCTTAACAGTGAAACATAAAGAAACTAGGACATGGCCAATTTGCTGCTAGTTTAATTTCATCACAGTGTCTTACAGCCTGCCCTCACTGACATTGACCCACAGAGCCGCTCTGTTGGATGTAAAATTGATGAACAAACAGCACAGAGCTGAATCATGAACACCAAACACCAACACATAATAGAAAAAAAAAACAAAAAAAAAAACTCATCCATCTTTCTCTGTCCATTCACCAGCACAGTGTACCAAACAAGCAAGCCACAGTCATATAACAAAAAAAAAAAAAAATCCATTCCCCAAAATGACTTATGATTACATCTGGTTGTATCGCTCCCTTGTATTCAGCTGTGTGCTATTATATGAGGGCTGCAGTGGTGACACAGCCACTATCATCATACATTTCCATGCAGTCAGTGCTGCCTCTGGCACGACTACGACAGCCACCTCATCGCTCTTATTTCCCCACGGAGACGGAATTCATAAGCCTGTGATCTAAAGAACGCTTGCGCAGATCTGTCCCCCACAGCCGCAGAAATCCCCCATCTCTGATTAAACTTAGCTCTGAATCTCACTGTTGTTGAATTCTATTTTGGTCTTTCCCAAGATAAACAGCGTAGCTCCTATTCTATTTTTTCTTTGCAACTTTCCTTTCCTTTGGGAGATTCTGGGAACCGGGGTTTACCCAGGTAAACAAGGGTGATGCTTTTTCAGCTCTTACCTCCGTTTTGCTTTCACTTTCTATCTCCTTGTGTCTCAGCTTTCTCTAGGGGTCTTTAATATAACTAGTGGAATTGTCAAACACCTATGTGTCGGTGCTAAATTTTATCTGAACCATATTTTATTTCTGCCTCGCTCACATTTTCCCCAATGCACTTAAAGTCTCTGTGCCTGTTCCCATCCCTTCCCCCTTAAATGCATTTCCACCTCTGCACGGAGACAGACAAGATAAGCAGTAAATTCAGAATGAAACAGAGCTGATGGAAGGCTGTAGCATGTGTGTGTGTGTCTGAGAGAGAGAGAAAGAGAGAGTGAGAGCCAGTGGGCAGCAGGGTCTAGTCTCAGTGCCAAGCTCATCGATGGCATTGAACCTCCACCAGGAAGTATATCTTGGCAGATAGGTCTTGGTGTGTGTTTCTATGTGTGTGTTTTTGACCTTGTGTGGTTGCGCAGTCTGGTGTGAAAGGATCCTTGGACTGAGCTCTTAATAGGAATCGAACCAGGAAACTTGAACCGGCCTGATGTCTTGCAAAAGAGTACCAGCATGATATGAGAGCAGAGCTGCATTGTGGTTCCCGCAAGTAATTCCAAGAAGGTATTGAAATAAAAGAGAAGAAGAAAAGGACAGAGAAAATAGCAGCACTGACCATCTTATAAATTGACCAAAAACTGCAGACTGTGGGTTCTTCTAATAGTGTTCGAGCAAACTGATAACATGGTTGTGTGTGCCCGCTTTCATCTTCGCAGTAAATCATAGTATATTAGGGGAGGATGACTTCAGGGGAACAATGTGAGCCTCTAATCCAGTCTGTGCAGTTCATCACAATTGAACACATTGTTATTTACACAAACTTTTTTTTTCTCCATTTTTTAACAGTTTAAGAAAACAAGCTTGATTCTCGCAACACAAAACGAGGTGTGTGAAAGAGTCCCCGGGAGCGGGATGATCTGAGTCAAAGCACGTTATGTAAAAGTCGTGACTGGCTCTAATTAAATTGTCATGGAGACAGAGGGGGCAGCTTTCAGCGTTTGTGACTAAATCACCAACTTGCTTTCCACAATATGCTTATAGCTTGGTCGGTAAATAAAGTAAGATATACTGGAGAAAAAAAAAAACAAATCTCAGTGCATACTCGAAGTAAAAGTTTGTCACAAATCTATCAAGATCTATCATGAAATGAGTGGGGGCGCAGGGTCCATCAACTAAACAACTGAATCTCCTCATTCTTCACCAGAATTACCAACCAGTCCTTATTACATTCATGAGCGGCATGACTTCCATATAGTGGTTTGAAGCCTTGCTTTGTTGGACAATGTACTAATGCTGCGTTCAAGTTGTACTCTGAAGTCGGAATTTCCAAGCTCCGAGTTGGAAATTTATCTGGAAGACCCCCCTGAAGTCCGATTTTTGTCTCAGAAAGTCGGACGATCCTCACCAACCCTGACTTGACAACAATGTTAATAATCCAATATGGCAGCGCAGTGCATCAACAGTAAAGAGTAACAGTGAAAGCTCTTGTAATGTATTCTTTATTAGCTCTTCTGTTTTGTTTTTGTGAATTAAATAAGTGGTATATGTTGTATTGCCCAACATCTAACTGTGAACACGGTGCTATGGTGTTGGTAAGAGTAAAATACTGTGTTATGGGTTGTTTACAACTGGTATCGCGAATAACAACCAACAACTGCTGAGAATGGCTAACAACAGCTGACAATTGTAAACAACAGCTAAAAACAGGCAACTGTAGGCGTCCATCTTGGTTTTTCGGCGTTAACTGGAATGCCGCCAACTCAGGAGTAACACCATTCCCAGCTCCGACATCCGATTTCTGAAGTAACTGAAATGCAGCATTATTACCTCTATATCTCAGTGAGCAGCACAGCTATAGCATTGTGTAGCCAACTCTGGTACGAACTAACTCAGGCTGGTGTTACACTCTGAGTACGAAGCTTATGACGCTATAATCAACCGACCAAAAGTGTAAGATAACCAACTCGTTTGATAAAGATCTTTGATAACTTACAAATTGGAATCACAACTATCCAAAACAGGATGAAAGCATTGATAAAGTGCGCAGATGCCACTAACAAAAACTGACAACGGCCAACAACAGCTGACAATTGTAAACAACAGCTATCAACAGCTAACAGTAGGCGTCCATCTTGGTTTTCCAACTTGTTTACGGGAATACCGTCAACTTGAGTGTAGCGTCATTCCCAGCTCAGGCATCCGACTCCCGAGGTAACTGGAACGCAGCATAAAACTACCACGCATCACTGTGAAAATGCCGTTTTTTCCTAGTGTGGACATTCAGGAAAGAGAGTTTAGGGACTCACTTTTTGTCCTTCCTTAAAAAAGCAAAGATGGAGCTCCAGTGTGTAGTACTCTATATTCTTTGTCAGCCCTTGACATTTTCAGCTCTGTTGTGATTTGCTGTCAGTTTGTTTCATTTCACTGATTCCATGTCATGTTTATTTGATTTGTTTTATTCTGTTTCATAATGACTGACCTTCTCAGAACAAAATATGACAGATAGGATCTTCTGCAGCGACACAAACACGCAAAGGGAAACTGGCTTTATGTTGGCGGAACTGCCAAGAAATAATCCCCTGTCTCTTTTTGGTATTACTGCTTAAATGTGCATCTGTGCATCAGTCAATCTTCAACTTATCCCAAACACAAAGTCAGTGGAGTGTTAAACGCTTGAGAAATAACGGCAGATTGAGAGTAAAGCCATGGTTAGAGAGCTGACATGCAAAGGGCTCAATGCAAGGGTTAGCAAGTGATTACATTTAATTTGATACAATAGGGAAATAATAAATTACATTAAAACTTAATCAGTTTCTGAGTTACTTTTCACTTTGCTAACATCTGCTAGGGGTTTCTACTCCTGGCTAAAACCCTGACACGCACCTGAGCTCAACCAGGACCGGTCCAGATGTTTGATGATGAATATAAATTATGTAATCACCAGGGCAGCTCGCATCAATCTAAAGTAAACCAAACGAAATGAATAAGACTTCATCTAAAACACCCCCCATGCTACTATGAGAACCCTTGCCAACAAAATCAGTGCTGCCTTGGCAGTGGGTCAAATCTATTCGAAAATAACTTGACAGTTTTTAATGTTTTCCCCACCTGTAAGTGCTTTTTTCTTTTTTTATAAGACACCAAACCAAGAAAACCTCCACTGCCCTGAGGCTTTTCTTAAAGGCAGGTGCTTATGAATAAAGGAGTGAGTAGGTGGAATGAGGTGAGGTTATTATTAAAACACAGAACACCACCAGCAGCTAGAACAAGTAGGATTTGTTTGGCAGGAGACTCCCTAAATATCTGACCAGAATATAACACCTTAAAGCTATTCCCTGCATGTGCACGCACGTTTTCCTCTTTTCTACATGCTTTTGCTCTTATTCGCTCTAAAATAAGTCCAAAAGGGGTCAGTTACCGGGCAACCCTGGAGCACAGAAGGATTAAACATCTTGTTCAAGGACACTTCAACAAGATGTTTGCTGTCACAGGAGACCGAGGCATCCACTCAAAGGATGGTTTCTTTTTTAACCAGCCCCCCAAAGCCACTTCTCAAAAAATGTATTACATGTCAATTATATGTACTCGAACCAGCATATGGCATTTAATCTTTATCACTGACCAGCATCTGCTTGTTTTGTACATCCACTGTTACACAAATATGGGAGGACTGATGCTGGATTTTCAACCAATCAATAATTAGCGTGGCTCAGAGATTTGGGGTCTTGTTCTTGTGTGTCATGACTTAAAAAAAGGAGAAGGACTGCTGGGCAAAGTAGAAACGGTTCAGCAAGCCCATTTGACACTGCAATCATACGGGATGATTTATTCAGTTAATGGGTTCAAACACGGACACACACACACTCACAGAGTTAAACAGCTTAATGGATTCCTTTTTCCCCGGCAATTCAGATTCACAGACGCACAAAAACACACAAAAGCTGCTGAACAGTTTCTGCCACCGCACACACGCCTAACACAAACACACCAACAGTCATTTGTGTTTTGTCACTCGATTTATCCTCACACCCACAGGAACACACGCACACGTGGAAACACGCGTACACATCAGTGTGCGCCCACTCACGTACTCATTCAAATACACAAACAGATAAACTATCTGTTTAAATTGGACAGATTAGCACATGGCATGCGATCTGACTCATGTGCACATGCATAAAAATACTGCGAGCGTGGCAATAGCCTGATTAATGTGTTTCAAGGGTTGCGTAAGCTGACAGGTTCTCAAAATAATCCCTTTTTGTCAACTCTTAACTTATTTATTCATCTAATAAATGTAAGTAAGGCTGTTTACTCATGATTTTATACACGCTGTTGTTTGTAGAGTAACCCCTCATGCTCCTCTACTCTGGGTGTTACACACCACTTACTTTTTAATCCTTGGCATTGAAGTCACTGTGGAAATAACTTCCATTTGGCCCAATTTGCTGCTGACCTTTCAAAGCGTGTTTAATTACCCTATGGAAACCAAAATGAAAAATACACACCTCTAATGATGTTCTTTGTTTTCACTTTGTTGGTTTTAGTAATTACAGTCATGTCTACGTGCTGCCAAAGTATCATTAAACATCGCACTGATGCATGCTGTCCCTGAATGTTGCAGATGCACATAGAATTCATGCAAACTAGCACACGACTATGCAACTAATGTGACCTTGTGACAAAGCATTAACTCTGGGTTTTGGCCAGAAGAGTTGTTTCTGACTGGGGAGACAATATCATAGTTCAGTACATCAAATGCAAGTATATAATGCAGCAAAGTGGTTAAAAACAGAGCCCCACCACTCCCCTTATGTAAGGCCAAAACTTGTAGAGCCCCTTCTTGCGGGCAGAAATGTAGGTCATAATGTTCTTTACCTCCATTGTAACATAAACAACTATGGGTCCAACCCTCTTGAAAACAAGGAGGCTCATCTCAAGGGGTAAACGGTGAATGGACTATGTTCATGTCACATTTTCTTAAGTGTTCTGGACACTGAGAGTGCTTCACATCATATGCCACACTGACCAGTTCACACACCAATGGCTGAGACAGTTATGTATACAGCCCTAATCCCGTTCACACATCACTGGGCGCTGCAAGCGGGGGGCAGATGGGGTCAAGTGTTTTGCCAAGAGACACTTAGCTTTGTGGACATGTCTGGGATCAACCCCCCCGGAGCTTCTGATGGGAAGATGACCAGCTCTACCACTTGAATTAATCTCAGTAGAGACACATTGTTCAAGTAATTAAACAAAACTGCTTATCAGGGTTCCTGGGATTGCAGTTTACTTTTTTAAACTTGTTTTTATTTCTCTGTTTTTCGACGTAAACACATTGTATCATCCATTACCTAGTGTGTCACAAATGGTTGAATAATATCAGCGACTACTGAAAGCCCAATCGGATTTCATCCTAGCCATTTGAGACTTGGGAGCAGAGTGTCTTCCCTCTGTGCGGTGACACTGAGCAATTTCTCTCAGTGCACGTATCATCTTGAATACTAAGAAGGCACGGTTTCATTTCCATTTTTTCATTTTTTGATCTTTTTCCTGTTTTTGTTGTTTTCTGTTAAACTGTCAGATCAGTTTTGTCATGTATCTCAACCTTTAAGCAGTAAATTTATATTGACGTGTTTCCCCCCTTCATCAGATCTCCTTTCTTAGGTTTTCATCTCTAACCGCTTTCAACAACACTGCAATCGAAGACCAGTAATTACTGCCTCACTGTCATTTCCCCAGGATATTCCCCACCCGTGTGTGGCACAGCACAACTTCACTCACAATTCACACCTGACAGCTTGATAAGACAATCAAATACTGTGAGAATGGAACCAGTTTACATTCCATTTTCTGCAGTTATTCATTTATTCATAGATGCTAATAGGGACTGATAGAAAGTGGTGGATAAATTTGAAGGTTCACAAAGATGGCCATGCTTTTTAAAGACATAGACAGGTAGATGGGGTATTACTGTAGTAAAGTTAAAGATGTTCAGATACTTAAAGACACTTTGGACATCATGTCAAGTTGACATTTTTGTGACATTTTAGTTAGCCACACCACTCAGGTTTTACCAGATACAAGGGTATGTAGCTGGGAAGTTGTTAGTATACAAACCCAATGGGCCCCAGGACAGTACCTGGGGGTATTTCAGCTTCAGTAATAAAGGCAACTTGATGTTACTGATTACAACACACAGTTTAACCCATAGACATTTTATACGTAGACTCATTATTTGCTGGAGCGTAATTCAGCATTGCCTTCATATTGGATGGGTGTCTCCATTCTAGGCTCGCACAACAGCCAAACGGAGTCAATTGAGAACGAGCACTTATGCCCTTATTTGTGCACTCTGCCGTTGAAAAAACCAATGCAGTATTAAAACCAGATCGTGTAGGATTACATTTCACAAGTAAAGATTGAAAAATATTTTGTTGCAACAAATCAAACCGTGTGAAAATGGGGCAGAAATTCAGAGTTACGATTAACATGGTTGGGCATTCCTAACTACCTTAATGCACTGGAGGCACATGGGGTACCCATCCAAGATGGCAGCCGCGCTGATATGTGATTTTGTGTTACCATTTCCTTTAGCCTTGAATAGGACCCAAATATAATGGTTAGCTTTTGGCAAGGGCAGTTTTTTCCCATCCCGCTTTGTTTAACAGTCAACTGTGTCACTTATTGTTGGTATTTGCTGCTGATTTTCAAAGTGCTGACAGTTGTCTGGTTGGTCAACTGCCCCCTAGAGGCACTCTACAGGCATAACAATAACAAAATAGAAGTTTAATCCTCATTAATGAGCATTTGCATTTGTGGTTCTTACAAATACAATCTACATAGTTGTACAGATAGTGATTTCAATATGTCAAAACTCCTCACTGGAGCTTTAATTCCATAAACTAGACAACTGCCAAGAGAAATTTATCAGTATACTACTCTAAATATTGTCTAGCACACCAAGTGACTACTTTCACTCTACAGCTGAATGTTGAAGGTAAGACAGATGGGCTTTGACATGCAAGCTTAAGAAACAAACTTTGATTGAGGTTGCTGTTTGAAAGAGGTGTGCAAGGATCTCCAGCTAAATTCGCTTTTAAAAACTCTCTCAATTAACATATTTCACACATGGTGCCACTTCCTTTTGCCAACTCATCACCAAACAGGGTCCTTGTGTTTACCCAAGTCACAATCAAGCCACTGATACTATTAAAAATGCAAACTTTTCTTTGTGAAACCTGTGGCAGGTGATAATATTTTTTTTAATAATCCTACGTGTGTTTTTTAAAACTATATTGTGCATTCTGTACCACATTCATAGAAACACACAGGGAGATAACACCCTGTTTGTATGAGAAAGCACTTGGCTGGGTCATGATATATTGTTTCAAACCTGCCATTGCTGCCAGGATACAAGCATGAAAAATGAAGCCTCTCCCAACATGTCAAACTTCAGTGTAATGGATACAAAAATAAACAGTGTAAACAAATATCACACAGAGCTGTGATTGTGTTTGTACAGCAGGGGTGTAGTCAGTCTGAGGGTGGTGAAGGCCTCTGTGTCTGTGGTCAGATAGCATTAATAGATGCTAATGGAGGTCTCATCAGCAGCTCCTCTTTGTTAGCATGTCATTAGTGTCTTGTCTCAGGCGAGAACAGTGACAGGTTTGTTAGAGGCTCGTGTAACAACGGCGCGCTGATGAAGGTTCACCCCACTGTTGAGTGCTGTGTGCCGGCATGTTCACAAGCGTGTGTGTGTGTGCCGTTGACATTTCCACGCTGAAATGTACACTCACGTGCACATCTGCATCCGTGCATGAGCCTGACATTTTCCTGCTGTCTAGATTCAGTTATGATGACTGACGGGAGGACGTTTTGTTTGTAAATACTGTCCATCATTCAGCCCTTGGGCCCTCCAGTTACATCCCTGCACACACACACTCTCACACACACACATATGCATGCGCTGACTCCCAAACACACAAGTTGTCATGAAGTCACATCCAGAGCTCTGGGTTCTGACTGTTGATCTAAGCAGAACGTCAAGTGAATATTTATGATAATGTGCCCTGGCTGTTTTTAAATAATTTAAAGTGCCAATTATTCCTCCAGTGCAGGCAGCTCAGAGTAGGAGAGGGCAAAGGGCTGACAGCGAAGTTCCTGCAGCACACACTCACTGTCCACTCTGCTGGACACACTGCAAAGAATGACTGAAAGCCCCCCTTGGATTCAGCATGTATAGCTGGACCCACAGTGGGTTGAGAATAATTGAGTGGAATTTCCAAAACCTCGTACGAACTACTGCCAAAATGTTCCAAAGACACAACTAGAGTTATGAATCACTGATTAGTGAACACACAATGAAATTAGTTTAACAGCCCGTCATTTTTATGCAGAACAGAGTGGCCATTAGGCATTCACATCACCCAGGGGACAAAAAAAATGTGATGTTACAAGCTTTAATTATGAAAATACGTGCCTGATAATTAATCATTCGGTGTGGACCTCCCCCTGTGGGGTTTAGACCGCTGAGGGCCTCATCCTGTCTTCCCCTCTTAGGTGAACTTTCCACCTTCATCCCCCCGAGGGACTGAGTCAGTATTTTTAAGGTTCCACAGTTTGAATTCACTCCTACAGTGTTTTGACACATCCCCTCTCTCTCCCTTTCTAACATAGCCTCTCTCTCTCTCTCTCTCTCTCTCTCTCCTCCCTGCATAATTCCCCTCCCTCCATTCACTATGTTTTTCCTTCTGTGAGCCTCTCTCAGGCCTATCCTGCTTAATATCAGCCATCATCTCCAATTTCTCAGCCTCTCTGTCTGTATAATTTCCACTCATTTTCTCCTTGTCACACACATGTTCCCAAGGATCTGATTTCAGAGTTGTGAGTTGCGAGGACATTTGCACTTAAATCATTTGCGCTTTTATTGCGGATGTAACTGGTGATTAAATCATCTGATAAATTTCCTATTAACAGAGACAGAGATCTTGGAGCCCGCTTCATAAATCTGGATTGATAATAACTTGTGTTTTTAAAGCATGAACCCAAAGTGACGGGCATAACTGCTTTCAAAACAGAAGTCACAGTGGTGCGATGTGCAGGCTGTGCTACCTGCTCGCCTCTTTTTTATTATAATAATAATAATAATAATACATTTTATTATCTTGAAGACTTAAAAACAGGCAACTGGACCGTGTAGAGTTGAGAAGAGAAATAACATTGAACAGGAAAGGGAGGAGAGACGCAAGAGCACTGTAATCCCTTACGTTGCAGGCCTGTCTAAAAACAAGGTAAGATTTGAAACTGATGAGGTCCGGGCATTCACGGATGTGTTTAGGGAGGGCGTTCCAGAGGTTGGGGGCGGAGACGCTGAAGGTGCAGTCCCCCAGGGTACGGTGCTTGGTTTTGGCTCGGGGTGACAGGAGGTTTGCATCAGCTGAGTGGAGGAGGCGGTTTGGGGTGTGGCGGACAGTGAGGTCAGACAGGTGGGGGGCAGGTCGTGGAGGGACTTAAAGGTGAGAAGGAGGATCTTGAATTGAATTCGGTGGGCAACAGGGAGCCAGTGGAGTTGACGGAGGACGGGGGTGATGTGGTCGTATGGGCGGGTGCGGGTGAGAAGTCTGGCGGCAGAGTTCTGAATGTGTTGAAGTTTGTTGAGGGTGGTGGAGGGGAGACCGTAGAAGAGGCTATTGCAGTAGTCCAGTCTGATGGTGATGAAAGCGTGTATTAAGGTTTACCGTACTTTTATCCGATCTGAAGCTGGGATACATTCTCTTTGGAATAAAAGTAGTTTTTCTATGTAATTTAAGTATAACTGTCTCTACACACTGAGCGCAAGTAAAATCATTCGCGCGAATGAATTACATGTTAAGTCGATGCAAAGACGCGATTATACACTCTGGCTGCTCGAATGACGCGAATTGGGCGCGAGCTGGAAATGTCTCAACTTGAGCGGATATTGGTGCGCGATAACTAATTAGCACAAAGGTTGCCGGGTGACGTATGAAAATGTACGGTTGTTCACTAGTATCTAAAATGGAGGACAAACTGAGGACAAAGTGAGGAGGTTGGATTACTTGGTAAATTGTAAAAAACATTTGTCTATCACTTGATCCTGATGGTTGAATTTGCAGGGATTACCGTTGAAGTTACCGATGACGCACGAACAAGGCGAGTAAATACTATTCATTCACACGCCTAGTGCCTCGCAAGTAGATGATTTAACTCGCATTTGGAAAAAGTTGGCAGAGGTTCCTCTAATATCATACCACCCAAAGACTAAGTATGCATTTGTCTCTCTCTATCTCTCTCTCTCTTTTTAATTGGGGTTAAAGGTTATATGCTCCTATCATCTGTATCACATTGCTCTATACGGACAGTACACTCTGCTAACATAACCTGCCTTTGTTAAAGTAAGTTAATGCTCCTGTTTGAGCCGTTTCCCTTACAGATGGCCAATTTTGACTAAATACACAAAACCATGCTGTCAGTAAGTGATCAACGAGGGGTCAATAAGCCACCTGTTTGGTTGGCAGCTGCATCACTTGGGTGGTCAAGCTGCCAAATGGTTGTAATTTGGCTCAAATAAACGCATGGGTCCACTTATATTTAAAGTTTCTCATTTGTTCTAAAGCCAGAAAGCATCAGGGGGGCTGTAAATGGGGAGGGGGTTCGTGCGTTTCCATATTTACAACAAAAAATGCAGTTACCGTCTTTGGAGTCCATAATTAATGTAAGAGAATTTCAAATCAAGTGATAAGCATGTAATGTAATAATCTCAGAAAATAGATGTAAACTGCTCAAAATGGTTCACAGAAAAATTACAAGACCTCACGGAGCCTTAAAGAGACGGCACCAAAAACGAAGTGTTTCACACAGAGGCTGTAATAATCGTATTTTAATACACCAGGGAGGGAAACACAAGGCTTTTTTGATCAGAAAATCATGTAAAGTGAGTAAAAAGGTATCAGAAAGGAAGGAGAGTCTTAAAAAAGCAGATTACAGTTGAAAGCGTTCAAGATGAAAAATCCAACTCCAACCAAACCCTTAGGATCTCAGAAAGAGTTGATCAATTTATGATTTATCATATTGGCATGAATAACAACCAAATTGTTGGTTATAAAAAACACTTTGTAGACTATGTATCTGTATATGAGTTCTACGACTACATAACAATTCAACTGTTATTTGTAAAATAGCGTAATCTGCCTTTTCTCTGCACTCTTTTTAAAGCTACCTACACCCTCAATTTCCTGGCGCTGCATATTCAATCGGACAGCTGCTGAGTATAAAAAGCTTTTCTCGCCAGCAAGTGAGAGTGGCTGCTGGGTAATTGTGAAACTAGACATACAGGCGTTATATTTTCAAGAATAGACAAGCCACTTCTTTTTATCGCCACATTCAGTTACGAATTATTAAACAACATGCATTAACTTCAGAGGGGATAAAATCTATTATTGTGACGGCTGTCATAACAACTGTACCTGTGTGTGTCGGACAGGCGGCCTTGAAGATATCCCAAATGGTACTTATACTGAGAGGTGGAACTTCTCTCAAGCTTTAATTTATTTTTTTATTTCTACTGAGTGTTACATAAGCAGCTGAGAGTCAGGGATTTAAATTGCTCTTGTCCTGGTGGTTCTTAAGTGACTGCAAAGGAATATATATAAAGTATATATTTATATGTATAGTAGGGTACACAAGAAAGGACTCATATTGAATGACTGTTGTGTCCTAAAGGTGTTTTTGATGTGGTTCCTATTCTGGGCTATATTTCTTGAAAAGAGGGGAGAGAGAGTAGTATTGAAGAGAAAAGAAAATAGTGATACTCCGCTCACAATAACGTTTGTTTGTTTGTTTGTTTGTATGGATATCAGATGACCTAAGTAACCTGAGTTTATACTTTGGTTACCAGATAACCTGTGTGAGCAACAGCATTACCATCCTTGCTCTTCAGCTTCGGCGCACCTCATCTGTTTTCTGTCTCACGTATGAGAGTGTTTTCCTTCCTCCTACTCACAAGCTGCTATTCTTCTATTTCAATTCCTTTCACTCTATCCTTGATTTATTTTTACTTTTGCTCCTCTTTCACTCTGTCCTTCATGCACAGCAAGGTAACACTTCAAGAGACTTTTACACCTCCTAAGTAGCTCCAACCTGCAGTTCTGTCGAAGTGACAAAACTTTTACAAGGACATAGAAAACAGTCAAAAAGAAGCTAATCTCTAATGTTTTCTTTGACATTTACTTTCATTCCTCTTTTCTATGACTATCTTTACTAATCTTTGGAACTCTAAAACTAATCTTTGTCGAGTTAAAATAACCAGTCAGGAGCAGAAATGACAGACTCATTTATAAAACATCTAATCCCAGCAGTTGATTGAACATTTGAAAAGTGCAACTTAATTCAGTCTCTGAAGACTCTCCATGTCCATCTGTCGCTCTCTTCCCTCATAACTTTGGGGAACTAAGGTTCAGGCAGAGCGTGGGGGTGATCACATAAGCCAATGGGGAGGAATATAAAGCTTTTCCTGTCCTCCTTCTTCTCCCTCCTCTACTTTTCACTTTACTGGGGTAGTGAAGGTAGATAGAGTGTCTCGATGTACTTTTCTCTCTGGTTTTATCTTTGTTTTTCAACTTTATATAGCTTGTAATGAGAGCTTTCATGGTCAGAGGCAGTTTGGGACACTAGAGCTAACTTTTAACCATCACCCCTACCCCCCATGCAGGGGTCTTGTGGACATGGTTCATAAAATACAGATACATTGATAACCTCAGTAAGATTCAGGCAGGGCCAGAGTGGAACTCATTTTCAGCCCGGGGAGTTTTACGGCTCAGACCCGCCCACTGAAGTTCACAACCTGAACTGAAGATATAAAATATTAGCCTTGCTGAAATATATACAACCAAGACGGAACATTATTTTCTGCTTCCGTGTTAATCATTGTCTATTTGATCAAAAAAATAAATAAATAAATAAATAAATAATAATAATAATAACAATAACAATAATAACAATAATGATAATAATAATAATAACAATAATCATCATCATCATAACAATAATAATAATAATAATAATAATAATAATAATAATAATGATAATGACAGTAATCACAATAATAACAACAACAATAATTATATTAATAATAATAATAACAATAATAATAATAATAATAATAATAATAATAATAATAATAATAATAATAATAATAATAGTAATAATTTAAAAAAAAAACTGCAGTGGACCAAAACAGGCTTTTGAAAAAGTGGTGGGGAGATGTCCCCCGTGTCCCCCCCACAAATTACTTCCTTGTGTGGCTCAATATTTTGATATTACTTTCTTTTAATCATGACTTACCTAGGAATTAGTTTTACGAGTCATTTCATTTCACTAGTCATAAACTTGTAAACATTTCTGTCATCATGAAGTCAAGTTATTTTGATTTCGATGAAGCCAACATTTTTTTCCGGGTGCTTTTCATACAGAGCATGTGTAGATTATAGTTTAATCTTAGCAGCTTTTGTGCATGAATAAAAGAGGCCCGCTTCCGTCTGAGAGACAGTTTCCTTGACAGCCATTTTTTGTTGTTGTTTTAAACACAAGACAATAAAGGGAAGGCATTCTGTGAGGCCTTGTTTTTGAGGAATCAGGAGTTTTCCGCTGGGCTGCATAACTTAAAAAAGGCAAAGATGAAAGATGTCCAAACAAAACACTTTGATTTCATTAGACTGCATAATTATTTAAGAGGCTGCAGTGTGGACTTCTAGAGGAAAGGGTTATATGAAGCTGAATCAGTAATAAAGAGCAAAAAATTAAAAATCCAAATTATAGATCTGCTTAGTGATGAAGGGTGGTCTTGTTCCTTTTGCTCTCCAAATGCCCTTCAAAATCAATTGAGTATTTTCTTTATGTTTCATCGAAGAACAGCTGTATTGATTAAATCGGGGTTGATGGAAACAACACAATATTGATAACAGAATCTTTTGGGAGTGATTTTGTGTCCAGAGTTGATGTCTAATTATAGCCTTTGATTTCATTACATCAACTCAAAAGTTTCAATCTTGGACCAAAGGATTGTTAGCACAAGGTTGTAACAGTAGCAATAAAGGCAAAAAATGTGGTCTTAAATCTGCGAGCACAGTTTCCAACATGGAAGAACACACAGGTCAATCTCTCTGCAACAACAAGCTTTTGACTTTGTGAGTCCCTGATTTCCCATTTGAAAGACAAGCAAAATCCAGACAGCCCATCACAAGCCTCAAGAGCAAGAGATGAGAGACATCCAGAGTCCTCTGCTGACTTTGATTTTGTCAGAAAAAGCAGCGACACACTCACTAACAAGGCAGATAAGGGGGTGACAGTAGGAAAATAATGGTGAAAGAACCAGAACATATAATCCTGGTAATCCACAGCAGCTAGAGGCGACGTTTTCTGAGAAAGTTTCTGTGTTTTTCAGGTCCCTCTTGTCTTCAATGTGCTCTGTCATCTCTTTTGTCCTCCTGCCTGACACAAACTTGTAATCCACCTGCTCTGGCTCCTCTGACCCAAAGGTAATCCAATTACCAACTTCTAAAAATTTCTTCTTAAGTAAAGAACTTTGGGGTTTCAGTCTTTGATTACTTAGTCTGAGCAATCAGTATGAGCAGATATAAAAAGCCCTGGATCATCTCAGAGAATGAAGTCCAGAAAGGGTGTAATTAGGCACATATGACTCAAACTTAGCAACTTTGTGTCTTAAAGGGATATTGTGGCATAAAATTAATTTAGGGTCAAACAAACAGTAACGCTGAGTTAGAGACCCCACGAGAAATGAATGTTGCCAACTGCTTTCTTCTCTAGTTACACCAACTTTAGTAACGACCACACGATAGCAATACACAGCAGTCTGAGGAGCCATAAACAATCCTCAACTATCATTTCATTTCATTTCTTCTTTGAAATGCAATCAGACCAAGATACTAAAGCAGAAGAACCACAGCGTCTGTAGTGCAAAATGATTAATATGATGATTGTTACTTCAAGGAAATGATAAAGTAATGATCACCAATGTTCTTCCTTGCTAGCAAGCAGTCTGCAACATTCATCTCTGGAGGGAGAGTCTAACTCGGTTTTACGGTGTGTTTGACCCTAAATTACTTTTACGTTGGGATATCCCTTTAAGCTAAGCAAATTGAAACCAGTCCACTTTCAATCACTCCCCTTCGTACTCTGTCAACTGCCTGTCCTCTGTAACTAAAGACAAAAAGCTTAAAAATAAATCTTAAATCAATAAATAAATACCAGGAATCGCTCTTATCAAGCTTCCCTGCTTACATCATGTTTATAAAGTAACCTGCTGGTTTTTACTTGAACTCTATGTTTTTTTTTTGTTTTTTTTGCTGTTATATTTTTAGACAAGAGCTTATCTTCATCACAATGGATTTGATATTTGATAAAGCAGACTAAGGTCAATCCACTAGTTACATAATATCCAGGATACAAGTGCAGCATCAGTTTCCGTTTTGTAATCCTCAACATCACTCCTGTACGAAACTCTGAAAAAAAGAGGATACTTGGATACTGTATAACCCACAGTCATGGTTCATAATTCATAATTAAAAAAAATAATCATCTTCAATCAAAAACTGTTTAAAATCTCTGGAAAACAAGAAACACATCTTGCTTAACTCGCTGCAAAAACTCAGAACTTAAATCAGTTTTGGAGACTATCACACGATAATCTCTGATCTTCTTAGCTGCCAAAAAAGAAAAAGAAAAAAAAGAGAAGTGATTACAGCATGCCAAGAGCTCCCCGATGTGTCCCAAGAATGGGGTATTGCACACATTTTTCCGAGACATGTGGTCCTTTTTCACAGAGTGCACTGCACATGGATAGGAATCAAAGTGAAGTTTTCCAGTTCTGTGACATTCTGATGGCATTTCTGTTCACAAATGATGTCCTTCCTTTGCCTAACAGACTGTGATTTTCCCCGTGTGCGGCGGAGCGTTTTGCTGCTGGATTTCAGACGGTATCAGAGTTGAGCTTTGGTTCCCTTTCAAAAAAGGGTCAGAGGATGATCTGCGGGGTAGTATTGGACTGTGGCGGCACAAAGCATGCGATTTTATTTACCAATCCTTTTTTTATTCTGACCTTCACCTCTGTCTATGAGATTTGTGTTGTGACCAAAAGGAATATGATAATGGACTCAAGCAGCCAAATGAGGTTTATCCACACACTGACTGAGCTCTGTATCGGTGACACAGCGATGGTCCAGGCAGTCCAGAGGGCCTCAGAGTTAAGCTCTGCATCCAGAGATGCCAGCTGAGGTTGTTTGGCACCTGGTAGGGATGCTGAACCCTGACGTGTTTGAAGGTATACTAGCCACAGTGGACTGAGAGGGCAGCCCAGGGCAGGCCCAGGACATGGTGGAGAAGCATAGTGGTGAGGCTTCCAGCTGGCAGAAGAAGTCAGTGTGAACCAATGAAGGAGCAGCTGCTGTGAAAAATAACACTGATGATTTAACTCAGTACCTTCAAAATCTTGCAGAGGGAAAATAATCCTTTTTAATAAATAAAGGCTAGATTACATTGTTTTGTGAAATTGATGTGTGGGCAGCAGGAAAAATGGTCAGGTGTACTGACATGAGTAACCTTTACAATGTGCAAAATGTGATGGCCAGAGCGGGTCAGACCAAAGCTGTAAATCCTGATAGGTGTCCTTGGTATACAATGGATGGTATCAAAAAAAACCTAAAAGCTAAAGGATAAAAAAAAAAACAGATATTCCTGCAGCAAGGTCATGAGTGGCCAAACTGATACCACTGTGGGGAAGCAAAGGTTGACTGCTTTTGTCTGATTCAACAAAAGCGCTTCTGAAGCTCAAATAGCTTAAAAGGAGGGGAGTGCGTGCCAGCAATGATAGAAATGTGTCAGACAACCCCAAAAAACAGTCAGTCCAGGTTATCCCCTGAATGCAGTACCTCCAAAGGCACAATTGGCATGCAAGCATCAGATCTTGATGATACCAGTGTTTGACATCAGAGATGCACCGATCCATTTTTTCCCGATCCAATCCGATACTGATACCTGGGCTGAGCGTATTGGCCAATACCTGATACCGATCAAATACTACTGTTGAATTAGTGAACTGTGTACCTTACCCTTTGAGTGAAGGCATCAGGCTTTTTTTGAAAAAAGGTAACAAATTAACACAGATATAAATTAACTTAATGTTATTTATAAACAAATTACAAATTGCCCATTAGCACACAGAAAATAAAATTAATACTTCCATGTATTTAAAGAATTATTAATTAAAAGAAGAATAAAAAGACGGGGTTGGAGCGCTGGATGGGTGTCATTCATCAGATATCCACTCAGTTAACTTGTCAACATTGGAGCTGATATCCGATCCAAATATCGGTTTGGTGCATCTCTATTTGACATGACTTATGAGCGAACTTGATCTTATGCCTCTTTCCTTTGCAACGCCACTTCTCATGCCTGCACTTGAGTACTTGGACCACATCAAGTATATCTTCCATCTGAAGAGCATCACTGTGAGCCCCTAAAATCCAAAGTGACTGACAGAGAGTGAAGTGTGGAGGGAGGGGGTATGCGCATATTAATATAACAATGAAAACTGTAAAAACCAGATGTCTAGCCTCATATGGTTGGGATGTAAAATTGCAGATGCGGCTGGTAAGTATGCAGGTGCAGTGTGTCTCCAATATGTTATGTAGTGTGGCAGGGAGATAAAACCCCTCAGTGGCTGACAAAGGTTGAACATGACATCTTGCTGCTCAATATGGAACAGACCTGAGGGGGAGAGGTTGTTTGTGGAAAGCATACAATGCAAAGTAAACAAGGGATGGAAGGTAAGTGGTTGTGCGAGTACGGACTCAAGCTGTCTTTCTTGTGGCGGTTAGAGCTTGCTGACGTAGATCTCGCACACCCGGAGGAAGCAAGAGCACACAGACGGGCTACAAATGGCACTTGTGCGTACTGTCATAAGTACCGGTAGGTCAGTTGTTTTAATGCCCTCCATGAGAAGTTTCAGTAAATCTACAAAGCTCCCCTCCACATACTCTAGTATACGTCTTCAGTGCACGCAGGTACTGTTACTGTGTGAACAAAGCTGATCCTCTCTATTAACACTATGCCCTTAAAGATAAAGTAAATCAATTCTTCTCTCTGGTAGACAAATCATTCAATGCTACGCGAAGTATGACCTTCACTCATGGAGTCAGAGGGCAGGGGATAACCAATACGAGATAATGTCAGCGCCAAGCCCTGGTGCAGCCATCGTCTTTACCTACCAGCTCAGACTTAATGCTCATCTTAAACACGATAAAGCGGCTGAACAAGCAAAGCGCCTTTGTTGGCAGACATCCTCTTTAAGATAAATGTATAATCTGATGTAATAATATAGATATATAAGAGGTTTTTCTTGTTTAATTCTGTGATCGAGTTGAGGCAGTTTGCTGTATGAAGAAAGAAAACAATTGCTGAGGTTGACCCCCGAGGACACATTTATCTGGGATAGTTCAGGGGTCACACTTCAGCCGACAACTCAGACCTAATCTGGAAGACAAACAGAGTCTTCATTGTTGCTGCTGAACCTTGCTTGTGTTTTTCAGGGACTCATTTTTGATGCTATGGTAGCATTCGCTCAGACCAGTAATAAGCAATGATGAGAATGATTCATCAGAGTGACCGAATGATTTAATATTTGTTTGTTTTATTCTTATTCTTCCTATATTTCCCAGACCCAAGTTATGTTAATGTATGCAGGGGATGTTGACGATTATGTTGGAAAATTGTGTAGGAGTTGTGCAAAACAACATGGCAGAGGCTTCCAAATCAAGTGTGGGAGCTCTACAGGTTTAACAAGGAAGATGGGCAACATGACAACTCAGACCCGATGTGCCAAAGAATGTCACGCTGCTCCAACATAAAAAGGCAGTATGACTAACCTCATAACTCAGTAATGACATAGTATTAATGTGCATCTGCACTTAATTGTTGTTGTTAATTGTTACGATGTTCATTCTGAGCCAAGTGTATAAAAAAGTGTATCGTCCTAAAAACAAAGTCCAGTTTGTGAAAAGTGTTAATCCGGATGAATAATTAATCTCATTGAACTCCATTGCTGGATCACATCCAATTGCATCTAACTGCGCTGTGTTGAGCTAGATTGTGATAGGGACGTTAATTATCTTGCATCCTATTGCAGCAATAGTCATTTTATGTACCTTTACATTCTTGTATCCAGTTACCCATCCTAATCAAATATCATTTTTGATTGATTCCATTTTTCGTTTCACTCTTCTTTACGTTTTGTAAATCTTATAGCTATATGTTTCTGTGTTTACTTCATTTCCATAATCTATGCTTTTGAAGGTCAGCCCTTGACTCATACACATGCTTTAGAGTTTTCCCACTGTATTCGAGAGCTTACGCTGCTCTTTGAAACTAAGCCATATCTCTTCTGCGGATGATAATGACGAGACATTTTTATTGATCTCGGTAGGAAAATTGCTTCTTCGCATTTTCCCACCATGTAGAGGTGAAAGGTCACGGTCAGCTGAAGTACAAGCCTGGCAGAGAGTGTCTTTATAAAGGACATCACAGCGGGAGTAAACATAAATAAGAGATTCCTGTGGTGGTCAGGTTATCCATGCGCGGTGGTCGTATTCCAATTATAACAGCAGATTTCACATCTGTAAAGACCGGATATTTCCTGGCCCCTTGCGCTTGAGATTGAAAATAATATCCTTGATTAATCTCCTTTCGTGCTGCTTCAGTAATGATCTTTGACTAAATAAGAGTGTGACCTTAGCCCCATATTTCAGAACAATGGGTGACCTTTGTCAGATAAGCACATGACATAATGTGATGGTCTACATTAATATAGTACTTCAGTGATGGCCTTTGTCCTAATATCACACCATAGATCATCATGTCGGTGCTGAGCCTGTTTTAATCCTGACCCCCAAGAGCACGGCGGAGAAATTACCGATCACGTTTCTATTAAATCATGTTAGAAAATGAAAAGAATGAATTAAAACACAGGGGCAAATACATAAACTACAGCAGAAAGAAAAAAAAAAGAAATGTGAAGTAATTCAGTCCAAGTTGAAGAATTAACAGATGCTTTCTGGGAGTCTTTTTTTTTTTCCATCCATCACTTTTTGACCCCTTTGCCTTGAGAATCCTTTATACACACTCAGCACTGTGTCCTCAGGTAAATCTGATTCTCCCGCAGCAAATATGCAAATTAGGATTGATTAAATGAAGGAATTAGCTCAGCAAATCTCAAACTTGGAAGCATCCCTAAGTATTTTAATTGCATCTCCACATTTGAGGCCACAGCCCTAGGGGAAGTCCTGACATACGTAACATATATGAGATCACTCCAAGATTTCACTTGAGTTTCATGATATCAGATTTGTTTTTTCCCTATTTTCTAATATTTTTTACTCAACTTTCAGCTTATTTTGTTTTTTTTTTCCGATGGGTTTAAACCAAGTTACCCTTGAATTGGCACCAAAGCTGTTAGAAATCAGAATCTAAAACACCGATTCATTAAATGTGCCAGAAACAGTTTGGTTTCTCGACACTCAGTGAAAAGACAGAAGCAGAAAAACAAACGAACTACCTCTGCGTGACTGCAGGGACTCAGATTTAATCTATTCTCTAAGCAGCCAGTTGATAAAATATTGATAAAACTACCACTCAGAGGTGTTTATTATCTAAAATTGTTAAATAGAAGTAGAAACTCTAAGTAGACTAGCAGCAGTAACGTGCCGTTGAACAGTCAATGTGACGCAGCGCGGGAAGGTAATCAGAAGATGGCTTCATCAGGGTTCAACACCTGTAAAACTCTCCAACAAAGCTTCTGTATGAGCCGAACGAGTGTTGACCTCATAACTCTAATCTCTCTTCTCTCTCTCACTGACTGTGTTGCCTTCCACTCCATCACCCAAGCAAAAAAAAAAAAAAAAAACAGATAATCTGGGGTAGAGATTATTCAGAGATTAGTTGTGTCTCTGTATGTGGTGTGTTGGGGTAGCAGGACTTGCAGTAGACAGTGACGCAGCTGGAGGAGGGGGGGATGCAGGGATGGACCGAAGGAAGATAAAGAGACAGGTGGGCGGATTTAGAGTCAGTCTGACAGAAAGAGAGAGAGGGAAAAAAAGAGAAGACAGGAGGCAGACAATGACATGTGGCTCTGTCTGAATAAGGCTGACAGCTTGTCAAGTTGGCTGGCTACTATTTAAATATGAATGGTTGCCAGCCAAGCATTCTGCCTGGTTATTTTTTTTACATTCACCTTGCGATGTTTTAAGCCCCTTACTCACCTTTAAGTGCTTATACTTATTCCCCACATGTTTGCATTTCTATTACATGCACAAGCCATAAAGTAAATACTCTGAATATTTTATAAAGCCTGTATTTTACTGTACCAGGCATTTCCTATAAATGAAAAAATGAGACTACATGAAATACTCTTTACTGTGCTGTGTCACTGGTAAAAGCTAATTGATTCCGACATTGGTTGCATTAATTCAGTCACAGCAAATCATCAATTTAGTCTTTTAGTGCCACAGCAATCTTTAACTTCATGTTATCTTACATCAACATGATCCTGATATGATCCAGTCTCAAGGTTTTCAATGGTTTTATCTGAAGGCCAAAGAAAACACTGGTTTAACTGAGCTGTAAACTCAGTGTGCTTGAGTGAGTTTCACTGTCAGGAACTTTAATAGTGAAGAAAACCTGGATCTGTTCCAGAGGTATCTAGACTTTATTGTTTTCTGTCATATTAATATATAGAGTCATCAAGTTTTTGCCATATTATGTTATTACCCGTCATTTTATCTTTATTGTTTTTCTAACGATAATGACATAAAGTTGAATTTGATCAGTGGGATCAGTCTCTCACGCAGCTTTGGCTCACAACACTTTTGGCTCATAATGCAATAACTCAAAGATGTGTAAAGAAAAATCAGAAAACAGTATCTAAATAAATCCTATTTATTGTACATGTGACTGCTAACGCTGACCACTGTTGGACCGACAGACATCACATCTGTACTGGTCAAGGTGACGCCTGATTGCATTTGCCTTGCTGTTGATTTGATTTGTTGATTTGACCAAACATACACATTAACTTTTAGATTAGATCAGATTAGATTAGATTAGATTAGATTAGATTCAACTTTATTGTCATTGAACACAGTAGAAGTACAGGAACAATGAAATGCAGTTTAGTATCTAACCAGAAGTGCAAGGTAGTAAAGTGCAAGGTATGTACATATGGGCAGTGCAGGTATGAACTGAATATAAAATATAGTGCAATGAATATGCTAAAAATATATACACTGTGTTGGTTACTGCAGGTATGTAGTACGCTATACAACGAATATATATATATGTGTGTATATATATATATATACAGTATACTGATAAGTGCAGGGTTGAAAAAGAGAACATGCTATTAAACAGCTATTTTCTCTTGTACAATAGTCTGTTTTCAGTAGGACTGCGATAAACCGAAAATTTACCGATACCGAAATTTACGACAATAACGTCATTTTGCCCATGTCAATATATTTAGTGTCTACAAAATTAATAAATAAAAGTTTGTTTTGGATGTGTGTAGGTAGGCTATGGTCTCATGTCCCTTTAAGTGGAGGACGGTTCAAACGTTGTGGCGGCTGAAGTAGACAAAGTTTAAGTGGGAGGGGTTGGGCAGCTTGTGGAGTAGTTATCGTCCATTTATCGTTATCAAGGTGAACTGCTCAATATATCGTAATATTGATTTGAGGCCATATCGCCCAGCCCTAGTTGTCGGTCATTTCAAGGCTTCCCTGCATTACTGTCTTAATATATGAGTGTTGTGAAGAGGAAGAATTGCAGCAGGAAGTGAATCGGGCCTCACACGGCTTCCCTGGGAGATTTGCCCTGTACACAACCTTCCAAATGTTTGCTCTTGTCATGAGTGTGTTTTCAACCTTTTTAAAGGATATTTTTTTGTTTGCATCAAATGGAAAATATCTTGTAACGCAACTTCTGATCCATGCTTTCTTTGACTGCAAGTATAGTGACTTCTACCTTTTCTTTTTCTCTGTGATCTTGGCTTATAGTTTGACTTGTGTCAGCGAGAGAAATAACACTTGTTCTTGGCTGAGTAGAAGTTGATTGTTTTTAAGTCTTCAACTCTAAAAAAATCTCTCAGACCTGACAGAAAGGTGAGTGTTTCTCTGAGACGGATGAAAAAACACTTTAGCACCCTACTTTTGCACCAGCTGTCAAACTGACATTTCCAAGTTGCATATGGCCCGAACCACTTTGTTTGCTACATTTATGTGTGTGTGTGTGTGTGTGTGTGTGCGTGTGTAACCGAGAAGGTGTGTATGTTTTCTTTCTGCTGCCAATCTCATATCATTTGAAAGGGCAGAAAGAGGACCTAGAGTGTCTGGCCTGAAGTGAAGGCAATACATCAACTGCTGACGTGTAATGAAATAAAAATGATGTAGGTGCTGTTGACACTTTGGTTAAAAGGCTCCCCTGGCTGTAATGATAAACAGCAAAATAAAGTTAAAAAACAAGCAAACACATTTGTAGGGAAGAGTTTGAAATGCCCATGTAAAGAACATAGATTGGGAGAGAGGATTAAGTTGGGCCAGACGACAATATATATAACCACGCCTGGACTAAGGCTGGATTTACGAGAGGTTTGCGTGTAAAAACCATGAGTAAAAACCTTGACAGAGCACACAAAGCTGATCTACTAACCAAATGTACCAAGGATTGCGTCTATCAAATAAGCGAAATACCACGCCTAATCCATTTAGCGTGTTTGCCTTCATGAATATGCAAGATTATCAAAACAAGCAAAATACTGGGAGGAAGAGATGCAAATTGAATAACTTGGCACCTGCAATGTGATTTGTCAAACTTGAAACTGGTAGCAGTCGGTGTTTTTGCATCTATATTTAGCACGTTTGAAAGGCAGGTGCAAACTGGCACAGCGTTTCGCACAAATGGCTGTGGTCTTTGTGGCGAGAAGGAAGTAAAGGTGCGATGACTGATGGAGAGAGAGAGAATCTTCTATGTGCGTGTCAACATAATTGTACCGTCAGAAATAGAAAAAAGTAGTACAGACATATAGTCTATCAAGCAATGCTACTTTTGAGCTGCTGGATGACCTGACAGTCACAAAAAGGATCCATGACAATATCTCCTATGGAAAAACTCTGTGCAACGCTGCATTTTCTTGCGTCTGTATCATTCCAGTGCACCATCGCAGATCGTGCCGGTGTCTCCCTGAACAAGCACTGAGTGCTTTGTCATGCAGGGTGGACAAGTATATCCAGTTCCCACACACTCAGGATGCAGTAAATGACACAAAACAAGGCTTTTATGCGGTTGCTGGCTTCTCCAAAACGATAGGTACAACTCCATGGCTTCAAACTTCATTTTTCGTTTACAGACACTCTCCTCTTCCAAACTGTCGATGGTGACAGCCAATAGCACAGACAGAAACGTCATTTAAATAGATCAACAACAACACGCCTACTAACAGCACATGCAACTTTTTGGTTTGCAATCACAATTTAATGCTCGTTTTTTGAGCCCTTTATGTATCTTGCCCATCACTGTTTGGCATAGGTATCTGTATTAACTCCCGACTTCTACAACCCGTGCCACTTTGATGAAGACTTAATTGTATTATTTGTTATCAGTGACAGAATAAGTCAAACAGGGATGACATTTTCACTTGACAACCCCACAGATAAGAGTCAGACTCGGGACCCCAGAGTTTGCTGCTGCATTTGATGAGTTAGGAATGACAAGGTGTCATACCAACAATGCATAATGGTTTTTATTCATGTTATGCCCAAGCACGTCTTGTCATATTATTCCATTATAAGGACATGGCTGCAAGAGACATCTGGCGTATGTCTCTGCAGTCAGACCAAAAATGAAATACAGTTCCCTAAAATAAACTCTTCTGAAACATCTTGGGTTATCTAAGTACTTATCTGTGGTAATTATGCAACAATAAATGTAGTTGATCTTGACATTATCATGTGGAAATATTTAGCAAGTTTGTGGTTATCTAACTTCGAAAAATGCCTCATTCATTTTTATGTGTTTTGATTTTTATAAAGTGTGTCAAAGTCGTTTTCTATAAATCTCAGAAATGAGTACCTGCAGGACACCAGCTAATGTCAAGAATATTATTCAATATTTACACACATGAGCATGACTACATAGCCTTGGCCCATATAAACACACACTTAGCCAACTTGACTGTCCTGTCTCTCGGAATTAGTAAAGTGCTACAGCCTCATAAATAAAAACACCTACACAGAGACGCTAACGCAGGATACTGCAGCTTTAAGCAAATATGTGCATGTACAAACACAGGAACACACAGAGTAGTCAGTCACACTGTGACAGTCATAACCATGCGGGGGGAAATGTCAGTCTCTTTGTCAAGCAGAAGAGCCTGACAGAATCAATTAGCAGGGAGGGAGAATGGAGAATACTGGATTCAATTAAACTGACAGCTTTCCCCATAGGCACACCACTCACTGGGCCATTATTCAACCAAACTCTGTGTGTGTTTGTGCGAGTGTGAACGAGAAAGAAAAGGGAATAGGGAGAAAGACTGAGAAGAAGTGTCTGCGTGTGTTTGAGTGTTGAGAGAGAATCTGTGTGTGTCTATCTTGAGGATGAACTCATTTCTCTACACCCGCCCCCGAGGTCAGCCAGCTCTGTTTGGGATTTAGATCCGCACAAACACAGTCAAAACCCTAATCCCTCCTTCAGCCGTCCCAAACGAGCCACACCACAGAGTCCAGAGTTCAGAGAGCAGCTTTTGGTATCAATGCAGTGGATTCATGGGACACATTAGCATGAGTGGGAAAAATCCTTTGAATAGAGCTTCAGCATGGGGAGATATTTCTATCAGGGTTGATTAGAGCCAAATTTACAGTCACTATGGGGGATGATAGTGCTGCTTCAGACCCTGGAAGAACATACTTAACATGTCCAAATCAATGAGGTTGATGGGGCTGTGAACGTACATCATGTTTGAATTAAAAAAAAGAAACACAGCAGCTTGCTTTAGGTGGGTGTTTGTGCTTGTACATTGGTGTTATTATTGTTCACTGAGCACTTTGTTCAATTTAACTAATGTGGAGCGCTCTGGAGAGAGCTGTTGTTGGTTATTCACAGTAATTTAGCAGTAATGTAAGAGTCAGTGCCTTTTGCCTTTGTTTCTAATGTGTCCCCTCCATAAGCACTAAATACATTTGTAAATGACACTTGAGAAAACTACTTGCATGCGCGGACCCGCTGTATATTACAGTGTGCTGTTTCTGTCTTTCTACTTGTTCCTCTTGTTCTTCTTGTTCTTCTCCTACTTCGTCGTCTTCTTCTTCCACTTCGTTGTCTTCTTCTTCTTCTCTTCCTTCTTCTTCTTCTTGTTAAGACCAACTGTAATGTCCTTTTAGTGTTAACTAAGGGAGTGACTTGAGTCGCACAAGGTGTTTTGTTTACAATTATCTGCTATTACGTGGACGTTTGTAAAACAGGACTCATCCTTTCAAGTGTTAGATTTGCATACACATACACAAACAATGGAAAGTTAAGCTTGGATACACATGAATTATTAAAAATCGAACAAATTACACTCTGTGCTGTATGCAAATGGTATTCTAATGGTGTAAACAGTGTCTCAACAGTATCTTCAATCTGCTTGGGTTTATTTTTTTTATTTATTTAAGTCATTTATCTTTATGTTAATAGAATCATTTATCTCCAAAGTTTAGCACCCCATTATCTTTACCATATTTCTAAACCCTGACAGGAGCAAAAATGTGTTGTACGGGTACTCTATGAAACAACTCCCTGAAGTCTCCCGGTTACACACTTGTATCATGAAGAAGACTTTCAGCCTTAATGTAGTGGTATGTAGGCTTAAGCACTTTGTTCCTGTGGGCTACATTTTCTGACGTTCATTGGCCTTTGTGTTGAGGAATGTTTCCAGAGACATTCAGTTTAGTTTTAACCCTGATTCTTGAATCAGTACCCACGTAGAGCTTTTAGGAGCCTCTTACTGGAGCTGTCCTTGGTGCTGAAAGGAAACTTACATTTATTATAGTTAGCAGTTAGACTGTTTGGAAGCAACAAATACACTAGTATGCAATACCAACTGGAAGTGATACTGTTCAGTGTAATTTCATGTTTAATAACAAGTTCGTTAGAGCCTGAAATGTACAAATGACCCAAATTGTAATTAAAAAAAAAAAGTAAAAAACCCAAAATGTATTAACTGGTCAATCATGTAACAAGATGCCAAGCCTGAAATGTAACAAATATTGCCTAAAATGTAGAAACTTGTCACATTTCGGGTCAGTTTTTACATGTCCAGTTAGGGCTGCACAGTATATCGTTTGAGCATTGTCATTGTGATGTATGTGTGCGCGATCTTCACATTACAGAGCCTGCGATGTTGGAGGCGAATGAACTCATCTAATTTCAAGGGTAGCCGACTGAGATACATTGCATGTGACTCTGCATGTGCAGCGATCCACCCATCACATTCGTTCTTTACTCAGTTGCCAATCAGACTACCCTGCAAGCTGTCAATCAAAATCAGAGCGAAGGAAACCACGCCCCTGCACATGGAGTGAGTCGCTGGCGCTGCTGGGGTTGTGCTGAGAAACGCATACCCACTGAGAATTACTTTCGGAACTTTACTTATCACTGTTAAGCCCCACAAATAAAAATTGTATGGGTTTTAAATTGTACATTTACATGGACTCTTATAAAAGATAAGCGGTGCACATTTTGCTAGGTGCATGCAATTCTCGGCGGGCATGCGTTTCTCGGCACAACACCGGTAACAACAATGATTGCAAAATAAGCACAAAAAACACTGAAAATGAAGACTTGTTGCCCAAAAAAAGTGCAGACAGAAGCCATTCTACTAACACTCACAAAAAGAGGTAAGATCAGTGCAGGTTAATTGTCTACAAGACTTCCGCAGTGCAGCACAACATAAAGTGCCAGTCAGGTCATCTGGTGAAAATTCCTGTATTTTTTAATATCACAATATATATCACAGGGTTTAAAAAAATTGTTAGATTTTTCCAATATGGTGCAGCCTTAGGCCAAGTAAAATATTTTTCTCCTAACAGTGTGATAATTGTATTACATCATAGAGTGAGTCAATATATTCATGGATTAAAGGGCTTATGGCTTCAATGTAGAGTATACTATCACTCAAAAATGGCCCATCCTACATAAATACATTTTAAAAAGCCTTTTGGAGACCAATGTCCGCAATTGTTCTCTATCTGGGCTGTCTGTTATTTGTATGCACTCAAACTCAGACTAAAAAAAATACAACAAACAGAACTAGGACACTTTCTATATCAGCTTCTGCTCCTGTGTGCACAGATTTCACATTTTTAGGTAGACATACTCTATACATAAACTCTGCACGCTGCTCGAAACCACAGATTGACTGAGATTGATCCAGAAACTTACTTTAAAAGCTGTCCTGCTGTGCTCCTCTTTGGCCTGCCAGTGAGTCACCACTTGCATGTATGTCACATTCAGAATTACTAACCAAGCAGTGGAGTGTCTCCTAAACACACTGTATAAAAGGATGGTTCCACTATTTAACCTCTTAAACTGTGCTTCTGTACGTCTCTGAACATCGAGCTTAGTCCAAGAGTCAAACATGTTCTTCCTTGGTTTACAAAAGTTGCACTGGTATAGATATTTTTGTTAAAGGACAGGAAATACATCTGCTATCACTACACTGAGCACTGATGTTCAGAGCTGCACAAAGACAGGTGCTGGCAATAAAGATTGTGACCCAGTTTCAAGCAGCTGGAGCAGAAAACAGTCAACATACTTGTCTTTTTGGCCAGGAGCCCAGATCTATAACTCTGTTCATTTTTATGTGTTTATTTTGCTTCAGAGTAATAAAACCGCTGGACCAGAAGCTCATCATATTTGTTTTGAATCATCCTCTTTTAGCCCATGTAAGATCTTAAGGAGAGCAAACTCTCTCACACACATTATTACAACGTGGTGACGGCTGTCTTGTTCCGTCTAGGCTTACAGCGCCCATTTAGAAACACTTAAGTGCAATAAAGTGAGTTGTTTTCATTGTGTTGTTATAATTAATTATTATGATTACATGTTGAACATTAATGTGATTTGTAGTCCAGTAGATACATTGTGCCTAAAAATATTTGTATTTTTTTTATATCAATACCGAGAAAATACCCTCTGTTTCTCCTTCACCTGTCTTTGCCGGCCTGTTTTTCTGTCTCCGTCTGCGTGCCCGATTCACTTTGCAGCCTCTCTGTGTCGAGCTGTATGGCATGTTGCTTCTTTGTGACCTTGAAATGCATGAGATTGAAGAACAAAATAGGAGTTGCATTCAAATAAGGTACCCCGCAGTAAGGTGCTGGTGTTTTCTGCAAAGTAATTGCAAGCACCGCGTCTCTCATCTTTTATAATTTGGTGATTTCGCCTGCTGGCGTGAAAGGAATGCACGGCAGAGATGTACAACAGAGCCACAGTAATGTCAGATAATGGGGAAAAAACAAGAGTGATAATAGGGTCTCTGAAAACGAAGGATAATAAAATAGCCTCTTTGTATAGCTGGACAGTGACAACAGGGTATTGGTATCCACGGGGAAAAAGGATTGCATTTCTGAACTGGCTCACGGCAGAGCAAAGTAATACAGCCTGTCTGTCTGCTTTTCTTCCTGTCTGCCTCTGATGGTCTGTAAGTAATTCTGACACACACATGCTCACGCTCACACACACAGACACACACACACAGACACTTAACCAGTTTGCTCCTAAACCAGCTGTAATAGGTTAGATTTTCAAGAGCTATCGCCAGATTTCCTCCCATTTATCACAACTATTGATCCACAAACCGCCCATGGCCCATCAACCACGGAGAGAGAGAGAGAGTGAGAAAGAGGGCAAAAGAGAATCAGAGACACAACAGCAGTGGGAGAGAGTGAGAGGAGATTAAATTCATTTAAAGTATAGGGTTGACAGCAGGAGGTATGTGCTAAATATAACGCATCTATCATAGATGGGAGGAGAGAATAGCAGTGTTAGTTTGTGCACTGGATGGGGAAAAGAGGGAACATGAATGTAAATGAGGGGGAGAAATGAAATATTATGGAATAAGCAGTGCTGACACCAGGGAGCATGTATTTAGTTCAGCTGGTGGATTAAGGCCTAATTTTACATCCATCTAAGTGGGCCATAGGGGGAGAGAGTAGGGCTGTGGCTGATGCTTGTTAATGGCTTAAGAGTCTTGTAAGGGCTGGGATAGACTTCTGAGTTCAATGACAAGCTATTCTCGATACACGCTGGAGGTTTTAGAAACTCCAGCAAAAAAAACGTGTTTTCAGTTCAATGTAGTCAGGCAGAAGATCAGGGCCTGTGTTAGAACTGTCTGTCCCAGTGTGGTACTGGCGCTGGATGATAAATGCGTTACTCTAAGTTAGATCAGGTTGTGCTTCCTCTCTTTAACCGAACACTATTGTGAACAGGTCCCTGAGATGAAGCCCTGCAAAATACTTGTAAGACTGCAACTGGATTGGTCGCTCATGTAACGGCATACAAAGAGAAAGTGTTAGAAATAAGGATTTCAGCCATGGATATACAGTCTATACAGTCTATACATAAACAACATTAAATCCATTCAGGGTGAATGGATGGTTCAAACCAGCACAAATACTTCTTTAGCCCTCCTTCTGTGTTTTTTTTTTTTTTAGAACCACTTAAATTTGCTTTTTTGCATCAAGACTTTTTGACCTTGTCAGGAACCTCTATTTCAACAAAATAAAAATAAAATAAATAAATAAATGCACTAAATTATAAGATGCTCTTATTTAAATTATGGCACTTGTCGTGTTAGGGTCGCTGTTGACCTGGTTAGATCAATATCTAATAATTAGAGCAAAAAAATTGATGAACTGATGATCTCACGTGTCCAGACACGTGAGATCAATTCAGTATAGATGTCTGTGTGAGGGGTATACTGACAAAGAAAGGCCCAGAGGACCACAACAAAAAATATTATAAGCAATATTTTCATGGATAATGAAGCCTAACAAGGTAACATAAAGATGAGAACCAAATTGGATGATAGAGAATTATTTTTAGTGAAATTTACAGCTGATTTAAAAGCAAACACAGGATGAAGGTTAGTCTGGAAGACTTGGGTTCAGGCCCTATAAAAAATAATGTGAACTAGCTTTAACAACAAGCCACTGAATGAAAAAAAAAATGCACAAAAGGATGCTTTATTATGTATGCTAATGATGTAAGTGCTCAAAATGAATATTATTACCCACTTTCTTAATCAACTTGCTGCGTTAAATACTTCATTCTGATTAATCAAAACACTCAACGCCTAATAGCAAAGATGATGCAAACCAGGAACAACAAGATAACACTTTCATATCAAATATATTGTATCTGCAAAGGATTGTTTTGATGCAATGAAAAGATTTCGGTAATTTGGATCTTGCATTGATTGCCACATCGTGTACGATTTGAAATAGGCACACTATATACCACATAAAATAGTTTAAAACCTCCATGGTGCATTCAGTATATACCTCTCTGAACGTTTTATGTAAGATAATCTTTTGATGCAATTAATCAGCAAACAATTAGCCACAAACCAAGGTACTGTCAAAGTTTGAACACATATTTTGGTTCATTAATTCAGCCGAACATAAACTTTTTTTTACGACTTTCACCGTGTAAAGGAATAAGGCTGAGTCATCACTGCAGAATCTGGTACAGGTCTACAGCTTCAGTTTACAATAGCATAAACTTTTTTTGTTTTTGGGACAGAGTAAGTGGACAGTAACTAGAATTAGTCTCATTGCTCTTTCAGTGCATCAAAAACTTTTCGGTTTCAAAGCCCTTCATACATCCACATCCCCGGAAATGTAAGTTTTTTTTGTTTGGCTAATCCAGTCCTGCCCTAATTTCTAGTGCATGCATTAAAACCAAAGGAATTTAAAATTCATTCACTTCCTGTAAGAATGAATGAAGAAAATAAACTTGCATAAAGTAGGACAAAGATAAAAGAGATACAGTCCAAAAATGTGCAGATAAAGAGAGAAAGAATAGCAGTTGAAAAGCTAGAGACAAAGAAGTAAAAATGAAGGAAGTGGAAGAGAGAACGAGTTCAGGAGCTGGAAAACAGGAAATAACACATTAATACTGACGTGTGGGACTGACAGGGGCTGACTCTGTTATATGTTTACACCCTATTCATGCTGTCTCAGAGAATGATCTACTTAAGCTTATGCAAATGCAGTGTCAGCAAATGCAACAACACTATTAAATCAAAATTTATCTGCACCAAAGCCCCGTACACATGCACACACACATGCTTGCAGCAGCACACACTGATGCAAACGGCAGCCTTCATATAATTTATTAATAATTTATTTCTCATTATGTGCACACATATGCAACAAGAAGCACTCGAGTGTGCATATACGCAGACGATGAACTATACTATTTGGCTGCATGCAGATCTGTGTACAGATGCACACCAAGTTGACTCCTCACACACACAGACACACACATTCATGCATGTAAATTACGATCAAATGCAGCGCGGTGCAGACTCAGTAGCTTGTGATTATTCTCCTCTGCAGAGCAATGCCTCTTTCCATCTATCTTCTCTGTCCTTGCACTCTCCATATCCCTTTTTATGAGCCTCATAATAAGCACTCACACCTTCTATGTGTGTTCCCATGGCTGTGTGTGAGTGAGTGTGTGTGTGTGCTGAGGTCTTGCTCATATAACTGGGAGAGTGTGTATGCTGGATATTTAAGAGCTGGTCATTACTGTGGCTTCCTGCTGTATAAAAGCAGAGAGGTGGAGGGAAGACAGAGATTGAGACAGGACATGGATGGATGGATGGAGACTTCTCACTGGCTTCAGTAATAAATGAGAGATTCCACACATTTGCACGCATATGTGTACATGCTGAGTCACACACATACTCAGGCACACACCCCAGTGGAATATAACAAACTCAAATGGCCCAATTAAAAGAGACTGAAACTGAGACATGAGCCTATTAGCAGTGACGAGGACGCTGTTTTCAACAATTAGCGGTGATTGCTCAGTGCCCATGTGAGGCTATTAGCTCAGGACACGGGAGAGCCATAAAATCCTTAGCTTTGAAACATCACAATCAAAGCCAACTCCTCTTGAAGATTGGTCGACCTTTTAACACAAACACTTCATGTTCTCCGGCACTCTTTTGCGCAACCATTGGAAAGATTAACCTTTCAGCACAAGAGGCTATGAACAGTAAAAGCCTGACAACGCAAGTCACGAACAGAAGATGAAGTACACCACTTACAACAATTAAGTGAATAGATATTTACCGGAGTAGAATGATTGAAATGAAACAATGCACATTCTGTTTGATGTGATATCCCAGGATTAAGAGTCATCAAACTTCATAATGCCTGTCTTTTACTGTAGGTTGAGTACGCCGTCATTGAAAGATCCATCCTTTGAAACCCTCGATATGCTTATTCATAGTTCTAACAGTGGTGGTAATCATGGCGGAACAACTTGAAGTTTTCAACAGCTCAAGTGCTTTTATTGCTGGTGACTATGCTCTAAAAAACACTATCATCGTGTAATATCATTTTTCATGCACTCAGAAGACTTATTTAATCTTCACTTCCAAAAATAGCAAGAAGTGAGCTACCCAGATTGAGAAGGCAGGAACAGCTTATGTTTTCTCACCTGGGTACCACTGTTAAATTATTCAGCGCTGTCATCTCATGCTGTTGGTCAGGGCAATGTCCACAGGGGCTCCATTTAAATCTGATTGGCCACTCCTGGATGTCACCCCACAATCTTTAACTATGGTTAGCTTTGTGCCTCATTAGAGGTGGGGCTTGTGTTAAAATTAACCATTTGGGCTTCATCCTAAAATAGTGTCTCAAGGTTTATTTGCATTTTAATGCAACACTTTTCCTTTTTTGCAGAACTTCAAGCTGCAACTTAGGATAAGTATTTTTGTTTCCCATTCCCTCATAAAGGAGTTATGCTTTACAAAAGATTGTTGCTACTCTGTTGTGCTACTTTTTAAACTTGAAAAGTACGAGCTTCTGAAAAATGAACAAATTGATAAACGTTGAAGACATAATTTTTAAAACTACAAGAAAAATAAGCATTGATTTGGCCCTTTAAAGCTTGTGTTATGAGTTTTTAAAGTTTGTTGCATAGAGGAAATTCACATAGATGCCATTAAAAACAAACAAGACAATCAATGACAAGACTGCCTGCGTTCACAGTGTTATATTTAATGCCTCAAACTGGTGGGAGGTGGTAGGTGTCAGCTGAGCAGCTGAGGAAACTATCTTCTTTTTAATAGTTACTATATAAAATATTTGCAGTGGATGATACATTTGACTGAGAAAAGTCTGATGCATTAAATTTTTGTCTAACAATACTTCTTAAATTGTCCTCTTATGCAAAGACTGCTTTGTCCACAGGGGGGCGCCAAATATGACACAAATCAAAAGTTTCTCACAGGAGCTTTAATGTTGTGTCTCACTAACCTTACCTTCTTCAATGATGTTAATTTCACAGTCATGGCATACATCATTTTGTCTTTTAAGACCTCTCTTGTTTTCCCTTATAGCATATGGACCATCAATTAGCCATATTTATTTTCTTTTTTCTGCTGATTGATATGATATGAGTCAATCCTGCAGTCTCAAATCAAAGCGGTCCACTCTTCATAAATTGGTTCCGACTAATCAGAACCTTGATTTTAAAACAGGAGAGAAAACAAGTTCCCTGTTGCTGTACATTCCTCTAGTGAAACACAAAACAAACCCAAATATATTTCCAGACACAAGGGAGTTGTTAGCTCCAGACTGCCCATTGTCTGGGCATCCTTCCAAACTCAGCAAGCCACTTCTGTGATCGCTTTGGTCACCCAGAAGTGCTTCATACCCCTTTTGTTTGCAAACATTCAGACTTGTTCTTCACTGTCTTTCAACAAGAGAAACCACCAAATTGATTTTATTTTATTTTTTATTGGACTGACATGATCCAGGACAAAGCCGCATATCACTGTGTTCCAGTAGCAGAGAAACACCAGGCAGTGATATGGATACCAGTGAGAGATGGTGAAATACAAGTGCAGAGGAAAGTCAACCCTCAGCAACCTGTCATGTACTTTTGATGATTTCCCACTGGCAGCACTCCATCTAGGTGTACGTCTTCTAGCTCAACTGAACTCTCAATATGTGTGCGTTTTCGTTTGCACATAAGTGTATGTCTATGTGCAGAGTTTGTTTTTGTACCATTTAGTCGTCTGAGTTCGTTGCACCTTCATCTCTCAATGTGGATGAATAAGAGATGGTGTTTGTGAGTGGATCCTGTTCAGTGGGACCCCTGGCAGTAGGTCCTCTGTGTAGCGTAGCCTGAGTCCTTGCTCCTAATGAGGCCTCCTTCCTTCCTCTCTTTCTTCTTTGTCTCCTTTGCTCCGTTATGTCTTTATCTTTTATCCCCCCACTCTTTTTCCACCTTTTGTCTTCTTTTCACCTTTCTCCCCATCCTCTCCCTTCCTCTTTTTATCTTGCTCCCTGCCCTTCCACACTCCTTCACCGTTCCCCCCATTGTCACTCTCTCTTTTCCCTCCTCTTCCCACCTCTTTTCTTTTATCTTTCCTCAACTCTAACCTGTAACTCTCCCTTTATTATCTGCATTCTACTGTTCCTCCTTGCTTCTAACTCTTCCCCCTGCCCTACATTTCCTTCTCTCCCTGCCTCGAATATTAATAATATGAAAATGAGCGAAATAAAAGCGAAATGAAAATGAATGTATGCACCTCTTTGAAGTAAGTCGCTCCGGATAAGAGCATCAGGCAAAGTGCTTAAGAAATGTTTATGTAAACGGGGATCAAAGAACACTACACTGAGAGCTATAATTGTCTGCTGGATGTCATTTGGACCTAAGAGAGAAGAAGTTGGTGTGAAAACAGCTCTAAAAATTACCTTTAAATGTCAGGCAGACATGGGCATTAGCAGCAAGATTACAAATATCAGGCCTCATTTTCAACATTCAACTTTTTCCTAAAACTCACTTATGCAGTTTCCAAGAACCCTGCCGGTTTAGGTTGAGATTTAGGGAATCTACAGACCAATTTTAAGTTATTGTGTTCCTCCAACACTCCTTTTTCCATCGCTCTTGGGTTTGGTTGTGATGCCTGTGTGCCCGTTGTTGGTGCTTTTGTTAGTGGACAGGGTGTCTGCTGGTTTTTAGCAACGGCAAACTCCCATCTACATAAAAAATCTACTGCAGTGTGAAGTGGTGCAGGTTAACTGTGTTGTTTGTGGCTTGTGTGACAGTACAATCAATGTAAAGGACAGCTTTATAGACAGTTTATAAACAAAGATTTGTTAATTTGTGATAACTTTAAATGTGATATACATTAGAGCTGCAGCTATTGAATATTTTAGTAATCGAGTATTCTACCGAATATTCCATCGATTACTTGAGTAGTTGGACCCAAACGGCAGACTCACATGAAGTTAGATTTCCTATAGCCCCCAATCCCCAATGAAGGCCAGACTCGGAAAAATAGAGGACAAGCGCAAAACAAGCGCAAAAAGTCGCTAACATCGCTAGGTTGGCAACACTGCAAGAAAAGCCCCTCTCATCATTTTTTTCCGCTCCGCAGCGCTTACTCCTCCTTCTACCGAGGTGACATAAGCGCATTGTGTCACCTTTCGAAAGAATCTGTGCGAAACATCGAGCTTATAAACAAGTACTCGAGGCAGAGAAAATTCCTCAATCATTATTTGTAAACGAGGTACTCGAGGTATTCAAGGAATTGTTTCAGCCCTAATATACATTTATGCCCAAGAACTTCAGATCTTTAAATGTCCGTGTGAATATACTCAACTACTCGTGTAATAAAAGAGCCAAAACTCTTCATCTCATTGCTGTTACTGTGTAATCCACTTTTTTGAGTGTAAAAAAATCTTTTAAAGATCATTTTTGTCAAATTTCCATTCCAACTTGTGTGCTCTGATGGTGTTAATTTTAGATTTTGTTTTATTTTTGTCTTGAGACATAAATGTATTTTAGTTTTAATCACATTTGCTCCCCATGTGCATCAACAAACCCTGGACACACATAACCTTGAAAGGTTTCCTACCTTAAACTTCTTCTTGTAGGTATTGACTTGCATTTAACGGGTTAATGGCAGTTTGTTATAATCATTATATCAGCATCGAACCTCACGAGTTTAATATCATCATTATTAGCATTTAACAGCATATCAAATCCACAACTGTGTGGTGTATAGAATAATGCAGTTTAATGATAGTGATGTAAATATTTACTGTGCAACTAATTTCATATCCAAGAGTCCCTTCTGGCAAAAATGTATTGAGACAAATATTTTTCTGTCTATATTTATTTAATCAAACAGTTCCTTGATTTAATCAATATTGATCCTGTTGTTTTATTGAAAAAACATAATTTGATATTGACATTATAGATCTGCCATCAACCAAGCTTCTCTTTCAATCTGCATCAGCATCAGCCATTGAAAAACTGTAATTGTTTGACCCCTGTAGACTGCGAACATAGATCCTGTGACCTGTGCAACAAGGACTACGGCCTGTGTGGTGCTTGCTCAAACAACTGAGCTTAAGCAGCACAAGAACTACAGTTCTGGCTCTGACCCAGGTGTCTGATTAAACGTTTGATACAAACTATCTGCATGAGATGATTGTAGATTTATTTTATATCTACTGCTGATGCAACAGAACATGTAACAAACTTTAACTCATATTTTACTTCTCTTGTGTGCATGGCGCATTTCTGTGGGCATTTAATTACGGATAACTGGCTCAAGCTTCAAAGTTATAAAGACTTAGTATGTCTCATTTGCACAAGGGTAAATGAGGCCACTTGTTCATGCCCAATGCTTCATAGGAAAACCACAGATGCAAATGTTAATGCAGACTTGAAGATAGCATCTGTGCTTCTAAGGTCTGTGATATACTGAGTGGGCCGTTCGGCTGTTAGCTGAGGTTTTATGGGGAGATTATTAAACTATATTTTGGATGTAATGACTTGTGTCTGTAAAGGGCGGAATTAATCTCAGAATTACAGCGTATTTCACCAATTAAACAGCCAGTGTACCATTTTATGGTACATAGTGAGCCAAAAAAGGTTCTTATTATGATTTAGAAAGAGTGCATAATTTACAACAAAGTTCTGTCGCTTAACTACTCATGTCAGCACACTTGTTTTCATTACACCTCTCCGACTTACTGACATGTATAAGTGCCAAGTTCATCAGCTGTACTGTCAATTGTGGTAAACAAATTAACATTGTGTCAGTTTGTATTGAAGACACAGAGTAGAGTATCCTCCGCAGCATCCCTTTGCTCAAATTGATTTTGTGTTTGAAGAGGTTGGTGGAAACAATTCACTGCCTTTGGCATCCTTAAACTCCCTGTACTCGTGTCTCAGGCAGATGTTATAAATAACTGATTAGTGCTCTGTGAAACTGCACAGCAAATTATTCAGAAATACTGATCAAATATTTATATCAAGGTAGCTAGGTGTTTTTGTTTTTTTTGTTTTTGTTTTGTTAGGGAGATGCTAAAACAATTCCAGATGCCATTACTTATTAAACTTTCTTTCTCTCTCTTTGTCACACACACACACACACACACACACACACACACACACACACACACACACACACACACACACACACTAGAGCATGACACAGGAGCGGATTTTCACTACTGTCCCGTCCCACTCCCAGAGAAAAAAACCCGTCCCATCCCAATCCCGGACCGGAGAAAAAAAATTTATCCTGTCCTGTCCCACTCCCGCAGAATGACTCCCACTACCATCCCGCTCCCACTCAAAATTACTCCAACTCCTGTCCCGCTCCAGTTTGAATAAAACCAAACGTGAAAAAATAACGTTGCATTTTTATTTTAGGTAAAAGTACTTTTACCTAAAATAAAAAAAATTAGGGAAAAGTGGCAGCCGAGTCGGAGCAGCAGTCGCTCGTCGCCAGCAGCGACACACATAATTTTCACTTCTTTTTCTTCTTTTTTTCACTTCCGGTGGTGACAGGAAGTCAAACCACTGTTGTAGTTTTTTTGTGTTGCTAGCGCCATCAAGAGTGTTGGCTCTCGCTGAGAGATGACTACAAAAATGGACGCATCTGTTCATCTGGTTGTTTAACATAACTGAAAATGATCATCTATTAATGTTGTTCCTGCTCCTGTTGCTTTTTTTCCCCGACCTGTCCCGATCACAAAATTGATTAAAAAATGACTCCCATCCCATGGGATTCCTGTGGGAATCACGTGACCCACGAGAATTCCCGAAAAATGTCATCCTCTAACACACACACACACACACACACACACACACACACACACACACACACACACACACACACACACACACACACACACACTTATATACCCACACACACAGAAACAGCCCTCATTTCTTTTTCTGCTTTCTTTGTACTATCTGCATTTGGTGTTCAGTCTCAAAAGCTTGTCCTTATCTACAAAAAGCTCTCTGAACCTCCTCTCTGCATTGCCCTGGTGTGTGCATAACAAGTGCATCTAAACTCAGTGACCTCTATTAAAGACCCTGTTCATTCAGTGCTCTTTGATTAGACTGAAAAAAAGGAGAAAATAAAATAATTTCCTCTCATGTTGTCATCTTGTAAGAAGGTCTTTTTTTATTGGTGAAAATTGATTTCAGAGAAATCTATATGAATCATCTCTCTCTGTTTCCCTGCTTTTTTTTTCTTGTGAACATACTTTCTCTTCTATTTTTCTCATGTGGACATATAAAGTTGTACAAAACTCATAGAGGTTGTTGTCTGATTCAGATCCAAATCGTGACTATGGAGAATGTGGAACATGACTAAGAAGACAAAACTGGTTTAGCTGCGGATGAAAATGTCAGATCGGCACAGCATTGCTCAAACCAGTGCATGAAACAAGAATACCTCCTTTTCTTACATTGTGTTGTGACATCCTCATGTATCATCATCATCCTAAACTGATAGCTACCTAAATTGCACTTGTTGTAGCTTGGCTTTCTACATGTCATTCAAGGGTAGCTTTGGTGTAGTGAAGTGAAATTTAATGGCTAGTAGTAGCTTTGCTGTCTACGTTTTACAAGCAGCTTGCCCGTCACTGCCAATTTAAAATTCAAAGGGAGCCTTTTCTGAGCTTTGTATTTTTGCTAGAAATTAGCACTCGACGAAGAAGTAGCTACACAGATCATGGTGGATGCACAGCAAGGCTTGCTGATTTAGCAGTGCCACTTCATACCAGCTGATCCATCGTTCGGTCAAAATCATTTATTTGAAGAACAGCGGTTCACTATGGAGTGGAGTGATTGACTGAAAAGGCTCCACAATTTGAGACGGTGAGTGACCAGCAGTTGGCATCATAAAGTGTGTAGACCTTGGATCAGGTCTCAGTGATACCACCTATTTATCATTAATCAATCGTAGCTCACTAATGTTGGCAGCAGTTGGCACACTTATTCCCATTTAGCTTTTTGCTGAGTTGTGTATTGTAAAAGTTTATTAGGTTTTGGTTATGAAGGACCACATAAGCCACCAACAACCAGATCAACCAGTAGAAAAAATAACCGCACTTGCCTGATTCAGCAGATAGAGGGCAGTCCTTGTGTATATTTCTAACACAATGTAAGGAATTTCAATACTTCAAACTCAAATATCAGATCTAGGCCCAAATTGATCAACAACTAATCACTACCCTCATCAATGGCGTTGTTGCATCAGGGGCCGGTGGAGGACAGGATTATAAGCGTTTAAGTTTTCCTGTGTCAAAAATGTCGTTGAGTATAAATTGATAAAATATTCAACTTTGTCCACACTAAGATCTCTGCTGTTATTATTTGATGATTGCAATTTTCCCACACTCTGTAGAAACTCGCTGTTGTGTGCGAATAATTAATTGTGCCTCTGTTTCTGCTAGGTGGAGCACAGTCGAGATGGCGAACGACTGACGTTCAGGGCCCCAGAGCACTTCTCATTGGCTGATCAGAAGAAAGAGTGGGAACTGCACAGGTCTCTCAAGCTCAGCTCGGTAACGCAACATGGCAAAGTGAACTCATCGATGGACTGTTGGATTTTACAGCAACGTCACAGAGAAGATTGCGCACATGAAAGACGGCAGAGCATCATTCCTCCTCAAAAAGTGATCCACATCAGTGAGTCTATTATTCTTTACATTTTGTTTGAATGAAAGTGGAATTTATGTAATGCGTAACTGGCGGTACGTGCGTGGGTGTGGGCTCCTTATGGAAGTTTCCACCTGTCTTTGGTGCTAAAATGGCTGTTTGACTGCGATATATTGTGTGTGGTTGCTTTGTATCTTGATTGCTGTGTATTGGGTGTGCGCCGTTCACGCCTTTGTGTTTTTATTATTGTCACGTCGTTTCGATCTTGAGTATTTGATATCGTGAGATCTTGAACACTGCCATTTGGTGGCGCTATTGGTATGAAAATATATGTCGCCAGATTGACATTGTGTGTGTGATGGCATTAGTCAGCTGCAGTTTTGTCGTCAAAGATGCTGTGGTGCCCCCTCTCTCTCTCTCTTGCTGCTGTGTTTTTGTTCTGAGGGTATGAGAGTTATATCTGGTATTTCTGGATTGCATGATGAGATTTTCCTGCATGGACCCATCAGAATTTTCAGACCAAAATCGATTGATTATTAGTCATTATTTGAATGACTGATTATGTCTATTAATGAACCAACCTCTAATGGTGGAGATACTTTTAAGCGCTTAGCCCCAATATCATCAAAAAGGGATGTTTGTTTTTTTGTTCAATGAAACGCCCACACAGTTGTCATGAAAAAGGAAATGAGCTTTTAAGATCAACACAATTCCTCAACCAGGTTGTAAAAGTGTTTTATTCAGCTATAAAAACTGGCATTTTAACATCCGACCAAATTCTTTGGCTTTTTTGAAGCCAGCCTTGAGTGAACCCTCAAAGAACTGCAGATTTATTTTCACTTCCAAAATGTGCCTTATTTTTCAACATCACCACCCCCATGATGTGCAGCTTTACCTAAGAGGAAATATGCCACATAACAATGCGACTAAGCATCGCATGGATACTGGCTTTACTATAAATGGAGAAATGTACCGAGGATTCAGACAATAGCTGCTAACTGCGAATTCTGCAAATCAATGTTATTGCATGCGTCATTTGAAATATATAAAACAGGATGAGACCAGAGCTCTGGATGCGTAAGTGTGAAGGCATGTCTGTTTATTTATAGAGGGAATCTAGGATGAGAAGACAAGAAGAAATAAAAGAAGATACCCAGAAAGGGATGAGAGGACAAGGATATGAATAATAGAGTGATCAAGCTAGAGAATAGCAGGAAGAATAAAGAAAGTAGGACTAAATGAGGAGGGGAGAGAGAGAGAGAGAGAGAGAGAGAGCATTATGTTTCAAGTCTATACCTACAGGAAACCGATGGATCGCTCCCTGATATCCTTGACACCCACAGAGCACGTCAATATCTGTGTTGTAATCATGTTTCATATGACCGGCAAACAAGACGTGTTTGTCATTAAGACTTCATGTGTCCGGTTCCTGCTCTATATGACACACTGAGCACAACATGCACAGACTAATAGACAGCTTAATGGCAGAGAGGTTTCTACACAGAAAAAAGGAAATGCATTAAAATAGATGGGATGTTTTTATTTAAAGACATTCATTTCTTTGTTTATTAGGAGGAAAATGCAGTTCTATTTGACAGACAGGCCACAAAGAGGGAACTATTCAAGGCTGGAATAATGATGAGGGTTAAAACATAATGGAATTTTGATGTAGAAAATACAGGAAATTAATCATCTTGTTCCACAATTTATTCACATGTTACCATTAAAGTTTGCAAAGTTGGCAGATGAGGTTCAAAAAGCTTTTTATACTCTTATTACTATCCTATACTTTATTTAATATTTAAAGTGACTTTTCAAACGTCGCTTTACCGTAAAAATCCTTACTCTTTTCTTGCAACCCCTTAATATTTGTTGACAATCTCAAACTTAGCCTATATACCTTTTTTTTTTTGCCTTGATTCTCATGTAGATAACATAAACGACGTCAGACTTTATTTAAAAGAACCAGATCTGTTATTTAGTTAACTTTCATCTTAAAGTGAATGTCATGTTACTTTCATTTTGACCGGTTTAACAAAGTGCCTTCTGGCCCTTGAGAGCATCTCGTCTGTCACAGTTCTCTTTCTTTTTTTTTTTTTTTTCTTCTTTTTTGTACGGCATTGGATTGATTTCCTCTAACCCTCTTGATCCTGTCCCTAATCCTAAACCTAACCACCCTTAATAACCCTTAACCCCGCACCCCCACCCTCATGGTTGCAGGATAACAGGATAAGGCTTCAATCCGGATGTGGAGGCTAAAGCAACCAATGCCAATAATAGACCGAGGGGGGGGGGGGAGTTTAATAGTTATAAAGAAACACTCACTCGGTTTTAGCAGTCGTTTATATGTACCATACTCAAGTGTAACACAGATGCAAACCGGACAAAGACAGAAGTCTTGGATACTCTCTGAATCTCATTCAAGCTTAAGGCTGAACCAAACGGAGCTGCATTACACTCAATTTATTAGATCTGATTTCACTGACAGGAAACTGTGAGACTTGGCTCTTTAGCTATCGATCCTAAAATATTCTCCGCCCTTTGCAAGATAAAAATACTAATAATCATAAGTGCTGACTAAGATCCGTATGTATTTTGGTGGGACTGTGTAAAGAAATCCAATTATCAATACATTGCAATATATAATTTCCCAGTTCAAAATTGATTCAGAAAAACCAAGAAACCATTCAGAAGAGCCAACTGTCGTATGACTGGCTACATCTTCTTTAAAATTTGCCTCTACTCACACCAATACGAGCATGAGAGATTATTAATAAGCCTCGAAGCAATTATTTAACCAGATTAAAGGTCAACCCTTTTTTTTTCGATTAACTTGTAAGAAAGAAAAGTGTCATATTTCAATCAGTATGGTGTTATAATTCAATCATTTCCATACTTGGGTGCCTAGTTTATAACAGAATATACAATTTATAATAGTCATCATGAAGTATTTCAACCTACATATGCATGTTTGTACTGCTAAGGTCCTTTCACAACGGGTGCGTTTTTTTCGTGCGATTATTTCATCGTCAATCTATTTTTTCAAACCCATATCCTGTCAATACAAGCGTTCACATCAGCAATGTTTTCCCGTCCTATTATTGCGGCTTTTTTTTTTCAGATCACGGTCGAATTTTCTAAAGTTTTGCATACTGTGTGCCCACTTCTGACCAATCAGATTTTGTGTTGTTGCGACTTTAGATTCACTGGTAAATCCAGCATGGCCGACCGGCTGATTGTTTACGTGTCGGAGAACTGAGTTTTTTTTTTATAAAAGACACAAACATTACAAAGATAACGACCTGAAGGACAACTTGTGGAGAGTCATAGTGTCTGATTTCTCATATGACGATGGTTTGTGTACTTTAACAGTTTGCTAAACGTCTTTGTTTTAACTTTCATCTGTGCTAAGTAACTTTAGCTCGTAAGCTAACCTGTTCAGATACAACATACCATATGTATTTTCACTGTCTCACTGTTGTTACCTTATGTTTATGGATTATAGTTTAATGTGCTTATCTGGTACTGACTCAGTACATGCTATCCTGACAGACAGCCATCTGAACACTAGTGTCTAATCAGAATTGAGTCGCAAAGCCGCATCGCGCTTGGTGCGTATAGTCAGGCGCATCAAAATTCGTCTCAGAATATTTTGTAATTTTGCGTTGTATATTTGTGTCGTTCCCCGTGTGTAAGGACCTTAGTGTCCACTTTGCTGGTTTACGGAAATATTATGAAACTCTATACTTCCATACTAGTGCAGACTTGAGTTTTCATGAATGACTTCAGAGCTGAATTACCATTGATCTAAAATAATCATGTCATAATGTAGAGGAAGCAATGATTAAATGAATGATTCTTCATATTGATGTTAGGAGTCATGGACTGCCGTTCAGACATCACTTTAGAGGGTCTGAGTGCAACACCAGCAGGCAGATTAAGACACAGATTAAGCATGCTCAGATATTAAGCCTGTGAGAGCACATGATGGGAACTCCATCATTAATGAAGAATTTGTTTACTCATATTTCATTGAGTGTTGAGGGAAGCAATCCATCCACCATCCCTTATCCCTGCTTACCATCCAAATCCCCCCTTCATCCTCTTGTCTTTCTCCTTGCACCGCTCACCCTCCCTCCTTCCTCCAAGGTTTCCCATCCAACCCACTGCCTTTCTTTCCTCTTTTCCTCTATCCCTTCTCTTCTTTTTTGCCATGCTTTCCTTTCTCTTCTCCTCCGTTTTCATCTCTTGCTATGTGTCATGTGTCTTTTTAATTACTCTTCTCTTCATCCATGATGATCTCAAGGTTACACTGTGGGGCAGGAGGAAGGAGGAAGAGAAGGGGATAGTGGATGGAGAGGAGGAAAACTAGAGAGAGGGGACGGGGGATGGGGGCGTGTCACGGGATAATTAAACATCGATTTGGGGCGATGGTGAAAACAGCAACAAGACGCCAAACAAGGGGATTATTGGTCAGGCAGCTGGCGGCGTTTCTGCCGAGCTCTGCATTTTCCGGGAGAGGAAAGGGAAAAGAAGGCAGAGCGAGGCAAAACAGGGGAGGGTAGAACTACAATAAAGGGAAGCAGACAGAAAAGATGAGAGGAAAGAGGGAAAGTACAAGTTAAATTGAATATTTAAACAGAGCAGAAGATGAACACTCGAGAGAAGCCCACATGAAGGAAGAGGAAGAAAAAACACAAAAGGGAAGGAGAGGAAAAAAGGAGAGATGAATAAATGGACCGTGCCTTCAGTGTCTTTGAACTTAACCTCTCTGATCTGACTCATTAGATCTGCATTTCAATGGCACACATGCAGCAGGTACCAATGATGTGAGGGTGTGTGTGTATGAGTGTGCACGTGTGTGAGCATGCATGAATGAACTGTCATTTATCATTAGGCCCTTGAGCTCATTAGTACACACGCAGTGAATCATTCAATTAAATGACAATGACCTACAGCACACTGACTGCTCATCACCACCAGTGGTGGTTGCATAAGAGTGTGGGTGTGGGTGTGTGTGAGTGTGTGTGTGTGGGTGATGTGGATGTGCATACCTTTGATAGTTTGACAGTAAAGTCTGTTATGCCAGTATGAGCCTGAACTTAAACTCTCTTATACTGCACATCTTAAAAAAATATTTGGTTGTTGGATAGCTTTCCACACTAATACGAAGTTAATGAATGTTATACTTAGTGTTCATGGCGAGACCTTCATTGACTGCAACAGTAATTAACTTGTAATTGCTTGTGGCAGTGGCAGTAATTATATCTGTAAGTCTAATTATTATTGTTTTAATTGGAGGAACTAGATCCATGTCGCATTTCTGACCTGTTACAGGGAAGATTAGGGATCTAATGTTACCTCATGAGACAGTTAAACACTAGTGAACAGTTGTAATTGGTTAGATGAAGATAAATACTATCACCTGTATTTAAACAGCAGATGGCGCTTTCTTTCTTTTTGTGTTTAGTGTCATTACTTCTCGCCCCCTGCAGGGCGGCAGTTGTGAAGGATTGACTTCACATAGACAATACTTGGATACCCATACTGGAAATTCTGTCCTGTCCTATCATAGCGTATTACTTTAAATCTTATTGTGCCCAGTGGCAGTGCATTGTATCGCATATTGTATTGAACTTTATCATGCCATGTCCAAACAGTTGTATTAAACCATTTTGTAATATTTCTTACTATATTGTATTTTACCAGATCGTTTAATGTTGTATCTTATCACATCACATCACATCGTATCACATATTATATAATATCATATCATAATGTAACGTATCATAATGTACTGTAATGTACCATATCATACGGTTTGGTACCCTATAGTGATGCATCATACTTTATTGCTTGAAATCATATTGGATTGTACTGTGTTTTATGATACTCCATCTTAACAACTGTATCATACCATACTTTAAAGTGTCTTATTGTATTGTTTTGTGTTTTATCAGGGCTCGACAGTGCGACCATTTCGCTTGCATTTGCGACTAAAATAGATGTGTGCGCATCAAAAAAATTAGCCAAGGCAACAAATGTTTTTTTTTTCATGAACACTGAGGTGAAGTGAGTTTTAGGTTGGATATTCAAAGGACATTCACTGAGGATCTACTGGCGTCTCCTCACTCTCCATAACCGGGAACGGCAGTAGCAGCGCGGTTAAATCTACTCGGTATCCTTGCTGTCAAGGTCGGGTGTTGATTAAGGGACCTTCAATAAATTACCGGTTGATGTTCTCAGATAAGGTTGTTTTCCCTCAGTAGCTTCCATGTCATGTGACCAATTGACCTAAAATTGATTTCAAATAATAGTACTTATGGCGACCAATAAAACACACCTCTTTAGTTCCCTAATTTTTCCCTCTAAAAATGTTTTTGTTAAATTTAAAGGCACATTTTGAACATTTTCTTTAATAGCTTCCATGTCATGTGACCAAAATACCTAAAATAGATTTCAAATACTAGTACTTATTTCAACCAAGAAGACATACATTTTTTTTTCATTGTGCCCCTAAAGTTTTTTGTGTGCTCCTTATTTTTTCAACTTAGGAACACGTGTGCTCCTAAGGAGTTAGTGTCATGCCCTGTCTATTTTGTAATATTGAATCATATTATCGTATCGTAGTTGTTTTTCAGCTCATGGCATTGTATGGTGTCGCATCTCTTCACACGTATTGTTTCTTATCGAAACATGCATCATATTGAATTGCATTTTTTCCATTGTCTAACATCATTTAACTTTACCGTATTGTAATGTTTGTATCCAATAGTGAGGTGAGCGTATTGGAGCTGTCCTGATGACAAGATACAAAGATCAGATTGATCGCAAAACAACTACTATCATAAAAAAATGCTGGTATCGGCATTATCTTTTCAATCGCATACATCAAACACACTTCTTCAGGTTTACATGAGCATGTTACTGGCCATCATAAGAAGCCAAGAGCAGTAAATTTTAGCGAGCGTGTCTTACTATCCCTCAACGTCACTGTGTTAAGGGATAGATCTCAGCAACACACACTGCTGCCACACAGAACAGAAATGAAGCTTTGGTGTATTGGCCTCCATGTTTTTATGAGCCATGTAATATGACTAATGCTATACCAAGGTCATATGCATGTGGCCAAGGCTCGATCATTAAAATGTAATTCAGTGCATAATGTGGCTAACCAAGACTGACTTGTTATTCACATCTCTCAGTTAGATTCTGAATCATCGATTTCATCCTGCAGATATGACATTCTCACAAACATAATCGGTTCAGTCTTTTTGTATATATTCCTACAAAATCCTTTTTTTTCTTTCTTTTTTTTTTGAGGTTTTGAACTGTTAAACCAGCTACACAAACGCATCAAACATAAAAGAGTACACATGCACATCACACATGAGCAAGACTCTTTGTGCTTCATACACTAGAGAACTGGAAAAATATATTCAGGCTGCATGCACCCACCTGCTCGGCATACTCTCTCGCTCTTTTCTCTCTCTCTCTCGCTCTCTTTCTCTCGCTATTTTCCTCTTACAGCCTTACACGAGGTCACCCACTTGCAGGCACACCTCAGACCACCCAGCTTTGCTCCAGATGCTCACATCACCTGCTCCAATGCTTTATCCCTCACTACCCTTTAGCCACCCACCGATGTACATTCACACCTGCACACAAACGCACACAGACATACCACTTATGTGCTGACTCCAGCTCATTTATTTTTCAATTAAGTGATGCTTGGCATTTCACTTTAAATATACCGTAAGTTGTGGGTCTCAGCATTCCACACTTTATAGTTAATGTATGTAAAATAAATTCAGGGGAATATAGAAGTTATTCCCGATTTAAACTATATATTTTTTCTAACCCTTTAGAGACGATTTGAGTGCTCAAACAACAAATCTAATCAAATCTGACAATGACAAACAAAAGTGTAGAAAAGGTCCTTGTTGAAGTTACTTTATGGGCACTAACTCTAGAGAATTAGCTGAAGAAGCAAATATTCCACCTACTTCTAGTGATCGAGATGTTATTCATGCTTATTTCCAGGTACTCTATCCCGAGTTTGCCATTTTGTACAGGTTTCACAAGTCTGTGAATCCATTATAGAAAGAACCACAACCACAAATGCAAAAGATAGAGTTAGCTCACAGGCATCTCTTTGCAGCCTGTGTGTGAGGCTGTTTTTTGTTGGTTTCTGTATGATGATTGAAGAAGGCTCACATTGACCTCTTTTCGCCCTTGTCAGTTTTCAGCAGTGAAGAAAATGTGAGGTGAATATAATTCTCAAGATCAACCGGGACACATATAAACGCACACATCCTCATCTTCTTTCATTTACTCAAAGTCCATGAGCAACAAAGTGGTGAAGATGAAAAGAGGAAAACAAGGTTTGATCTTAAAAGGAGGTTTTAAATGTTTACAGGAAGCGTTCGTGTATGAGTGTGTCCTTTTGTGCATGTATGACAGCACTTTACATGGATAGCAGAAGGTTAATGTGCTATATTTCATCTTTAGATACTGCAATGTTCACACAAACATGTACAGATTGGCTGAACAGACTGAGACGACAACACACCGAGTTAGTGATCTTAATGGATTGTAGGACCCATTCAGGTGGTCATTCAGGGGGTTCAAATGTCAGGATTCTCTAATATAGATGTATATATATATATATATATATATATATATATATATATATATATATATCTATATATATATATATATATATATATATATATATATATATATATATATGTATGTATATATAGATATATATGTATATATGTATGTATATTTATATATATAGATAGATAGATATAGATATATATTTATACATCTCTATATATATACTGTATATATGTATATAGATTATCGTCCAAAAACAAGAATAAAAATGAATAATATGTGAACACTTTCACCGCTTTTTTTCAGACATTTCCACGCCTGCTCTCTTTGACATGGTCTCCACACACATTCACAGTCTGATTGACAACAATGTAAAGTGACAAGTTTCACCACATACATATGGATCCCTGACATTCACCCTGTGAGGATAAAGACTTTAACATAAACAGACATGAATGTGCTGTATGCGGAGGAGTGATCTGGTTCAAATATGCAGCGACAGCGATTCGTGTGTCCTTGCTCAGGCAGTGCGACATTGCAAAGAGACAAACATGCTCTATTTTTTGTTTGTTTGTTTGGTTTTGTTTATTTGAATTTATTGTCTTGTTGGGTTGGAATGGAGCTAAAAAGCAGGACATATACTTGGTTGAAGTAGTGAAAAAAGTAATCATAACAAAATAAAAGTTTTAAAATAGTTTAATTATTAAAAGATAGATATGTATGTTTGAGGTTGCACAGTCATTGATGCATTGCAGCATTGAAGTAAACACTGTGGTTCATTAGTCTTTGTATATTAGTGCCAGCATTTATAATACATACTGTAAAAGGTCCACATGCAGTAATCCAAGCTACACTTGTAGGGCAGTAAGAGTTTTCACTGCAATATTAATCATATAACCGGATGCTTTGATTGGCAGACGCTGAAGCTACTGAGTCAGATTCCACTCACATTACAATACACTGAGCAGGACCACATCCACTGAATGGTCGAGTCTGCGGTATGATAGTGATTCTGCAGTATCTTTGATATGCACAATGGGTATGAATGGTTAGTATTATGTACGCTTACTTGCATTTAGGAGCTGCAGAATTCTTTTAGTTTGCTTTTAGCTTTTTCTTTTTTTAAAGCTGTCATGCATTGTCAGAAAAGGGAAGATGTGTCAGAGGTTTTAGAAAAAAATTGAAGAGAAATGGGAAACAAACAAATCTGAACACCTACATCCCCTCAGATCTCTCACACAGGAACTTGTAAATCAAACTGAAATAAGAAGTGTATTATCAGGGAAGTGCTGCTCTGGATTTGTTTTGTCTTGTTCAGCCACAGAGAGAAATCTGAACCAATGTAAGCTTGTCTGGCTAGGATGCGTTTTCCCCCGTTGAGGCCTGTGTAATCTGAACTATTGATCTTTTCTTGACCTCTGATTGATCCCAGTTCAGTTTAGTTGATACTGAGATTTTCCTGTCTAAAAAAAAGTCCACCAGCAGTGTGCATCAAAACGCAGACACAAAGAAACTCATTATTAACTCGTGTAAGTTTACGCAGCATCGCAAATTAAACACTGCAAAAGACATAGCTCACTTTTGTCACTTTTGTCTCCTAGCATATCTTCTCTCTACACAACCCTGAGTTTGTGGTTTTAATTAGAAGAGGACTAAGACTAGTTGGTGAATTCATCTCTGTGTTGCAATATTACAGAGTAACATAAATGTGTGGTCTAACTTTAAATAAGAGACAGACAGGGCCACAAAAAAACACAGACATCGACACTTGAGACACACAGAGAGCCCTCCTGCAGAGGTCTGTTGCGATTGATGGCACTCCAACTGCCATTGAGTTTTTAGTTTCACACTATTGCCAGCTGCTGCAGTGTGAACACAAACACACACCCACACTGACGCGCACAAATCCTGCGCGCCCACACGCACACATGCATGCACTGTCTTGAATGGACATTGATTATATTAGTCAGGGGGTTTGAAGAGCATGTCTCAGACGCAGGGTTAACTAATAAACTGTCAACTGATGGTTTTCGAGCACATACACACAAATGCACAAGCACAGACGCTAACACACACTCGGTGCTATAATGGCATCGATCGTAAGGAGTCAGGGGGTTTTGAGACCGCGTCAGAGAGCCCTCTTAAAGCTCTGAGCTCCTCAGAAAATCTCCGGACTATCGGTGGTCTTTCTGGAGTGGAGATGGTTTGAAAATGAGCTGCTTCCTCAAATATAAGATAAATAAAAAAGGGCGTCAAGGGCAATGTAAAGATCACAGGATTCTGGATCTGGATACTCTGGTAGGAAGAGGCCTTTTTTTTGTCCTCAGAGGGAAAATGTCACTATTGAGGATGCATAAATAGTCACATGAAGCCTGAGAAACTCATTTCTTCTTATCACAATAAACAGAGGGTAATTAGGTCTGTGAGGTTCATAGCCTCTCCTCGCACCACTAATATTTCTGTTTCTTTTACTCTTTTCTTCTCAGCACTTTTGTACCCTCTCCCCCCTTTATCCTCCCCACCGCCTCACTCAGTACAGCATTGTGCCTCACCCTTCTTAATGGATATTGACCAAGGAAATACATAAGAGAGGTACTGTAGACTCATGCACACCGACCCTCTCAAGATGTGTAATTTCTTTTCCTTCTGCTCAAAACAGAGCTGGTTCAATAATGATACCACCTAATGGAGGTTAATCCTTCAATTCCATATGACCCCATGTCTGGTTAATCAAGGCTGATATTCAGCCAAGGTTTTCTTTGATTATGTTTTTTACAAGAAACACAGTGCGGTAGGAATAAGGGCCAGGAACCACTCACCTCCCACTTTCCATCATTATCACCCTATTTATGCACTGTAAGATTTTGAATAAGATGTATTTTACACACAGAGCTACCTGCACAGATGAATCCAGAGGAGTAGTCAAGCGGCTGAAAGGTAATTCAGATATGATTCAAAGGAACAGGAAGGGTAAATAAGTTATCCTTATTTTTGTGCTCCATGTCATGCCTGGGTAAGTCTATTTGGACAGCCAGAAAAGTCTGGACCCACCCTGCCTTTGCTTTCTCTCTTTACTACCTGCCAGAAGATTTTGCTGAACTGTTGTATCTAAGTAGTAGAGAAACCTGTCAGAGTCACCACAGCAAAAAAGAATAGACAAACATTTTTTTTTTCGTTTTTCTCATGTTTGAACTATCCAGTAGGGGTGGGAAAAAAAATCAATTCACATAAGTATTGCAATTTTTTGTTTTACAAACTTTTAATCAACTTTTGTTTTTTTTTTTTAAATCGTTTTTTTTTTTTTTTTTCAAATGTATGTATACATCTTTAAAAACTGACTTACATGTGATGAGTATTTTTTGGGGAAATATGGTTCCTGGAATAGTCAGTAGACGATCATAATCATACAACTGTTTTACTGGTGTTAAAAATGCAGAGAAAAAATCGTGAATATCGTCAATACCGTAGAATCGTAATTTAAATCGAATCGACATCCAAAAAATCATAGAAGAATCCAATTTGGGAGAAAAGTATATCATCCCAGCCCTACTATCCAGCCTCTTACCTGTACCAAGTGGAGTGTTTTGAGTGAATCCCCCACAGGAAGACTGCATGTTTGATGGGCAAGTTTTCTAAAAAAAAAATACTGCTTATGAAGGCTGCGCCCAGTAATGGCAGATTCCACTGAGTATAACCATATCTACGATGCAGAGAGATAAATATTTATCACAAACATATTGAATATCTAGCGCAGGAAAATCTGTATATAGAGAGGATTTAAAATGAGGTTAGGACTGAAATGTTAAGCTGAGGCCAAGCATTTTGGAAAGATTACGAAAACATTTTTAAGAATTCAATATTTTTCGAACTAAGTGGGTATAGATGGAGTGAAACAGTCTGTAGGGATATAAAGAAAAGAGTCTAAGTATGTGCGCAAAGGTGTATATGATTGTAAATGGATCAATGCCAACTTTCTCTTCTTATTTCACTCCTGTTGAGTCCTCAAGCTCGTATCGATGTAATGTCGTCGTTTTGTAGTTTGATTAGCATTGCAAACAACCAAACACATTACGCTCGATTGCGAGTTTCAAAGAAAGCTTCGCGAACTCAAATGCAGCCACTCATCTTCACACACCTGCACTTGACAAGTAACAAGTGTGTTTTGTATCTGAGGGGCCACTGTGCACACCGACTGCATCCAACCTTGAACAGGCAGGTGCGGACAGACAGTTGCTAAGCAGGAGAGCTGTTGCCATGCTCAGAATCATAAGAAGCTGCTTGTCTCCCACAGTTAGCCCGACTCTCTGAATAAATGAACGTTCTCAAGAGGTTGACAATAACATCATAATCACTTTTCAGCAGCGTCTTCCTTCCTTATTTCTTACTTGCGTTGATTTTTATAATATTAAATCAACTTTCTGACAGCGTGAATCAAATTGACATAAATATTCTCAAACAGGGTTTTCATTCAGAATAATTCCCACGATAGAATCACACTGTTTATTAAGTAAAAGCAAACCAAGGATATTTTGCCTATTCATTGAAATAGTCTGCTGCATGCTGTGGTAGAATTAAAGCTGCACATTATTATTGCAAGATTTAAAAAGGTTTTCCTAACCTGTTGCTTTGTCTGCTTGACAATCTCCAAACTTGACAAGCCTTATACTCAAACACTGAGGAGTGGTGAGATAATATCTTCAACCTCTCATAGTTAGAGTTTGCAGATTAACACTGAGGTGAGAGAGACTGCTAATCTTGCATCTTGAATGAACTGCCTGATTGCGGGGGTTATATTTGTCAGGTGATTGCGAGAATGATGCACAGCAAATGTGAAGTTGCCTGCCTGAACTAGCTCTCCAGCATTAAAAGAAAGTGCCAGAAGTCCTAGCCAAGTGAAACTCAACAGAACATAATTCAAAGAGAAATACTGTTAATAGCAGCAGGGAGCACATCACTGAGCTACACTGACAGACAAGCATTAAGACTTGTTAAACAGCATCACTCGTCACATTTGGCCCAGGCAATCAGTGAACCCAACAATGGCTCTCACTCACTACAGATGTCTTTATCATTTCAGTTGATTGAACTTCTGCAACCGCATGACTGCCTAATCTCCAATTGCACCATCTATCATCAGCTTTCATTCTCGCAGCTGAGGCTGATGTCTGCAGATGAGCTCACACACAACTGCACAACGCCTTTTTACTAATGAGCCTTTAAAAAATGTCACTAAAGATTCTATGTGTAGGCAGAAACATTCGTCATATCATAGGAAGACTGACCTGTACACCAGCGTGTCATCTCCAGAGCTGTTGTACTGGACCTGGAACATCCTGACTCCAGTTGTCTGAGTCTGACTGCTCCATCTTATAAGTGCAGAGTTTCCTGTCAGCTCTACCAATGAAACCCTCCGATCTCCACCTCTTGTCTCGTTGTTAGGTAGTGCAACCTTAGAGGAGGTTAGGATATCAGATGGAGCAGGTTCAGAGGATGGATCTCGGCTACGGCTTGTGCTATTTGCCAGGTGGGGCACTGCTGTGACAACTAACTCCACCCGTCCAGTAGATTCTCCGGCTGCGTTTGAGGCGATGCAGGTAAAGTTTCCTGAATCCTTCAGGGACGTTACGTTGATCTCCAAGCTTCCATTGGGGAAAACCAAAGTTCTGGAACAAATGAAGACACATTATTAAATAAACAACCTTTCATTAGTGAATTAGAAATGAAATGTCACAACAAAGTAAAAAAGATACACAAGGGGCTTTACAAAAGTTAAGGCAGTTCCTCTTTTCATCTTTGCTTCTTTTCCCTCTTATCTTAAATTTTTAATATCCCCCTCTCAGTCACATCTGTTGGCTGCAAACCATCGAGTTAAGATCTAATTTTTTATTCTCAAAACAGCAGGCTGCGACTTGGGTTGGCACAGGCAGAAGTTCATGTTTAAAAGAGCGAGGCCATTCGACACGCAATCTAGCTCAACAAACAGAGACACATTTACTGATCTTAGATTCAACTTCCATCAGGTTCAAACTACAATCATATAAGCCCGCTTCTCCTGTCACCCACTGTGGATCTAATCACTAATCGGTGTTCTCCTTATTAGCCCATTTAGTAGCACCTGTGCATTGCTGCCTGCAGCACTTGATGCTAATGCCAACACCAGCATCCATCCAGATACTTTATCCAGAATCAATGCAATAACTGCCAAGCTAAGGGGCAATGTTGCTGACTGGCTTTGGGCTTCATTTCCATCAGTACATGCCAACCCAAACTGTGGTTGCATAATCACCAAGAGTCCTTCATATCTATTAGCTTCAGATATCAGCCCTCAATCATCTGAAGATACAAAGAGAAATGTCAGTGTTATAAGATCAGAAATAATGAGAACACTGACATTTTATTCTCAGAGATTTTATCTGTGATGATGTGTTTGACATGTACGCCATCCCTGTTGCCAGATGAAAATGTGAGAAAGAAGTGACCTCATCAAATACTCTTTAATCCTTATTCAGAGTTGGCCCAGATGAGTCATGTACCCACACCCCACTACGAGAGCCAAGACAAAAATTATGTGAGACACACAGTCTTTTTGACTTGGTGTCACATTGGCACACAGCTCTGAGCTAGAGCACAACATTTACACAACCTCCTTTTCTTTTCCACTTGCCAACTGGGTTGTTGGGTTGCTGCCGTCACTGCATGTAGAGTAGTGCTCTAGTTTTTATTTCCTTTTTTGAATCATTTTACAAGCTATGGATCCCAGTTTTCTTTTACAAGGAGAAAACCCCAGTACCTTGAGCCATTAGATATAAGTCTTCCTTCAGGGCTGATCCAGTGGACTTCAGGTTCTGGATCACCATTTGCTTTGCACTTGAGGCTGGCAGGCTGGCCCTCCATAGCTACAGTGTGAGGTGACTTACGGGTCAGGACTGGTGGGTCACAGATGAACTCCTAGAGAGGCAAAAAAAAAAAAGAATGGTAAGACTGAAAACATGCTCTTTAAATATAGCTGCAGTACCTCCTTAAGTGTTCCATTTACTTCAAAGACTCCTTTTAGTTTGTTGAGTTATGAGACCACTATTAAAATACAGGAACTCTTTTCCTGCCTTTGTTCAAAAGTGCAGCATTTCAGTCTGGGAGCACCAATATAGGACAGTCTAGAAATAAAATAGACACAGCAACTGTGGAGTAGGAACAATTCATTTGTCGACACTGCACCTGGCATTTCTTCAGTATGGGGAATCTCCCCGAGTTGTTTAACAAGTCGGGCAAATCCAGGAGCAGACCCTTCACAAGTGCACAGAGCAGCTTGAGTGCAAGGAGGCTGTCTGTAGCTGAAGTGCAGCACAAAGTAGAGCACAGCAGGCCCAAAATATCATTGCCTTTCAACCAGGGTAGTAGTCTACACCTGTCTTTTTGCTCATGGCATGTCTTGAACCAAGGAGTAGTCAAGTGCAAGTGCACCAAATTAACGCAAACCTGGTCTGGAGTTGGTTGGACTGTTTTTTTTTTTCCTGCTGCCTTGAAAAGCTCATGCAAATTCCGTTGCTACATACACAGTGATGCCAAGAGGTGTTTGTTTATGCTCTGTGTTACCAGAAGACTGGGTTTTCTTGCCTTTTAAATTATGATACTTGCGACGTTGTGAAGCCATTATGCTAATGCCAGAAGATGAGGACACACTCAATGCTTATTCCCCCCCCATGCAGCATCACCTCAGGATGATGACTGCTCAAACCAAAATAATTCAGCCAGAGACCGACATCAAAAACACCCAGTAATCTTAGTGTGGAGATGTGCTCAGTAGCTCTGCTGTGACTGCATCACTCCAAGACCAGTGATTGACTTACATGTCACCACATTTCAAACATGGCCTTTGCATATCCAGTGCATCTATTGGTGCAACTGAACCAAAGAAGTTGCATGAGTCAGTCTAGGCTAAGAAAGACTGCAATAGACCATGTTGGCTTTTAATCGAAAATGACCCTTCAATGTGTTTAATTCATGCTATACTGGAAACATTGTCCACTTACTTTGCATCTATATTGTGTGATCTTTATTTAGCTTTAGCTTTTAGATTTTGAGTCTAAAATCAGAAAGTTGTGGTTTTGGTCAAACCTCCAATAAAGATGAGAAAAAGTCACATCAAAAGTACAAAACCCAAAACATCACCTCTTCAGGTATCGTCCAGAAGTATTTGGCACTCAGGTCAGGGGGAGAGGCGCATGTCTCCAGGTCGTCTTCTCTTGTTAGTCTTCTTAACCACAGAAGTTCACAGTTACAGTGAAGGGGGTTGCCACCGAAACTCAACACCAGGGAGGAGAGAGGGGAGCCTCTGGACTTGGCATAAACTGGGATTCTCAGAAACAATGGGTCTGGAGGAATCTTCTTCAACTTGTTGGATGTCATGTCTAACCTGTATAAGAGAGGGGTAGATGGTCATGAGATGGACAGATGGACAGTAATTCATGTAGTAGGACGCCAAACTCCATGAAACTACAAACCTGGCCAGTTTGTGTAGATTGGTAAATACTCCTTGTGGAACATTTTCTATGAGGTTATGATCCATATTTAGGGTGTTAACATTGGTCAGGCGCCCGATCGTGTCCCAGGGCACCTCTGCTAGGTTGTTGTAGCTGAGGTCAAGATCCTCCAGAGTGGACAGGAAGTCATCAAAGGCATGGGGAGCTATGGCATGGAGCTGGTTGTTGGCCAGGATCAGGTGGCGAAGGTTGGTCAGGCCTTTAAAATGGTCATCCTGATGGATAATGAAGAAAAATGCATGTGATGAGTAGCATAACAAATACGGTGAATTTTTCATAGGTATCTTAAGTTTTTCTTCTGTTGCTGCTCCCTTCTGTTGTCTCTATTGATTTCCTGCCTATGCTTTGACAATATGTCATTGTGTGACTCCAAGGAACCGTTAATCAGTTCAATGCACTCCCAATTCATTACATTCTACCATCATTAATCCATCCAGCTATCCATCCATCAGCCTTACCTTGATCACAGTTAATCTGTTGGAGTCCAAGTGGAGTGCTCTAAGTCTCCGCAGGTCACTGAAAGCTGAGGGGAGAATCTGACTAATGGTGTTTCTGGACAGGGTCAGGTGTAGCAGGCTGGTCATGTTGGCGAAGTCCTTCCTTCGAACAGCTGGGTTTGAATAGAGGAAAAAAATAATAGTCAGCTTTATTGAGAAATTCCTGGTTTGAAAGTATACGATATTGAGGAAAAAAGCATCTTGAGATCCACATGTAGACAATCCAATTTAACACTTGATTGATGTTGAGTATAATTCATTTAATGGGATGGAGAAAGAGAATAAATATGTGATACAAAACCACATACAATAGTGTCTATATAAATGTAGTACAGTCCTGATTTCACAGTAGCTTAGGGGGAAAACACTTAAAAAATTGTGGAATATTTAAAAAGGAATACATAAAAAAATATCAACTCATCAGCATTAACTTGAAACATGTAGTAGCATGAAAAAAAAGCATCTTTGCAGCAACCTATGAAGGTTAAAGTGAGGGGTAACAGTGAGGCTGACTTGACAGACAGGCACGCTTACTGTTGCTGTAAGTGAGGGAGCTAAAGGCCTGCCTCACCTCGCCTCTTTGCCTCTTGCCTGTTTGACTGAAGGTTAGGTTCAGTCAGCATTTCCACCACAGCGAAAGCCATTGATAGGCTTCAAACTTCACTTCAGTAGCCAATGGTTAATGTCAGTGACCTTTCATATTCCAACAAATAATGCCAAACCACATTCTACATGCATTACTACTCTGCTGCTTAGCTGGCCTGCCCGCAGCCCTGATGTGTCACGCACTGAAAACATTTGGCAGACCACCAAGAGAGTAAAAAAAGAGGAAAAGAAAAACGAGACCTCAAACTATTTGGCAGCGGAAATCTTATATCTGGCATGAATAGAGTAACATTTCACTTTAAAAACTTTAGAAACCGTTTTTTTAACATTCACAAAGTGTTATAAAAAGAAGAGGTGGTACGACATAGTGGTAAACATGCTCCTGTTCCAGATAAGAAATATAAAAGTTAAAAAGAACATGTTTAATATCACAACCACTTTTCAGCATTTTTCTTTTGCACTGTTTTCAATTTAAGACTTGCAAACCATCAAATTATTCTGTCTCAACTTTTTACAAAGTTCCCCTACCTTTGTCGAGCTAGGTTTATAAATGACCTGATGCTTTGGGTGCTATTTTTTTTTCTTTACAGCAATCACTGCACGACTGTCACATGTTTTTTTTATACACGGCAAATAAATACCTAATTACTGTCTAGCCCTCAGCTCAGTGAGTATTACTGTACATGTATGGCTCTATATGTTAAGAACCTCATTTGGAGCAGATATAGGTTGGTGGCTTACATTATAAAATACAGAATCTCTAGATTTGCAGAGGAGTAATGCTTCTTTTGAAAAGGACTGAATGTGCGACTTAAATAGCTGCATCTGTGTGAAATTGTTAATGGCTGCTCTTTTATCTTTCCAGACCATGTGAAAGCAGTCAATTTTCAGCCTGTGTCTTTTGTTTTGGTGGACTATAGAACAGGATTTCTTTTAAGTCAAGCCTGAGAAGATTAGTTGGCCGCCTTGGTAAGAGCTAATGGGAATCCAGATTATAATAAAAAGGATAAAGCAACACTTCAGTTCTCAGAAATAAGTACATTTCACACAAAGTATCCCAGAGGACTCTTTGATTAAAGGAAGCGATGAATATGATTTGCAAGACCGGGGCACAAAAAAAAAAAAAGTTTCGAAGTGTGAAAGTTAAAGTATTGTCTTGGAAATAGTCACGTCCCTTTGTTATGAAGAAAGGTGATGAGCAAACAGCTGTTTTGAAATGCTTGATATGATAATGTGTTGAATTTCCCTTTGGGGATCAATACATTTATTTTTATCTCATCTTATTCAGTCATTAGCATGCTGCTGCATATATGTTGCATATGCATACCTGGAATACTTCACTTACTGCATCTAATTTTGCTTCCCCTTTTAGCTACATGCAGTTATGCCAGTGCCAAAGTGCTCCTGAATTTTGTGTCTGAACATTGTCCCCTGATCCATTTAAAAACATTTTAATAATCCTACATTTAACCCTGCATTCTTCTTCTTCTTTTGAGTATGCATTGACCTATCTGTACACACATGAAGATTAAACATTGGATAAACTGGCAGGCATGTTACCTGTTATGAAGTTTTCCTGAAGCCGTAGCTCCACCGTCCGTCGGTCTATGGCAGCAGGAACGAACAGCAAGCCTGTTTTGGAGCAGAGGATGGCGAGTGATGGAGAAAGGCTCTGGCACATACAGCGTTTCGGACACGGCTGCCCTTTGCATGCCGCTGCCAGCAACAGCAAAGAGATCCAAAGCCGTTCCATTATCCTCCACTGGGAACGGGGCAACTGAAAGACAGGATGACACAAGCAATTAATTGAAGATGATACAAAGGCAGTGTCAGCGAGGACAAGGCAACAGGTAGCGAGCGAGAAACCAGGCTGAAACTCATGATGGAAATAAACGCTTTGAACTTTTCTGAAATTTGAAATCCCTTTGTAGATGCGACATGAGTTTTATTTTTACCTTTTTATTTCAACAATACCTTTTATCCTTGGCATTTGTGAAATGAAAACAGCATTGATGCAACAAGTAACACCGATCAAGAAAATTAGAAGCACAAAAGAACTGCAGCAAGGGCTGGATTGTGTTGTCTAGAGGGGAAAAAAAAGGATAAATGCTACCTTTGTAACCTAGTAATTTGGCGAGCCTCAACAGGACACTCGGCCTGTTGAGAATGCCGCTGTCGCTGGAGTCAGGTCAATATTTATTTCTAATAGCCCAAAATAATGATGTGCCTTAGAGAGCTTTAAAAATGATCAGAAACTTGCAGAGAGCTTCAATAACCTGATACCAATCTCAATACGGGGACTTTAAAGAAGTCATGTGGACTGTTTTGTACTCACTGATGCAAAAGCTCTATAATGTACAGATGTACTTAAATGTACTTACATCTTCACAAAAAACAACCTTAGATTTAACAGCGGGAGAGCGCTATTCTCGATGCATGATTTCAACTCTGCAATGTGTGCTTAACCTCTTTACTTCGACTACTACTTAAATAACCGATCTGCAATTTAGCACAGCACTGCCTGGAAATGACAAAAGAAGAGGAGGAGGAGGAGTGTGGGGAATAGATTGTGGTGCTGTTCCTGCTGGACTGCTATATAAAAAAACAGAGAAATGGTAATGGGATGCAGTGCATGGTGAGCTGGCATTTTCCTGAGGCACACATGAGAATTTGATACTAATGCCTGTTTAAAGCCAAGGGAGATGCCATGTATGCAAGGAGGGTAATACTGGGTAATTCTGGGGTAAGCGCAGTTTTGATATCATGTACAATGGCAACAGAAAACAGAATCCTGTTTCTATTTTTCCTGAAACGTGACTGAATCTAGTCTAACGCAGTTATAAATTGAGCTGTTGCGAGGGAAAAGGGCAACAAAATCTTGTTGGTACATAATAATACAGTAGTTGTTAAGTGTATGCACTGCAAATGAAATGAAACTTTACCATAGGTTGTGTAATACAGTTCTGTCAAAAGTTGTTAAAAAAAACTCTTTTCCAGTCTCACCACTTTGACACCCTTTTGGGAATCTTCCCTCGCTCCATATCTGTTTAAAACCAAAACTGTCTCCTCTCTTAACAAGTGACAAAAGCTGCACCCGAAGAATCACTATTATAACCACAATAGAAGTTACCTTTTCCTTGATATGACATGGAACCACTTCTGTTTGTAATTATTCTGGAAAAAATTGCTTCCTTGATTATACAAAGATTGAACATGCAAAAAAATTATCATTTCAAAGCGTTAGGACTGAGGTACTGATGGCCTAGCTGTCTCTGTGCGCACCCCCAAGTCTGGAGCTTATTTTCTGCATGCTAATCCCGTTCCTGACTATTGTCCTGTTCTCTCCAAATAAAGGCAAAAAAAGCTTAAAACTATGAATTGCAGAAAATAACATTGTTTGGTATCCAAGTCAGCTGCAATACATTGCTTAGTATTTCTTAGGTTGCTTGCTTCAGGTTAAGCATATCAACTTATTGGGCTTCCTTTACTATCCTATATTTTGAAAAGTCATGGTTGAGTGTCTATTTAATTGATTTTATGTGATAGATAATACATCTGCTCCCAAAAAGTGAAACCCGAGCATTCAGAGCTGACCCTGGTGACTGGCTGCTGAGTAGGTCACTCATATTGTCATAACAAACACTGCAGTCACTGGTCTTTGCACAACCATAAGTTTCACCATCAAAGCGACACAACAGTCTGTGAATTATACCAACCAGACGGATTTGTCCATTTTTTTCAGTAAGATTGTACTATATTCTTGTTAGCTATTGGGGTGTTATTTTTATCCTGTGGCGGCACCGGCCAGATTGCTTCCGTGGATGCCTAGGCTTAAAACTAGGCTTTGGCTATTTTTTCATATTTCATTTTTTTCTTTAATTACAATGGGAAGAAATAAGGTCTGTTATCCTCAATTATATGGGGCCAATGGGACGTACTACTTTGATAGCTGACAATATAAACAATCAAAATCAAAACACACCAAAAAAAAAAAAAATAATAGTTACAGTGTCTTGTGTTCGTCCAGCCAGTACTGTATTACTAAAATGAAAACAGGTTAGTTGGATTGATATGCAGTGATTTGAAATTCTCCTAGATAATGTAGTCGGGGATCAGTTTTCTCTTGCATGTACACATCTGGATTCACTTTTTAACATTCAACCAGTCAGCCTCTTGCTGAGTTGTTTGTCAATTGTTTTGGCATGTGACTTAATAGGTCAAGAGGAAGATGGCTTAATAGTACCGGCATAGCGCCACCTGATGGTTTGACCAAGAGGCTTAATATCGAAATGTCTCTCCACTACACCATTTAAACACCACCAACACCACTCCAAACTCATGTTGTGAGGTCTGTGTGTTCCATTCAAGAGCAGTATATTAGCCTACCCAGCTTGACCACCAGGCAAATCAATAGCATTGAACATACAGTACTGTTCAATAGAGCCTCATAGACGGCTTCCTCCTTTCGACTTCACCTTCAATACTTTTAAAATTCTTCAACAGAACATTTTTATCAAGGAATGGGAATTCACTATCACACTACAAGACAAAAATACCCAGTGTTGCTACTCATTTTGTCTCTTTGTCTTCATTTCCCTACGTACCATCCAGTAAAGCGAATCTGCCAAGTATATAAAAAATAAACAAATGATAGTGGATGCAATCTTATGAGGCTGCTAATAATAGATATGCTGTTATTTGATACTTTGTGTTCCCTATCCTCCCACAAAAGTGGAACGCAGAAGAGAAACAATGATAAGCTATAACTTACACATCAGTGCTTCTATCAGCCTTTCCATTTTATTCCCTCAACATTTTTCTGCCTTTCAACATGTTTCTCTACAACCACCCCCCAGCTCTACCTTCCTATCTAATATCCCTCATACGACCCATTATTCACCTGTTTTCTCAGTCATACTCAGGTCTTTCTCTTTTCACTTTTACTCACTCCGTCATACCTAATATTATACGCATGTGAATATATTATATCTAATAGAGTTCTCCATTTTGTTTAGATGCCAGCCTGCCTTCTTTTCGCTCCATCCAAGCCTCCTTAAACAACTGTTTGTTTGTCCACAGCTGTCCATCATCCTCTGTCGCTAATAGATTTTCTTTCAACCCAAGTCATTTTTCTTCTAAATTTCTATCCTTCATCTCTCATTTAGTCGTTGTGTTGGCCCTCATACCTCCTTTTCTCCTCCTCAAAATCTTTATTTATGAAGTAAGTGTGTAACTCCGATGACAGTGACTCCAAACTTCTCTTTCTATCATTTTCAGCCCTTTACTTTTGTCATTAACATCCAATTTTCAGCTCCTTTTCCTTCAGCTTTGTCTTTGCTCTGGCGCTCTAAATACATACAGTATTTAAACCTCCATCATTTATCCCTCGCACTGACTTGCTCAGTTTGGCTTTATTGAAACTATCTCTAATGTGTGTGCATTGCAGGAATTGGCACCAAAGGTGATTTTGAATGCACACATCCCTCATTGGGTGCGCCCACTCAGCCAGTTCGCCTGTGTACAGCTTCAGTCTACAGCATAATAACTGGTCTATTTAACACATTTAGGCACACCTCATTTGGCCCTCCCACACATCCAGACTATGTGTGTTTTTTGAGGCTATTCAATTAAGGACATTTGAGTTTTTTTGTTCGGTTTAGTGAGGGTGATAGCAATCAGTCACCCACCGTTACCCAGTGGCACACTTCAACTATGGAGACTTAATAACACAGAAAAAAAAACAGATCTAAGCTGTCTTCCTTTTTAAACAGTCAAAAAGGACAATTATTGTCATTAGCAGTGATTTGAATGTCAATCTAAGAATTTGCAAATGCTTTCTGTCAAGACATCTTTGGTTGAGAGTTCTGATGCAGTCCAGCTTTGGACCAGCTGCTATAGTGACTGGCTGTTTTATATAGAGTGAATCCTGTCAAATCATATGTTAGACACTGGAATCCTTTCGAGACTTAAGTCTTCTTTGGCCAGGGTTAGGAATATAAGGGAATGTGAGAAAGAAAATGGATTCATATCAGTATGAAAATTTTGGTGCTCATTGGTTCCTGTGCTTGTCGCTGAAGCCAGTAATATCTTTCTATTTAAGGAGAGCTTTGAAATAAAACAGCACAATCAGTCAAATTGTAGCCCTCCTAGTTTGTCCTCCACATGGACTGCTTTCCTGCCTACAAAGCCTGTTGGAAAGATGTTTAAGAACACTACTTTGCCCACAAAGACAAATGTGAGATACCCAGAACCAACCAATCCTCTCAGATTCTTGATTCACATATAGAACTTGTCAAATAAAAGTCTTAGTCTTTGTCTTCAATCGATAAGACCGCTACTTTTTTAATATACACTTGTCTTTGGCTGAAATTTAATAAACTCTTCATGATCTCCCTTATTGGTTTATTCATCAGGGTCTTGTGCGTAAAACCTATAGGTCAGTTAACATGTATAAAACCTTTAAGAAATGGGCTTCTTGTTTTTCTGTGTGGGCGGCATATAGAATCCATCGATTTGGGTCATATTGGTCAAAAACAAAGAAACTCAATTTTGCCAGAAGCTAGCTGCAATGCTACACAAATTTCTGGCAAGTACAAGACAAACCAAAGTTGTTGGGCCACTACATGCATATCAAACGGTTATTAATATCTATTACTAATAAGCTTTCCAAAAGAATAAATAAAGTTATATCTTATCTAATTATATCTTAGGAGCAAAATAGGACCCGCTCAGTACTCTTTGTGGCAAACCCGC